AATTTTGGAAAAAGGGCCAAATTGTAAATTAAAACTCAAGACTAAAATAAAACACATGAAATGATCCTGGTTCATCTTTCTACATTTATCTGCTTTTCATATAATTCCAATACTGCAAAGGTACAAGATTTCTATTTATAGGTATTTTAATGATAAGGTAATATAGTACTATCACCTACAAACAGTCTAATAGGTATATATAGGATCATTCTCAACAATCTTGATGCCAGTAGTAATATGGTCATCACTGATTTTACCACCAAGACTTACCAAGTAAATATGTTCAGTTGATAATATATTTTCTGTTTAATACAAAACATAAACTTCATATATGGTTCTGTCATACACTGTAACTTCTTTGAGGAATCTACCTTTTAGAACCTAAGTCTATTGAGGGGTTGTGTCAGAATGTGTCTTAATTATCAACTTGACAAAAATACTAGAGAAATCTAAACATGTATTCTCTCGTCTTGGTCATTCTTATTCCCTATAAGGCAAATGTACAAAGTGTGGGTAAGAACTGTTAATTTGCATTATTTATTTTCATTGGCTAAATCTGAACACTCTTCTTATGCTAAAACATATGGAACAATTTAACTGGCATTAATATTGAAGAATGCATGTACATGTATGTACATATATTACAAGTAACCAGACCAACTACTTGACATCAATATGTACTGATAAACCTATATTATGTACATGTATATTAGGTACCTTTAGATTCATGTCAAATTTATCTACTCAGATGTTGATTTGATTTGATTTGAAAACTATATTTATTCTCGGTAGCTCTATCAGTACAAAACTGGTCTTCCTAGAGGCCCAGTAATAATTTACAATTATTTACAATATGTACAATAAATGTAGAAACATACAAATAGATATATAGGACATATAGAACAATTTGATGGATGTTAAGGTTCTCCCGTAAAAAACTTAACATAGCATATCAGGTCGAGGAAGGGGTTGAAGTATATATTCGGATCATCTGATATAAGAACCCCCCAGTTAGCTTTCCAATGAAATATCTTTTATTTTTGGATGGTGTTTCATTTTTGATTAGAATATTTGAATATCTGAAATCAACGACAATATAAAACCTGTAGTCTGGGCCTGATGTCCATTTTGGAATTATACTATCTGGTACAAATGGCTTATTCCTCTGTTTAAACTCAGTGACACAGAAGGACCATGACTATGGTACTTCTCTGAAAAGGTCCTTAAAACCGCTATATTAAGACGTATTTGCAGGTAGCTCAATTTTGTGGTTAGGGCCACTTCACATGGAAATGGTATTCCTCTGATGGTATAAACACATGTCCCTTATCCTGGCCTGCTTGTAAACAAACTAGCACATCATCCTTCTCGACTGGAAGATCTTGTAGAAATACAACTGAACATGAAAGATTGCCTTATTGGTTAATCTAGTTTATTCCAACCATTTGGGATGATGTTTGATATTTTTAGAAGTAATTGTGAGATTCATAGTTAAATGCTATCCTACTTTTTCTCTATTTTTTCTCTATTTTCTTGTTTGAGATCATTATACCAAAACAAATTTTTGTCTTTCACTCAATTTTAAAGAGAGCTCAAACAACTGAGATGGATCTAACTATACGGTTATCTCCCCAACAAGCAACTGGGTGCAGCACCCACCTGAGATTTTAAAAACATCCTTGCACCCACCTGAAAATCCATTTGCACCCACTTGAAAATGAGAAAAACCATGAAAAATAGGCATATTTTGACCAATTTTGAACTGAATTTTGAAAATGAGATTTTTGCACCCGCTTGAGAAAAAATCCTATGGAGAACCCTGCTGAAGTCCATCCTCGTATATATGATACTGAAAGAGACAAATGTGTGAACCTTTTGTTATATTAGCTCCAGAAGTGGTAACATATAGTTATAATCTCCAACTTTTTTGTGGACAGTATTAAGCATTTGGGGGGCGGTAGTTGGCATCTGTAACAAATAGCAGGAGGTGACATTTTGCCCGTTAATTGTCTTTTATTTTTTTATTACGCTGTGATGAGTATGAGAATGATGTATTGAGTATCAGAACGATGTAATGAGTATTAAAAGATGCAATCTTGGCAAAAATTAAATCTAATGGCTTGATTTCAGAATCCTAATATGGTCTTCAGACAACAAATAGATTAATATTACAGGTAAAGATTTACATATCAGAAACCGGAAAGGTACATGCTTCAATCATATAGAGCCACAGGGAACATTCCAGAGTATTACACTATTGCACTCTAAGAAGATTACTCTAATTTGTTGCTGGAAACTAAATATCTGTTTGAGGTCACCTTGACTTTTTTAATGCACTGAAGGGAGAAAAAACAGAATTTATGATTTCGCAAAATATTTCTCCTGTACTTTATTTTTTTTTTATTGTGGTGGTTCTATAAGGTGTAATGCCAAGGTTGTGGTTGAAATGATAAGCTGTATAAATGAGTACCCTTTAATTCGTTCAACTTCGCTGCTTAAAAGAGAGCTTCGTCTTCACTTTTAACTTAACCCCTGTGCTCAGGGTAATTCGTGAGTTACTGTTGTCTTTGTTCATTAAGCTCTGGTGTTTTGCCATTTGTTGGAATATTGCATGATGCTTATTCTTGGTAATATTGATAGGTTCCCCATTGTTAGGACGCTGTCAATTTTGGATCTGGTTCCTGCCATTTGTTTAATTTTTGAAACCATATATGACAAGATTCCAGCCCAAATGATATTCGCAGATCTTAAGAAAATGTGTTTTGCTTTCTTGTTTCTTAAAATTATTTAAAAAACATTTATGCAAAATCAAAATCATTGGATCACAAATGGATTAAGATATGGTTTGATAGATAAGATTTGCATCGCTAGCAAAAACATTGATGTATACATGTATATAAAGATAGAAGTCCTTATTATGTAATACTAACTCATGAAGCGAGCCATTTGTCTGGTAATTGTGTTTACAGAGCAGTTCAAATTATACTTAGTTAACATTGCTGGAAATCCTGCTTTATTTCTGTCTGTTTCCAATATTATCCATGATTGAAATAGGAAGATGAACAACTGTGAACAACATTACATACTCGTGTTCACTGCCATACCATGATGTTACTTAATTTTGCTGTAACTCCCTGTTCCAGGTAAATGGGCTAATCTGCTTGTAAATCTAAGAAGCAATTGATATTCTCCAAAGAGGGGGTTCTCTATGGATTGAATGTTTATTCAACCATGGCAGTTCAGACTATGACATCAAAATACAGTTCATAATTTATGTATAAAAAGGAAAGTGATCAGTTACTTGTGCATTTGTGAAATTTTCTTTACAATATATTTTACCATTAAGAAAAGGAAAGCTGCAAGGGTCTTCGTTTATTCATAACTTTTTGATGAAAAAGGCTTTGAATCTGCTGTAGTCATTTTCAAGGGGTTCCCTGGGGTATCATTCCAATGATGATATCTTTATATAACACGGTAGATGTTCTTTCAAGCTTATACAAAAATGTATGTTTTCTCTTGTGCATTCTGATACTGAAACTATCTATGCCATGTGAATTGCAAAATGAATGAAGGCTGTGCATTCTGTTATAGAGATTATGAAAATCCCTTGATGTTTTGCACAAGAGGAGTGATGTCAGGTATGATATATTTGCTGGAATCCCCCTGTAAGGTGCAACCAGAGATCCCTGGCTTGTTCACAGGTCTTCTGCAGACAACTCTCTTCTGTACCAGTTATCACCAAACATCAATCAGAATTAATAAACAGCTCTTTTCTGCAGGTGATAACTAAACGCATGTGTCTAACAGAATGATTTGGGAGATGTTCTCTGGAGGTCATATGATAAATTATCAGTCCTCCGAGTTGCTAATAGCGAGGATAAAGAACATGGAGAAACCAGCTGTAGATAAACTGTGATGGTTGAGAAAGACTCAAAAAGTCCCAAAGATCCTTATAAAAATGAAAAATGTCATGAATTTTACTGAAACAAGTATTTTGACATAAACACGATAAATGTTTGGAGCAATATCTTTTTCTATATTGATTTTGAACAAAAATAACTTAAAACGGGAATCCTGTTGACAAGGGTTATAAAAATATTTCTTTTACTGAATGTGCATACCAGTTCTCTATTGGGATACCCTTGGTATAGTTGATCTTTCTTGTTTATAACAAACTACATCTTGATCCATCCATTACATCAGGCAACAAGTTGAATGTAGTCTGGGCCTTATTTATTATCTGACAGTTCTTAGGTGGCCTGCGACTATCCGACTCAAGAAAATTCAGATTAATAGTCCAAGCCGGATAATGGGTTTAACTTGTTGAAATAGGTATTGCAATTACATACCTTGATATTTATAATATTTCTAATTGGCGCATTCTGATATCACCACATACATGTACTGGTTTAACAATACGAACCAACTATGCACTATCTCAATTTTCACAGCTTGTGAATATTCTTTAACTTTCATATTCTGTAAGTAAGTTCAAGTGAGTCAACTTGTGAGTCACTGGAACAATATTTGACATTAATTATAGTATTGTTGTTTTGTTGATCATTTGAAGTGCTTTAAACCAAAGCCAAATAAGAACAATACCACATTGAACTTTGGCTCCTTCCCTGTTACAGTCATTTTCACTCAATCATGCAAGTTGTATGATAGACAAAGTAGTATATCTAAGAGGGGGATTAACCCCATAGTTCAAAGATGACATACGCTTATAATGTAAACCTGTATTGAGATGACATACACCTCTGATTGGTCCAAATCGATCAACAAAAATGGCGGATTAAAATTTTCTAATAATGCTTCGAATAATATTATGTTGATTCCTGGCTTATTAACCAATATCATAGCTTGGTTTTTCACGTCAAGATAAAGAAATATGTAAGGAATATGTTTACATCAATTAAAACGTCACAAAGGCGCGCTAATGCTCAAAAATTAACTGGTGAGAATTTGCGCAAACGAAGGTGGTACGCAAGAGACGTATTATGTCAGTCATCGCTAAAGCTCTGGGGCTTTCCCTCCTCTTAGTATATCTGCAGGACTTAGAGTGAGTCATCTTGGATTATCCTGTGGTTTATTTATCTGTGTGCGTAGTATCTAGTTTGGTAGCCTCTAGTGTTCACCTAGTTTCCCAGTTGTAAATATATCATTTGCATTGATAGGAATGACGCTTTCCATGTATGGACTGCCCTTTGAACAACCATTTTATCAACAAGATCATGAAATATGAAGTCATGTAAATATTCCATTTGTCACGACTCATTATTTAAGGTAGCCTTAATTGAACTTTTAAAAGCCGAGCCTTATGTGAACTATATTTTAAAATACAAATGTACATGAAAATGATTAGAAAACAAAAATAGAAATGTATATCTGGGCTGTATCCAAATTATATGCTGCATAATCTATAAGTTTTACATTGTGTTCCTTATTATGTCAATATCACAAGTGTTGACATATTGATATAGTTTCTAACTTTTTTGTGGATAATGTTTGGCAGTTGGTGTTAAGCGGTTGGTGGTTGGCATTTGGCAGTTGGTGTCTTTCATATATGACAGGTGGTGACATGTTAATTTCTTGTATTATAATATTGCACACTCATTGTATAAACCTGGAAATAATATACAATGTGTCCACAAAGTCTCTACAATTACAATACAAAGTTTTTACAAAGTGTAGAGAGATAAATTATTGGACACCCTGTATGTAGTTCCGATCATTCACCTAAAACTTTGCCGTTTATGTGTTACAGGGCATCCTTGGAAGAGGCTGAGGAAGATATTGATATCCTAGAGACAAGACTTGACAAGGTATCAGATAGTACTATAACTTGTGTAATTCAAGTACCAAACCAGCCAAAAGTGTTCCAATTGGTGTTCACAATTTGAGTTTTTTAACATGGAAGTCTGTAGCAGATTAAGAGGTGTTCAAATGAGAGAAGTGTCTGGAAATTTTTTGAATATACATACTCTTTAATCCATCAAAATAACCTGGGTAGTTGCCGAGCAATGAGCCTGTTCCTCTATTACTGAGATACTGTATTTGAAGATTCATGTTCATTTCCTGGCTTTAGACGGAAGTTTGCATTATATTTATTAACAAAAGGGTTGAAGTTCAAGTGGTTTTTATAATCGGATGCTTTTGGGTCAGTTTTGGCTTGTGCATGTTATCTCTAGTCAAGCTGAAAACACAAATTAAAGACAATGCCGGGAATAATCTCTTAACCCCAAATGTATCTGAGAGGACCTATCAAAAGATCAATGTTCAGAAAATTGAATTTGCAGCACAGAATAGAGAGATTGAAAAGTTGGAAGCATTTTTTCAAAAAACATGACAACGTTTCCCTTAGAATATGTTGTTATATATGATTGAAAAACAGTTTTATAATATACTTGTATTGTCTATTTAAATTCTATTTTGAGAGCAATTGAATGGATAGATATTTTCTTCAACCATTTCCTATTGGTTTACATGGGTTCTACCATTTTTTTAACTCATCAAATTTGACATCAATTTTTGACCTATTGTAAATTGACAATTTTCTACTGGAATATATAGAAAAGAGTCAAGTAAAGTAAAGGTACATAGTCATTTACATTATCAGTTTTTCTTTTGTTTCGCACGTAGAAAATAGAGCTCAAACATATATGGGGTTTAACATGTAAACCTATGAGGAAAAAGACTGGTCCTTAACTTTTTGGGGTATTATAGTAAAGAACCTTTCATAAAAGTAACATGTTTGTTGTCTGATATTGCTAATTTGCTGAAGATGTGATTGCCATTACAGGTGGTGAAATTATGCAACCACATGATAGAAGTTGGGAAGACATTCAACACTGCAAATATGTAAGTGTAATATTTGGCTCTATTTGCCTGGAAGAAATTGATTCAAAATTCAAATTTATTATTTAAAATTTGATTATACATCTTCGCACGCTGAGTCCTCAATGCGTTCGACTGATGGGAGCAGAGTGAATGATGATCTTGACTATACAGATACATAATTCATAAGAAACAATAATATTATTAAGTTAATAATATGAAGCCTGCAAAAACAATTGCTCGACCTACTGGACTTTGCAGTTTATTTCTGTATAGTCCTGTATACAATCCTGAAAACTCAATAGCATTTTGTCAACGCTTGTAGCTGAACTGCCCAATATAAGTAAGCTCATATATGAGCACTTCCAGGCTTGTATTTAGAAATGTGAAATGTGCGTGAGTTTTGGCTGGAACAGTGCCATTGTTTAGAGTTATTGTCAGTTATTGTTTAGTAAATGAAAGTAAAGTGGAGATTTAAATTTGTAGTAATTAATGAAACATATAATAAGGGATTGTATCCTATTGTCAACAGTATTCAGTATTGGAAGAATTAAATTAATATATGGGGATTGAGATTTTGTGAGTAAATAAAGTGAAATTCAAGTGGGTGCAAATCAACATTTTCAGAAATCTGGATTGGTATAGGGGAGGGGGGGGGGGTCAGTCATATCGAAATTAAATTTGTTTTTCCATAACTGCCAACATTTTGACAATATCCCTATCACAATATTGGACAGCATTTGGTAATGCCTATGATGAGGATAATGTTAATAATGTATGTACATGTCTGTTTTAATTTCCAGAAACTTTACAAGGGGTGTTCAAGAACTTGTGATGTATTTTAAGCAAGATGATGTCGTCTCTGTAAGTATTTCCTCTCAGAATAAATTGAATTTAATCGTACGACAAATTGATTTCACCTTTCAGTGCTATTTTCCCAATCGACATTATGGCACTATGGCATATTCTTTTCCTGCTATAAATGCCATTTTATCACTCTGCAATGTAATTTCCATCAATAAATGCCACATCAGGTTGTATGTAACATTGCACTATCATAGTTAGTGTCTCTCTTCTACTCAGTAAGGCCACTTCAGATTAATTAAATGTTTTATGAAACAGATTTTAAAGAACTTAATTAAACTTTTTATGTCACCACCAAAAGTGGTGACATAATGTTATGGTCTCAGTTTTTTTGCGACGGCGGTTGGTGGTTGGCGTCCGGCGGTTGGTGGTTGGCGTCCGGCGGTTGGCGTCCGGCGGTTGGCGTCCGGCGTCTGTAACAATTTCTTACAACTTCCTATAACTTAACAAATACTGTTTAGACTGACTTCAATTTTTTTCTAAATCATCTACATGATCTCAGAAGTTCAAATCTGACTTTAGATTTGACATTTGACCTTCAATGACCTTCTCAAGGTCAAAAAGGTCCTTTTTTCAACTTGCTTCACATTGACTAAATTTTTTTTCAAAATCATCTACATGTTCTCAGAAATTCAAATCTGACTTTAGATTTGACATTTGACCTTCAAATCTGACTTTAGATTTGACATTTGACCTTCAATGACCTTCTCAAGGTCAAAAAAGGTCAAAAAGGTCTGTTTTCAACTTGCTTCAAATTGACTAAATTTTTTTTTCAAAATCATCTACGTGTTCTCAGAAATTCAAATCTGACTTAAGATTTGACTTAAGATTTGACATTTGACCTTCAATGACCTTCTCAAGGTCAAAAAAGGTCAAAAAGGTCTGTTTTCAACTTGCTTCAAATTGACTAAAAAAAATTTTCAAAAACATCTACGTGTTCTCAGAAATTCAAATCTGACTTTAGATTTGACTTAAGATTTGACATTTGACCTTCAATGACCTTCTCAAAGTCAAAAAAGGTCAAAAAGGTCTTTTTTCAACTTGCTTCAAATTGACTAATTTTTGTTCTCAGAAATTCAAATCTGACTTTAGATTTGACATTTGACCTTCAATGACCTTCTCAAGGTCAAAAAAGGTCAAAAAGGTCTGTTTTCAACTTGCTTCAAATTGACTAAATTTTTTTTTCAAAATCATCTACGTGTTCTCAGAAATTCAAATTTGACTTAAGATTTGACATTTGACCTTCAATGACCTTCTCAAGGTCAAAAAAGGTCAAAAAGGTCTGTTTTCAACTTGCTTCAAATTGACTAAAAAAATTTTTCAAAATCATCTACGTGTTCTCAGAAATTCAAATCTGACTTTAGATTTGACTTAAGATTTGACATTTGACCTTCAATGACCTTCTCAAAGTCAAAAAAGGTCAAAAAGGTCTTTTTTCAACTTGCTTCAAATTGACTAAATTTTTTTTTCAAAATCATTTACATGTTCTCAGAAATTCAAATCTGACTTTAGATTTGACATTTGACCTTCAATGACCTTCTCAATGTCAAAAAAGGTCAAAAAGGTATTTTTTCATCTTGCTTCAAATTGACTAATTTTTTTTTCAAAATCATCTACATGTTCTCAGAAATTCAAATCTGACTTTAGATTTGACATTTGACCTTTAATGACCTTCTCAAGGTTCAAAAAAGGTCAAAAAGGTCTGTTTTCAACTTGCTTCAAATTGACTAAAAAAAATTTTCAAAATCATCTACGTGTTCTCAGAAATTCAAATCTGACTTTAGATTTGACTTAAGATTTGACATTTGACCTTCAATGACCTTCTCAAAGTCAAAAAAGGTCAAAAAGGTCTTTTTTTCAACTTGCTTCAAATTGACTAATTTTTTTTTCAAAATCATCTACATGTTCTCAGAAATTCAAATCTGACTTTAGATTTGACATTTGACCTTCAATGACCTTCTCAATGTCAAAAAAGGTCAAAAAGGTATTTTTTCATCTTGCTTCAAATTGACTAAATTTTTTTTCAAAATCATCTACATGTTCTCAGAAATTCAAATATGACTTTAGATTTGACATTTGACCTTCAATGACCTTCTGAAGGTCAAAAAAGGTCAAAAAGGTCTTTTTTCAACTTGCTTCAAATTGACTAATTTTTTTTTCAAAATCATCTACATGTTCTCAGAAATTCAAATCTGACTTTAGATTTGACATTTGACCTTTAATGACCTTAAAAAGGTCAAAAAAGGTCAAAAAGGTCTGTTTTCAACTTGCTTCAAATTTACCAATTTTTTTTTTCAAAATCATCTACATCTTTTCAGAAGTTCAAATTTGACTTTACAAGTTCTCAGAAATTCAAATCTGACTTAAGTTTGAACTCATAATATTGTGAGCAACTAGGTGGTGACATTTTGTCATGTTAATGTCTTGTGATTATTTATGTTTGAAATAATAATATTCTAAAAAAGGTAACTAACAAAGAAAAGGCATTGATAAGAAAAGGTTTTAGACCAGATATATGCTTCTAAAACATATATTTAATTTTTAGAGACTTTTCTGTGATGTGAATACAAAGTTCTACATGTCATTGAAATAAAGATGGCAGTACTTATTCTTTAACTAAAAATGTCATTATGTCCAGGGATAATCACATCTTGGTGTTACACTGGTGATCCACTCGATTACGCTGGTTACACTGAAGTTACATTAACGGTTTTTTCGAAAAACAGTTAAGATCTTCACTTTTAATGCAAGCCGTTTATGTAACTTAAGTGAGGAATTAAGTTGACGATTCTGTTGTCTTCTGAACTATTTGTTCGCAAATGTGTACATTTTCTTAAACATGTGATACTGATACACGTTTGTGTTAAAAATGTCGTGGGAATTCTGCCTACAACGTGTGAAATAAGGAAAAGAGAAAAATCGTAGCTTCGACGTTCCGACATTTTCTTACCAAAACGAACCGTTTCAGTAACCAGGAGTGGATCACAAGTGTGAAAGATAGATAATGTTCAACTATTGCTATCAGCTTCATTTGTCGATTCTGTCCTCACATACAGTCACTTCTTAATCTATTGTTACATCGAGAGTTATTTTCACCTGTTGAAAACATTCATTCATTCATTTACAGGATATGGGTCTTTGATGCAGAATGGAAAAATGAGCTAAGAATATTATTCTTACACATTTTGGTATTTTTCTCATTCCAGGATGATTACAAGGCAGCTGTAAGTAGATATGATAGGACTCGTTGTCATTTATTTTAGGTTTACATTTCAGCTGATTTGTATTTTTCATATTAGAAATCATTTTATTTGAAGTTTGAAATTAAGCACAATTTTAATATAATATAATATAATATGCAAATTCTGGATGATCAGGAGCTAGATATGGCAGAATACCTATTCAAAAAATGCAGAGCCCAATATATTTTTATGAGGATAGGTATTCTGGCTCCTGATCGTTCAGTAGTTGTTTTATTATGCACCTTCTCAATCACGATTTTGAGTGTACAGTACTACCTAAATTTTGGAACTTTTGGTTTTTCTAACAATTCAGATGGCTTCAGTTTTCATTTACACTGAACGAGAAAGCGTCATCCCGGAATTTTCTTTTTCATTTAGTATAGCATTTTTATTGCACCCAAGTTCTGACTTATTAATTTTTTTTACTGATAATGTAAACTTGTTTTGTTTGGCACACGATATGTGTATTTATTTCAAATAATACTCAAGTTATAGTGATATAAAATTCTTAGGTGGGATTCTCAAAAAATACTGGACGGTCTTTTGATCAATATTAAAAAATACTCATCAGTTTTTCAAAAAAGCCAGGTATGGCAGCTTAGAACAAATCAGATTTCAATATCTAGACAAGGTGCATAATAAACCCCAATATTGTTTTGTCATGGACCTTCAAGAGAAAAGCCCATAGTTTCCTTTAGCTGCAAAAAATATGATAGAGAACTGTTGTAAATAATTGTGAGCTCCCAGCAGAAGCAATTAAGGGAATTTAGATACAGTAAAACCTGTCTTAGTGAACACCTCTCTCTAGTGAACACCTGTCCCTAGTGGACACCCTTCCTACGCACATAGTCCACTGACTTCTGTATAAATTACCCTCTCTCTAGTGAACACCTACCTACAGTGAACGTTTTTTCTTGGCAAAAAAATGTTCACTATACACAAGTTTTACTGTATATTGAAATTGTGCGATTTTGTATTATGCATGGAACAGTTATTACTAACTTGACATTTGCCTGTACAGTACTTAGTACTAGTTAGATATTTCTACAGTTCCCCAGTGCCCCATCCTCCAAAGGTAGGACTCGAAGAAAGGAACAGATTGGATGCTGTCTGGAATCCTGTATTTGGAGGTTGACAGTGCCCTGAACCTACATTAAGTTGCTAGTGCATATAGTCTCCCAACAATGTTGACAAATTCCTCCATTTATCAGCAGAAAGAATAATGAATTTTAGTGTGTAAATCCATATTTAATATTTGTAGGATCAATCCCTCTAGCTAGTCTATTAACTGTTCCATGCTTTTATACATAGGGTTAGAGTAACAAAGGGGAGGGGGGTGGCATAATGTGAAAGATGATCATAAGGCTTCAGAAGCAACCACCCTTTATTGCTTTGTATGCCCCATAGCATATTGATATGACCAGAGCTTTCATTAGCAGGCATCAGCACGCCTTACCATCGACAAGGTACAGTCACGTGACAGTGACAAAATATACCGTAGTACACTTTTGATGTACTATGTCACTATTAACTGATTTTAAGCAAAGACTATGATGTAGGTTTGATGCAGGTTTTCAAAAATAAATTTGAGGAATACATAAAGCATTTCATGTTTGATTTTGCGTGTATTCGATTTCAAAGACATTTATTTTTCTAATTACGTTAAAAGATCTTCGAGCAGTGCTCGATTTTTTTCGTTGTAAGTCTACCCATACAATTGTTCGGTTGGAAAAATGTTGTTTTTACACATTTCCTTTGATAATTTTCTCCACTGACGTCTCAGAGTGTCGAATATTTTTATGAGAATGTGTTTCTCTAAACTACACAGTTTAAGACGGGTGAAGATTTAATAAATATTCATGCATTTAGTATAATTTAAAAAATCAGAAATGTACGTTGTCAACTCACAGTGTATGTTGTCCCTGTAATTGAAATTCAACGAACATGCTCATGTATCCCTAGTACAGATAAACAGGTAAAAGTGATTTTTTCGTTGAATGCTATTTTATTTTATGAAAGTGTTAATATGGTGATTAATATGTGACCATGGCGTGTTATTTTCCGACCTCTTTGACCACTCGGCGTTGGTACGTTACGTTATGTTTAGTTGCATGGAGAGATCTATACTAGCTAATCCAAGATGACTTTCAAAATGTATGCTACAGGGTGTCCCGAAAGTATGGGCCCCCTAGGCAGACATATACCAATGTCTCCATAGTATGTGTCATATATCATTTTAAAGCTCATCCAAAGTTACATTAATTTGCCGAGTATCATGGTTCAACTCACAAATGGAAAATAGTTACAGGAATTTCAAAAGTTAGTGTTTGGCCAAAATTAAAGTCAGTTTTACACCAAAACAATAGTCGGTGTGTCTCCTTAGCCGCCATGTTAACAGCAGAAATACTTTCCATATATGACCTTAAACAGGCTTCAAATAGGGATATGGCATTTTGTTATCCTCATAAAACCCTTTTAAGGCATAAGAAGAGTTTCCTTGGAGTATCTACCCTAAACGTCCTCTATTTAGAACTCAATATCCATCCTATATTCGAGAATAGCATCAATATTTTCTGTCACATTCAGGTCAGGGCTGTTTCCAGGATACTGAAATCTTTTTGGCAAAATGCTAATTTTTAAAATGCCTGTTACTTTTTACCATTTGAACCATCATATGTAACTTTGGATAAGCTTAAAAATGATATATGACACATACAACTATGGGGAAATTGGTATATGTCTGCCTAGGGGGGGGGGGGGGGGCATACTTTGGGACACTCTGTATATCTGGAAAGTGCAGAAGTTCAAAAGCCAGGTTATGGAACACAAAAAAAGAATTAGTAACATTGAAATTTATTATGGATTAACGGACAAAATATTAGAGTAAATATATCTGATATGCCTATCATTATTATTACTTTATTATCAAATATGTTCCTTCTATTACTACACGTACATTATAGCATTTCATTCACTGTAAAATTAACTGTGAATTGAGATCTGTAAGGCCAATGTGACAACATACATTCGAGTTGACAACATACATTATCTATTTTTCGTAGTAGCATCCAAAGTAAAAAACGGTTTTGCATTAACTCTGGATGTATATTTGTATACTTATCTTAAGTTGTGTTAGTCGTAGTTTGGCTGTTATTTGCAAAGCAAAACAAAAGTTAGAGAGAATTTTGCGAAATTCAGTCAGGATTTAGAGATCCCTGACGTACTGGGTAGATCTATAACAAGATATTGAAGTTGCTGAGGATCATTTGAAGTAGATATGCACATTTGCAACTTAATTACAAATTGAATGCAACAACTACCTGATGATGAACTGACACAATATTGATCAAATCAATGCTAGTTCTTGCCTCGCTTCCTCATTCTAGAAAATGGCGATCTAAAATGGCGGAAATGACATAGTACATCAAAAGTGTACTACGGTATATTTTGTCACTGTCACGTGACTGTACCTTGTCGATGGTCAGGCGTGATCAGGCAATTTTTTTGTCACGACATAGTCTCTAACTTTCTTGTGGACTGTGTTTGGCAGTTGTTGTTTGGCATTTGGTGGTTGATGTTTGGCATTCAGTGGTCAGCATCTGTACGAAATGGCAGGTGGTGACATTTTGCAAGCTAAATGCCTTGTCTCCTGTTGATCCTAGCAAAATTATATGTTGCTACGTGGATTTTTGCAACTGGTTTCATGTTTCTAAAATTCCTGATTGACAGTAATTCTAATGAAGCCCTGTATGCGCCAATTTATTTCATTGTATGTATTTTGTATTTATTTATAATAGCTTCATTATATATACATGTAGTAATTGTATTTGCTTTTTAGTGTTGTTTACTCTTTGGTTTCTGCATATATGGCATTACTTCATTATTTACATTTTATATACTTTATTGCTTTTTGCCTTGATGTAGTATAATGTATGCGTTAAGATTCCGTCATTGTGTTGTAATATTTTACGATGGTACACTATGAATGTACCTATTGAATCCTATTACAATATAGGGTGATTCAGAAATGTAACTCTCTTTGAAATAAGTTTCTAAATTTTGGTGAAATCTTCTTCAATGTTTTAGTGTAGAGAGAGTGTGTTAATAGAACTATAGAGGTGAACTTAGTTTCCATCAACAATTTTGTGATCATGTTTTCCATCTTGGCCTGCTCTCACATAAAATCATTCAAATCAAAAATTATTCAAAGCAAGTTTGTAAATACATATTGTACATATTATTGATAACCCATGAATAATGGCAAAGACAAAAATCTAAAAGGAAATTGCAATTGTTTGAATGTTTTTGAATGATATAATTCGAGATTATCTACATATTTCAAATGGGGGTTACTTCAAAATTAGAGGGTTGCATTTTTTGGGTCATCATGTTACTCAATTTCAAAATATTTTAGTTTCAATTATGCCTGTATTGTATTGTTTCCTATTGAGATATAAGAAGTCATACTTTTACATGTATATTGTACAATGAAAACACCACGAGTTGATATCTTAAAACACAAACAAAATATATTTTTGTATGTGCAGTAGAGTACAGTACATATTTTTATGTCACTAACATAAGAGTGACAAAGTGTTATAGTCTCCAACTTTTCTGTGGCTGGTGTTTGGTGGTCAGTGTTTGGCATCTGTACCAAATAGCAGGTGGTGACATTTTGTTAGGTTATGCTTTGTTAAAAATCGTTGAGTCTTGTATTAAGAGCTTGAAGAGCTTGACAAAACCTTTTTATTTTGCTTGTTAAGGATTATATTTATGTTCTTTCCCTTTCAGCAATCCCTGGGGAGATTCACACATGACATGACTGAAATACAGAAGTACCAATCTGTAAGTGTGACTTGTAAACATTTTCACTAATAACTAGACAGGTGTAGTTTTATAATGCTTCAGTAGTTTGAACTAAAAAGGTTAATATAAAATACTTAATATAATTTATTTGTTATGTTTATGTTTACTTTTAAATGTATTTTCCCTGAATTTCTACAATTTTGGAAGAATTCTGCGTTGCTAAAATGGAATTTAAATTATCATTGTTTCTTGTTAATGGTCACAATGACCTGTTCAGATTTTATCAAATTATATCATATAAGTAGCAATTTATACTATTTGTAAATATTACCAAAATTCTAATCTACCAAAATTTGAACAGAAAAGTAAAACACACTCCCCTGATTCTGATTCTACTGATTCTAACATTTGATTGACAGTTGTATGTTACACTTTCTATTTATAGAATGAAATTGATGGCCTGTATAAAAACTTGAAGGTCAAGCTGATCTGGTCACCCATTAAGACAATTTAAAATCTGATTTTTGGCATTTTTTCTCAGATTCTAGCTTTTATTTCTCAGTTGAAACACATATCTAGAAAAAATGACCTTTCAAACATTTCTTGGCTATCCAATATCAGACCATTTTGGGAACTTTTATGAAAATGTATTTGTTGTAAAAAGGAGAATTTTGATGAAGTTGTTGGGGCTATTTTGTCAAAGAATTCTCTACTGTTGATCATTGATTTAGGGGAACTGGCATGCAAGTCATGTCTGTTATGGTTTTGAATTATGTGTTAATAAAAAAAAATATGCAAAGTCAATGAACAATTGAACAGGATGCTCATTAGGTTTGATACAACTTCAAGGTGATTTCCTAAATTTAAAAAGATATATTTTTGGGAAATATGGTCTTAAGCTAAATATCCAGAGGCAATTTCGGGAATAGTTTTTCACATAGACAAAAGAAAAGAAAAAAAGGTATGTCAGAAAACACCTTAAAGGTGATAATGATACGATAATGGTCTAAAACCTGTGATATTTCAGTGCATTAAAACTTAATGACTTAATTACTTTGTCATTTCTATTTTTAGATTCTGTTGGACCAAGCACACAGATCTATCTGTAAAACACTACACAATTTTATTAGGAAGTAAGTTAATATTAAGGCTATGTGCTACCCCTTACCCTAAATATTATATTGTAGGGGAAATAAATAATAAGAACCAAAAATCTTAAGTTTCTTTCAAATTTCAAAGTACATGTATCAGTGGTACAATTTGTAAACTACATGTAGAAATCAAGACCATAAGAAACATATCTGTGTTAATAGTATTCCCACCCACTCCAATGAAATAAATATTGATTCCAGTGATATTCGTAAGATCAAGGAGGCTAAGAAGCATTTTGATAAGCTCAGCGATGACATGGACAATGCCCTTGTGAAGCATGCCCAAGCGCCCAAGTCTAAACCACAAGAGTATGAAGATGCACATAACACACTGACAGCTATGAAGTCAGCATTCAGTCACACATCTCTGGATTATGTCTTCCAGGTAAGATAGATGGGGTACTTTACCAGAATATTCTTACCGAGGAGGATTCCTAAAGCTTTTGTTGTATTTATCAAAATCACGAGGTCAAAGATTTATACATAGCTAAGACATGATATATCACATTTCAAACAGATCATTAAAATCATAAGCATTCTTAAAATTTCAACACGAATGGCTACTTTCAGATAATAGAAATTGATGACTCTCATCAGTTTCACAATTTTAATTTGCAGTTGAGTGAAAAACTAAATAGTATCATAATGAATAGCAAGGCACGTGCTTATGCAGATCAAAATGTCAAAACAGTTTCCTCGCAAAAATCAACAAAAATGTTGTATCCTAGAATCTGAATTCAGGCCATCAACCTCATTTAAAGTTTTGAAACAAGATATTCGTTGTTAAAATGCACAATTCGTAGTAACAATATACCTGTTAGCAATGCTACTTTCTAGTTCTTCGTATTATATTTCCAGATGAATATTCTTCATTCCAAGAAAAGATTTGATGTTCTCGATACAGTAAGTATGACATGAAACATTTGAAATTATAAACTATCCTGAGATAACCAATCCAATTTCTGACGTTTGTAACAGTAAGTCTTTATTGAGCATAAAGTATTGTATATTGTGTTTTTCATTTTTATCCCATCGAACGAAGTTCGAAGGGATATAGGGAACGCCTCCATCCGTCCGTCCGTCCGTCCGTACGTCCGTCTGACGTACGTCTGTCCGTACGTCCGTCCGTACGTCCGTCCGACGTACGTCCATCCGTCCGTCCGTACGTACATCCATCCGTCTGTCCGGGCAATAACTCAAATATCGTTGGCCCGATTTTATTCATATTTTGTACACATATACCCTATGGGGGTAGAAGTTCTGCTCGAAAGCCGATTTTCAAAATGGCCGCTCATTTCAAAATGGCGGCCATTTTAGTGCCGATTTTACAGTAATTTAGGTGCAATATGTAAAACTGTAATAGCAATATGTTTTAAATGTAAAAAAAATTATATAGGACATTAATAAAGCTAGAAATGTAGATATTAAAAAAGCACATGGCAGCCATCTTGAAAAATGGCGGCCTTTACTCGTTATTTTACGATTTTTGCTGTAACTCGAAAATTAGCGGAGCGATTTTGTTCATATTTGGTATGTGAATACTATAAGCATGGCACGCTGTCTAATCACACTTTTGGTAGAAGGCGGCCATTTTGAAAAATGGCGGACATTTTGAAAAATGGCCACCATTTTAACTTATTTTACTAAAACTCGAAAAGTAGTGGAGCGATTTTGTTCATATTTGGTATGTGAATACGTATAAGCATGGCATACTGTCTAATGACACTTTTGGTAGAGGGCGGTCATTTTTCAAAATGGCCGCCATTTTAACGTATTTTACTATAACTCGAAAAGTAGTGGAGCGATTTTGTTCATATTCGGTATGTGAATACTGTAAGCATGGCACACTGTCTAATGACACTTTTGGTAGAAGGTGGCCATTTTGAAAAATGGCGGACATTTTGAAAAATGGCTGCCATTTTAACTTATTTTACTATAACTCGAAAAGTAGTGGAGCGATTTTGTTCATATTTGGTACGTGAATACGTATAAGCATGGCACACTGTCTAATGACACTTTTGGTAGAAGGTGGCCATTTTTCAAAATGGCCGCCATTTTAACATATTTTACTATAACTCGAAAAGTAGTGGAGCGATTTTGTTCATATTTGGTATGTGAATACTATAAGCATGTCACACTGTCTAATGATACTTTTGGTTGAAGGCGGCCATTTTTCAAAATGGCCACCATTTTAACTTATTTTACTATAACTCGAAAAGTAGTTGAGCGATTTTGTTCATATTTGGTATGTGAATATTATAAGCATGGCACACTGTCTAATGACACTTTTGGTAGAAGGTGCCCCTTTTGAAAAATGTTTGATGGGATTCGCTACGCTTTGGCGTTGCCGTTGTTCTGGTTTCAATTAATTGCTTTGAATAATAGTATCTCCATCTCATACAATTTTTTAAGTCTTCCTAATGGGCTTTGCACATCTGAAACTACATTCAGCCGTAGGAGCCGACTAAGCAAATATTTACAAGACCTTGGATGCATACTCTCAACTAATTTCATATATTCTAATCACCAAAGTAAATGCCAGACTTACTTTTCTTCAAGACAATGTTGACTTAAACTTCAATATTTCAGATGCTGGCATACATGCATGCCCAGAATGCCTACTTTCACCAAGGCAATGACCTCTTCAATGACCTTGAACCCTACATGAAACAACTGGCCAATCAGGTAATTAGGTGAAGTTTTAATAGTCAACTACTGTATATGGGGTATGATTATCCCACTGAACTTCCTGTTAATGTCTTTATACATTTTGGTATGTCATTGGTGTAGTTTTTATTCGGATACCTCCACTGCCTTGTTATTTCAGGCATAAAGTTCAAAATGAATGATCCATAGGCAACTTATTAAAATTCAGTTGGGATCTGCTTCTCTGTAGATTTGCCATTTTAATGTCACCACCACAGATGTTTTAACAACATGTTGGGGTCTCAATCTTTTTTTGACGGCAGACTGCATTTGACATTCAATGTCTATACCAAATGGCATTTGCTCATAGAAACTATCCTATGGTTTGATTTATACTTGTCCAGTGATTAAAGATGGCATACTTGATGGTGGCTAATCATCTGAGAATTAATAATTCATATTATCCCTCAAAATTATTCCACATTTGTGCTATTTCAAACATAAAATATTGTTAATAAGGAATGGCTGGAAGTTAAAGCATAATGATTTTAGAAAAAAATATTTTGACCATATAACTACTTTGTGGAGTTGTTATTTTATTATTTTCTCCATCGCTCTCTCATTGCTCTCTCTACTCCCCAGGTGGAAGAACTGAGTGCTAAAGCTGCTGTTGACCGTAAAGAGATGGAAGAGAGACATACACTAGTACAACAAAAGGTAAGACATTTTCCTAGCTCCCTTACTTTTGACAGCCCAATGTAGATCCCAATCCATTCCCTACCATTAAACAGTGGTAAGCCACGTTGTTATGGAGACTCTCATTGTTGTGAATTTTGTAACCATGTAACTTTTATGTCACCACATTTTATGTCACCACCAAGAAGTGGTGACATATTGTTACTGTAATGGTTTTTTTGGTTGTTTGCATTGGTGGTCACATGTCTAATAAATTGTTACACTTTTGTGACAATTTTCCAATTATAACAGGTGATGACTGATATTATTATGTAAATGCTTGGTCCTGTTTGGAGATGATATTAAATGTACTTGTATACATACATTCTTCACATTTTACTTTACATTATCACTGTCCAATGCTATATACATAAAAGGCTGCCAAAATATTTTTTATTTTTTACGTAAAGACAGAAACACAATATTACAAGTGTAAATGCCATGTGCATTTAGGTTTAGAATTTAAAAGCAGCAGTATCAAGTGTTGGTGAACCATGATATATCATAGAGTGATCTCTCTACTAGAGACCTTTATGAAGCAAATAGAATCTACTCATCGTAAAGATGGCAGTAAAAACATATACAGGAATTTTGTGAAACTGAAACCCCAATGTATTTTAGGTAGTTTGTTTGCTATGGAGTATGTAGCTCAACCTAGTTATTGCTAACTCATCCTCTTCTAATTGAACTTGACCCCAGAGAGAAAGTGGTAGCATATGAGATGGTATAGACTTACTTACCAACTTGTAAATGCCTCTGTTATATTGCCACTTAACAGTTGCTCCAAGTTTCTTTAATAAGTTTAAGGTCAATGCTCTGACAGTTCTTTGGGGTAATAGTACAAGGATCAAGTACATCCCTTTTTTCTTTGGTTTGACAAAGATTGATATTTCATAAGAAGGAAATATAATCTGGAAACATAATTACTGAAAACATAGATAATGTTGTCAAAAATGCATTTTGATATTCCTTCAAAGGGTGCTTTATCTCAAATCTCAAAACCTGAAATGAAAGGGCTGATGTGCCTGTTCATGTTATGGAGATTACAATCAGGAGAGGTGTCCGTTTCCGAAATTGTCTTGTTCAATTTTCAAGGTTTGTGACCTGATAGCATTACTGAAATTCTAGTTTTCTAGGTCTATCCTTGAATAAGGACTCAAGGTTTGTTTTGTACCTGGTTATAATACTGTTGATCTCCCTCCTGCAAAGGAAACAATGATCATTAACACAATTTCTGAATCAAAAGGATAACCCAAAATAACACAATTGCTCAAGAGAAATATAAACAGAAATTAATAAAAAGAAACATAGCAACACCAAAAAAAGAATCAGTAACATTTGGAATTCATTTTTAATTCAATATCTTAATTTTTAAAAAAACATGGAGACCAACCAATGGTGGCTGTTACACTTTATTTTATGATTTTTGCTTATCTCGAAAAAAGTGAAGCAATTTTGTTGATAAGTGAATACTTATGGTATACTTTTTTATGACACTTTGACAAGTAGGGAGCCATTTTGAAAATTGGCAGCCATTTTTATGTGTTATTTTACTTTTTTTGCTATATCTGAAAAAATAGATACATTGAAGATACATTGAAGCGGGGTATATTTTCTTTTGACAACTTGCTTAAGATGCTTTATGAAAAATGGTGGAAAGAATGATTTTGTTGATATTTTATAGGCCTATGAGTATGTAAATACATGCAAGAATGCTACATCATCTTTGACAATACATGTATGGTAGCCATTTTGATTTCAAGCAATTTGTCTGATTTTTCATGGGATTTGTTTTGCCTCCATCTTGCTGCTATCTAGTTAAAGCACTAAGAAACCATCCCAATTGTCATGTTCCGCTCGCAGTCAAACAACCATTATCCAAAAATAAAGAAAAATTCATAGAGTTTATTGAACTCAGTTCAAACAAATGTTCTCTATCCAGATTCAAGTCCTAAATGGAAGATAATACATTGTTTCTGAATCAAATGTTATGATAAAATCTTAAGAAAACATGCATGCGAACATACTGAGTGACTCTTAAACTGGTTCTGTGAGTGTGTTCTGCCGATGGTTGGTTAGACACTGCTGTCAGGTGAGAACTTAGTGAATTATAGTTCTTGCAGAAATATCAACTTGTCTTTTCCAAATTCCTTCCTGAATACTGGAATTCTTCAAAAGATTTATAATTTATGAATACTTTCAAAATTTGATCAACGTGTGTGAGGTTGTGTTGCAGTATTGTCACATAAATTTTTCTTTTTCGCTTTGATTTTTTTCGTGAAGAAAGGGCCATGGTTTATCGGTGCATCAATGTGATTATATTGCAGGTAATGACGTCAATGAAAATTCCAACTACTCAACTTTAAGTCTGGTACCTGCCAATTTGCTCAAAGATTCATATAACTGACTAAAATTATGATGAACATCCTTAAAACTTTCTCAACAATCTAGATTAGTTTTGTTGGTACTTTTGGTTCAATGAACCATCAGATGAATTTAGGTTCAAAGCTTAAAAACATTTTCAGATTTTTTTTGGTAAGCGAGAGTGAAAGAGAATTTTAGACTGAGTTTCAAAAATTGTGGACTTAGCATAATTTTGTATATGGGGTTATAGCCTATTTTACATACTTCAGGATTCAACCATTATTTGTTTAAACAGTTTTATTCATTGTTTCATTTCAGAAGATTGATTGGTGGGAATTGTTTTGGAAATGTTGGTTTAAGTGGAAGTATGTCAAATAACATATCATATTTTTTTTTGTTTGCATTTTGTATGTATATAAGTTGCATCTAATATCCATTTTCTTTTAGCTAAATATAAATATTCATAAATGAATTTTAACATCAGAAATTAATTATGGATTTTTGGTGAGTTACTCGGAAAAGAGGCCCAATTGTTTCAAAAGGGGCCAATATTTTCCAAAAGCACCCAACATTTTTACCATATAGAAAGAATTTTCAATATTCCTGTATTTGAAGTCCAACTTTTAAATGAAAAAACATGTATTTAATCCGCTCATCTTCGCATATAGCCCCTCTTATAATGTATCAAAAGGATGAATATTGGATGACATATTTTGGAACCTTTTTGCAATTTGCATACTGATGCTTTGCACTTGTAAATTAATATAACACTTGTGCATACTAAAACCACACTTCATGGTTACACATAGCTGATTTAGATTGTTTGTTTTATGTTTTAATTCATTTTCTGTTATTTCTAATATGTGTTTTTCTTTTCCCGATGTTGCCCCTTGTTCTGTCTGGTTGATGCAAATGCCCATAAGTTGATTTTCCCATCTGTCAGTATGCAGTCAAATTTAACAATTATCATCAGATGTTTTTCTCAAATTCTTTCTCACATTCCGTGTTTAAATCTACAATTAGCTTTCCCTGCCATGTCAATAAGGTTACTAGACGGGCCATTTGTAATACATCGCTCTGGCCATTTGTCCGAGAAAATCATGAAAGAAGGAAAAATAATGTCTCCCGCAAAAGTGTAATTGAATGGCGAAATTCTGAGTTTTAGATCTCGGCTGATTTCGAAGATTTCATTTTAATGTTAAACAAACGCCAAAAAACTTCAAAGCCTATGAAGTTAATTTTCCAGGAAGAGCGAATGTCTGAATGTCTGCAGACCAATCTGCACGAAACAATATTATTTTTGGCTAACCCTGAAATGATCGTTTTAACAAATGGTATTTTAGTTGAGAACAATTTCAGGTGTTTCCGTTAACTCCCAAAGAATGATGCTATTTTCTCGTCTCTATTTTTAAGCCACATATTAGTTATGTATATTATAGCTTCTCTAAATAGATTCTACTCCAGATCTGTACTTAATAAACAAGTATTCTTACTTATATCTGGTCCAAAAATATACTTATACCCATGGGTATAATATTTTAGTCTTTTTCCTTATACCTGGTCCAAAAATATACATAATACACAAGGGTACATCATTTTAGTTTGAGTTAATTATTTGTTCTATGAAAGGTGAAGAAAATGAGATTTTGGAACCTGGAAAAGAATCGTTTAATTTGAAAATTTGATCTTTTGCTTTGATTCAGTAATCCATGGTTAACTTAACCAGAGGCTTAGTTTTCAGGGATTTGGTTAAATGGGGCTGACAATTTCCTTTTGCGGAAATCAACCAACATTTTCATCAGAACTTTATTCGAAGTTATTATGTTGAATTTGTATCAAACAATATGACCTGCAACCAACATGGTGTTTTGGGTCTCAGAGGAAAATAAGATATTGATGTTTGTTATTGTAAATCAAAAACTAATTTTCATAATCTAAAAAAACATCCAGGATATGGCAGAGTATTTTATTTACTTTTCATGGAAAATTACTTTTTGGTGGACGTTAAGTTCACAGGAACAATAAATTTTATAAAATTGTCACATCCTAAGGTAGGCACGGTACATATTACTGATTGTCCAGTGCCTACCTTAATTGCAACTTTTCTTTAACCTGTTCCTAAACCAGTTCTACCAGTCATCAATGTCTAATTATATTCTCTTGTTTCTATTAACAGCAGATTAAAGTGTTTAGTAATGTAATTTTAACAACATTATATCCAGGGTGCTCTGACCCCGAATAGTTAACCCAAATGACCTCGACTTATTTCACAAGCCTCTACTACTTTTGTTTGTTTTAGACTAGGTTTTATCCTGAAGATATGACATGGTTCTCCACTGTTTAGTCTATAAGGCAATCACCTTCTGATATGTATACAAAGGAACAGGAAAATAAGAAAGAAATCGGTTTGTTTACAGTGCTCTTGATTGTTGAATTGCCCTTTGCCAAAGTTATGAAAAATGATGCTTGATTTATAATTATTTCTGCTGCATCTGTGTCTAATTTATTCTTACATAGTGTAATGTTCCCCCATGTATGAGCAGCGATATATACATTGTTCTGCATTATTCTCTAAAGAGATTCTTTTTTGTAGGTTATCAGTAAATTCAAGCTATTTCCATGTATACATGTACTTCATGAATTTGTGAAACAACTTTGCATTTGATCTATTAACCCTGCCAGCCTACTTGCATCACCCTAGGCTTTTTGAAACATCAGAAAATGAATTGTCTGTTTTTCAGGATGGTGTACTACAGGAAGTATTTGTCTTACTATACTGTTTGTTATACATCCATTCCTATATTATATAAAAACTCCATCCCATTGTACTTAATTTGATACAACTGCATTTACTTGATGACATTGATTCAGCTCACATTGATTTTGCTGACATTGATTTTTGGTGACATCGATTTAGTTTACATTGATTTTGATGACATTGATTTTGATGACTTCAATTTTGCTGACATCTATTTTGATGACATAGATTTTATACAGTTTTGATACAGTTTTTATAATGAGACAGCTTATTGCTTATAGCTAAGACAACTGACTTAAGTACATATAAAGCTGACATAATTTTGGTATGGATTAATTAAATCAGGAAACACTGTATCAGGTGTATGGAGCACAGGATATTGAGGTTTTCAGATGTTCCATAGATGAAGCCGTATGTTTTTCTTGACAGAGCAATCAAAACATGAATTAACTTCTCAGCTGGCGCTAGAACTTCCTGACCTTGGATAAATATCACACTTTGATTTTTTCGAACACAGGGGAATATGACCGTGGATAAATATTTGTAAAGCAGATACATGTCTGCTAGGTAGGTAGCTAGGATTGCACTGATAGACCTTATAATCGGTACCCCTGCTAAGGATTTGAGACCACCTGAACAAAATGGTATTACCGCGAAATACATTTGCAAACCAGATGAAAAGCTCTATCAAAAGAAATTTAAGTCAATGAACGAGAGTTCAAATGTGCCAAATGCCAAATGTGCAACAAAGGCTATTAATGTGTTGAGATTATCATATTTTTACGGTCTTTTTGGTCTCAACATTCTTTGTCATGCCAATTTTCTAAAAATATTTTTGGAAAGATCAACTACAATTCTACACTGTTCTTTGCTGCCATTTAAATGCAAGCCCTTCTTGTATATATAAAACTAAAAAAGTATTTTATTGATACTATTAAATTTTATTCCTTTAAGATTTACATTCCTAATTTCTAGATGATGTTAATAGTGTTTTAAGCCAGGAATAAGGGGTCATTTAATCATTCATGCATTTTCAACCACAAAGAACCATCTAAAACATTGGTCCCTTTTAAGAAATGCAACTGTCCGTCTTCTTAGCGACAATTTTTTTTGATTTTTACACATCAAAACATATATAATACATTGTTCATCCTCATTTTCATTTGAGTTAATCAAAATGTACAATTATGATTATATTACAGTTAATCAAATTATGAATCTAGGTCTACTCATATAAAAGTATTTTACTTTGTACATCATGTTCTATGTATAAGCATTATATAAGAAAAGATTACATTTTCACATTTAACACATTGACATATATGAACAGGTTATAGAAAAGAGACTCGGTACATATGTGAATCTGTTGGAAGTTATTGCGGCATCTAAATATGCAGACAAAACAACCAATGATTAAAAATTCCATGATTTTTTTATGATCATATCTCTGAAGGAATTTCTTCAAACCCATAAATGGCCAGCCACTTCTCATACTGTCAAATGTACACAAGCACAAACATGAATAAAATAAAATGAATCTATAAAATGAATGAATTAGATTTTCAAATAAATGATGTCATCTTATATATTTTTAAGAAGACTCAACTCAGAAAAAAGGAGAGAAATGTTAGATTAAAAAAAATTAAAAATTGGAAAATCAAAAAAGAAGAATGTCTTGTGTGAAGTGTTTCATTGCTCTAGCATCCTATTGTCATAGAAAACCTGCCCCAGAATATTCCTCTGACTCACCAGGTTCTGCATCATAGTCATCTTCTGCTGTTGTAGAACCAACATCACCTTTATGCTTTCGGCCCTCATTGTGGTCTTCAGCATTGTTTATATTATCATTGTTTGTTTTCTCATGAGGTACTGTGGTTTGAATATTTTCCTCAATAAACTCTATATCATCATTGTCTCCACTGTGAACTCTGTCATTAGCAATTGTTTTTGGTGTTACCAGCGTCCTTGGTGTTGTTTTCATTTGTGTTGTCATTCTTGGTGTTGTTGTTGCCCTTGTTGTTATTTTTGGTGCTGTTGTTATTTTGTTATTGGGCTTATTGGCATATCTATATCTTTCCTTGTTTCTGTATTGTGCGTAAGAGTTAATATTCGTATTTGACTTTTTCTGTGTTGTTGTTATCATTGTTGTTCTTGTTGCAGCTGTTGTTATTCTAAGTTTAGGCTCATCGGCATATCTATTTTCAGCTTTATTTCTGTATTTTACATAAGAGTTTACATTTGTTCTTGGTGTTTTCCGTCTTGGTGTCACTTTAATCCCAACTTTTATTGCAACTTTTGGTTTGTTTACAATTGGTGCCTTGGGTCTAGTTTTAATTTCTACATTTGTTGTTCCTTTTACAGTGACATTATTTCTGATTAGGTGATTTGATATTATCTGTTTAGCTTTCTCATAATGTTCATTTTTCTCATCATTCAATGAATCTAGAGATGCAACAATTTGTTGTCTGTTATTTTGATCTTGTTTGTTTACAATTGGTGCCTTGGGTCTAGTTTTAATTTCTACATTTGTAGTTCCTTTTACAGTGATGTTATTTCTGATTAGGTGATTTGATATTATCTGCTTTGCTTTCTCATAATGTTCATTTTTCTCATCATTTGATGAATCTAGAGATGCAACAATTTGTTGTCTGTTATTTTGATCTTGTTTTAATACTTTTACAGTGTCTGAATCTGATGTTTTAACAATTACTTTGAAGCCATTTATTCTAAAACTTGTTTTCTTCTGTACTTGTCCATTCTCTCTCTCAATTGTTTCAGCTTTATTTGTGTCAATTTCGAGAATATCTTTTCCATTTACTCGGCGAGGGTTGATTACTGGTTGTTCTGTGATAACCTCATTTCTCATGATATTGTCAGCATCATGGTTATTGTTTGATGTAGGGATTGCTTCAGTTATGTTGTCTTCAAAATCATTTGGTTCGGTTATTTCATTCTCTGTTGCATCAGTATGTGTTATGCCATTGTAATGAGGGCTTTGTGTTTGTGTATAGGGTTTTATTTCTCTTTCACTTGCAATAGATGTAGCCTTCTCAGGTTTATTTTGTGACTGGGTCTCATAATCCTTTTCGTTTTTCTCAGCCATTGCCTCTTTAAAGTCCTCCTCATCATAATAATAATAGTCATCAGGTATAGTGTTTTTCTCTTCATCAAAGTCAACATTCTCATCTACATCATAAATTGCCTTTCCCTGCATCCATTCAGGGGTCATACATTGAATTTCATTCCCCAAATAAAAGTTCACATTGGTTTGGTTACGTATCCAGTTTCTGAGTGTAAGGATATTGGCGTCACATCGCCAGGGATTACCTGATAGTTTCACAACTTGGATGTTCGGGAAATATGATGGGAAAAATTCTGGTAGAGTTTGTAATCCATCGTACATTAAGTTTAGATCCCTGACTGAATAAAGAGTATCGAGGTAGTCAGCTGACTTGACTATCCCCTGGGCTATACTGGGGCTATTATAAAGGTCAAGGTATTGCAAGTTTCTTACACCACGGAAAATGTCAGGATACATTCTGGCGTTAGTTGGCACATGTGACATTTGCAAAGTTCGTAACTTTGAAAGTGGCTCAAAACATTCAGTACCCATCTTTCGTATAGGGTTTCTTGACAGATCTAATTTTTCCAAGTTAGTTAGATTTTCAAACGAGCATTTTTTAACGTCAGAAATGTAATTGGCTCCCAAGTCTAGAGTAATGAGGCTGGTCAGACCACTAAAGGTACCATGACATATATTGGTGATGTTGTTCTGCTGGAGGTTTAAGAATTTCAAATTGGCATTGTGGATGAAATTGCCATGTCCCAGATTGTGGATGCGGTTATTTTCTAGGTACACTCCCTCTATAGATGCTGATATATTTGTAGGCACATTTATCAGTCTGTTCTTGCTCAGCCATAACTCTTCCAATCTCGGTAGCCTGGAAAATACATCACCATCAATCCACACAACTTGATTCTCATTAATATTAAGTTTTTTAAGTGTTGAGTTTGGCATGAAATCAGTTGCAACAACTGAAGTGAGATTGTTCTTTGAGTAGCGGAGTTCTTTGACAGACCTGGGGAGGCCACCAATGATGAGCCTGAGCCCACAGTTGGTGAAGTCAGCCAGTGCAAGCCTGCTGTTGGCACTGAATCTCAAGTAAGACATCCCAACCAGGGGATTGAACTTCAGGAGTAAGTACTGCAAGTTAGGCAGATCCTTAAATGCACTTGGATGTATGAACGATATCTTATTCTTGGATAAATCTAGTAATTTTAATTTCGTATTGTGTTTGAAGTCATTTTCATTGATCGCTTTCAATTTGTTGCTTGCTAAGTTAAGGATGGACAATGCACGTAAGTCCTCAAGAGCATCCCCAATTTTCTCCAACTGGTTAGTAGCCAGGGAAAGTGTCCACAAATAACGAGCCCCGTGAAAAGTATTCGCTGTAACTTTCACAAGAGAGTTCTTACTTAAATCCAGCATCATTAACTGTCTCATCTTCATTAATACTCCATCATCAATGTGCGCAATCTTGTTACCCCCAAGTAGCAGTCCCTGGAGGTTTTCAAGTTTTGGAAATGTAGAGTTCATACTCAACTGTTTGATAATGTTGCCACGGAGATTGAGATAAACTGTTGGGATAGGTATATCCAGGGGCACGCTACGCAACATGACCCCATTACAGAAGATTTGGTTATTCTGACACATGCATTTGTAGGGACATTTAGATCCTGAAGGAGCATGGTCCCTCCCAGGTATAGGGCTCAATGGGTAAGCAGTCACATATATAGGTATCAACATACAGCATAAAGCCAGATGTAAAATCCATATTTTCAAATCTTTCATCTCCATCTCCTTATGTTAGCTATAATTTATCTCCAATGTTGTCGTGGTTGTCTTTATTTTTATTTTCCGATATCCACTTGAAATATTTTCCTTATTTATTGATATTAGCATAGAAGCTCAATATTATTAATTAAATCCAAAAATGTTTTAAAGAAATTCTCGTTTTCACTAGTTGTGTTAAAACTGTTCAGTATTTATTTAATCCTTTGATTGTTATTTCAGTACTTGTTTTGAAGAGAGGCATCTTTAAAACTTATGTTATCATGATCTAATACATTTTACAAAAATTACAGATTGATAAATTTGAACAGCTTCTTCTCACACCAGCCTCTGTATACTTAAAAATAACTCCACTTGCTTCTACTGCAGTTTTCTTTCCAAAAATGTTTTATTATTTTCGTAATCCAACTTGATAGTTTATGTCAGTTTAGCATTTTATTGAGATAATTTCCTCTTAAATTGTTATCGTTCATTGAAATTTCTGTAAATTGAGAAAAAGTGTTTATGGCCCCCAGAGAGCTGACTATTAGGAGAGTGATGTTTATTTCCTGGTGCACAATTAAGCACTTTTTAAAACAATGAAGCGCTACATTTCTGCAGGCTTAGAGGCTTGCGTTGTAGGATGTAACATTAGCTAACTGCAAGGCATCAATCTGTATTGTACAAGATTCTGTCTCTACCATTCACAGCGGCACACATGACAACCTGTATAATTTGGTTCAATATTTGAAATCACCAATTTTGCAGACATGGATTCATTTGCTGAGTGGTCAAAAAATGTTAATTCTTATTTAAGGAAGAAACTGAAAAATTGTTTCACATCATGTAAATTTTATTCAATTGCATCATTCTGTAAGTATCATATTTAAAATAATGTTTACTTCAAACATATGCATAGTGACCATGGAGTTGTAGTATAGGAAACATGGATATAACATACAAATGATAATTTTGCATATAATAAATCCGTACTTATTTTAATTTATATTTATTATAATTAAGTTATATTATTCATAACTTTACTTTGAACCAAGTTGAGTTCTATTGAATTTAGAAGGAATATGTTGTAAGGAGTGAAATCAAGTTAAAAAATTGAAGCGCATAACAAAAACATATGTTACAAGGAACCTATTACCAAAACTAATATATTTCTACACTTTTTTCAGCTCAATAAATTACACCCAGCAGTTCATACAACCGCAACCCCTTGCTTGGTTATCTCAATATTCCTGAATAAATTGCAAAATAATCAAGTTTGCAAATAAAATCTGAAAATTTTATGGACCAGCATGAGAGGTGCCTGAGCTATGCAGAGGTACAAATGGATAGAAATATTATTGGTTCAGAAATAGTATGTTTGTTTTGACCATTAACATGTCAATTGTGTGTGGTATTCCAGTCAAACTGTTGCTTCTTATTCAGTGTAACTCTTAACGGATTCACTGACTCAACCACATGGTGTGAACTTTTTGTGACTTCTTTATTTGGTAGGCCTACATGAGAAAATATTATGAAAATAGAATATTTAGCACCAAAAGAACATTCTTGTGGTTTTGTTAAATACAAAAATGTCATTTCTAATTAATTATCAAACAAGATAATATGGCACCAGAATTGAAGTTTTCAGTAACTCCTCATTAACAATACTTGTTTTCAGATAATTATGGCTATTATCAGATATTTCATTTTGATGATAAGTCACCGGAAAGGATGGTAGATTTTTTATTTGTTTTCCAGTGGATCAAGCAACAATTTATTCTGCTAATCTGACATCAAGTTCTTCGTTTTCAATTTGTCTGGAATCATTAAAGCTTGAATTACCAAATAGAGAATTAATGTATCTGGCAGACAGATTTTAATATATTAGGTGCATGTAAAAATAGTCTCAATTTTACGTATCCAAAATTACGTATCCAAAGTGATATCATATTTAAAAATCTGCATAAAACATGACATCTAAAATATGGTTTTAAAAGGTTGTGTATCAATTTTGAAAAAAAATGTTTTTCTGAAAATGTGATTTCTTACAGTTTAGACCATAAATAAATGAGTCATGGATTTGCTGAAGAGAGATTTTTCCTTGTTAAATATAAGAGCATTTCAAGAGGAGGCCATACATCTGATGAGAGTACAAAATGTAAAATATAAAAAAATTTGGTGATATGTATTGAGACAGAATTGGAAACTATGGGCTTTCAAACCACCATTGTTTGGAAATGGTGATAATATCGACTACTAATTTATTTATGGTCCAAACTGTAGCTTGGGTAGATATCCCAATAGAGTTCATGTCATAAATTCATGAAAGTTAAATATCTTGTTTTAGTAAACAAATGATAATTATATTATGTTAAACTTATATTTTTGTTCAAGCTTAATGGAGCCTTCTACATTTTAACATTGAATTATACAAGCTAGCCAATGAGTGGGGAAACTTGTACTATTTTCAACTTGGTTAATAGGGACCTTAAACGTGCAATGTTTTTCACAACCTTAACATGAATGGAAAATATTTAAGCGATGCATTTGTATGGGTGATGAGTCATACCTATAGGTTGACGTTTAGATATTATATGCAAGCTAAAATTGCCTATTATCAAAGACACAAGACTTGAATATAAGAATTGCTTAAAAGCACCCTGAAGGCCAGAAAGTAGTTGATGACACTCCCTTTGAGTAGATGAAGCTCTCTTTTAAAAGACTTCCACAGTGAGAGATACACTTCCGTGTTGCATGCACAAATGTATGATACAAGAAAGGATTTATCAGTTTCAAGGTTTTAAACAACAACTGGTCTGGTAACGTTCTGTTCTAATTAAAGATCCCATTTGTCTTAAATAGTACAACCCATTCTGAACTTGTGATTCAAAACTTGACACACGGTGTAACTAAATATTTCCTGGTCTAGATCTGGTCCTGCAACTATTCTATATGGTTCAAAAAAGTAAAATACTTTATAGCGTTTATGATATTAGCTATGTATAATGTATATTTGGTATTTCGGGCAAAGAAGTCAAATACCTTATTCGCCATTTCAAAATTATATCATAACTTACCGTCCAAAACACACCAGCCTTATTTAATCTATTGAGATGAGGGGAAGAAGGATCTGCATTATAAAAACCTCAAAAAGTCACAGTAAAATTTAGAATTTTTGTCATATCCAAGTCAACATTTTGTCAATTTTATTTTCAACTTAACAAGGCTAATCTTACATATTGAATGGCAATCTGAGTTTTCTCAGAAAAATCTCGGAAATAAGTGAGCAAAATTGATTTCTCATTTTCCCAGTTTCATCCCCCTATCTCCCAAAACCAAGAAAAAGTATTTTAAAAGTCATTTTTCTACCTTTTCATTCTTTTATTTCTATTTTACATTAGTTTTAATTCTTAGTTCCAAACTGAAGCTCAAGAAATACATGCATTTCTGTTTCTTTGATATATATCAAGAATGCATTGAAGTTATTTTAAAGCATTTTTTCTTTTGCCACATGAACAAATATTTGCACTATGGCTTGGGTTAAGCTAAATCAATTGAACCATGAGGAGGTGATTCATGCTTAACATAGACAGTGAATATTTTCAGATAATGTTTCCAAAGATCACAGACTCATCAATATTGCCATCCAATTAGATTTTCATGTGATGAAAAAATGAAACAACTCAAGGGTTCTGATGATTTATGGATTTAGTTTTAATGAAATCAAAAGTGAAATTTGTTCAGTGCTGTCAGACAACATTTATTAGTACTGTATCATGTATCAATGATATTATTTTAAAGGGGTATAACTCATTGCAATAACCCCCCTTTGTCTTTATCCTTCCAAACAGTAGATAAGAGGGGCTCTGGTACACCAGAATGGGTATAATTAATTACATGGCCAAAGAGAGAGGAGAAATGCCATAAATGTGCCATACACGATACACTGATAATTTAAAACAGAAGTTCATCTTTGCATCATGGGAGGGACATGGCATGACGGGAGGTCTTTCCCCTCTACATAATGATAAGAATATGGAACTATAATTGCTGAAAATTGAGGAATTTTCAAGATCAGTATCATCTAATCTTATTCATTGGCTGCCCTCTTCTTCCACTTTTTTACTACCCCAGGCTATTGTTTAGGTAATTATGGTAATAGGGAGCTTAAGCTTGCACTGTTTTCGACCACCTAAACATGAACGCAAGTTATTTAAGAGATGCATTTGCATGGGTGATTAGTCATATGTATCGGTTTGTGTTTCGATTTTATATGCAAGCTTAAACTGAATATTAGACTGTTAGGATATAAGGGGTTTTATGTTTGTAATCTTTGATTCACTGCCATGTTTTTCATCTGTTTATTGTGTCTTTAATTCCCATCCACTTTGATGATGATTTTAGTATCAATTTGTCTGTCAGGAAAATGTTAACGTTCCACTCAGTCAGTGAATTAAGCTAGCATCAAAGCCTTCAGTTTGTTTTAGTAATACCTGAATGACTAATTTAGCTAATATAAACATTGCAGATGTTTTTCATTATTTTCATTAATTATATTACTATGAGGTATGTTATGTTGAAAAACATTCTGCGATGCATAAAAAGTAACAACAAATATTAGAGCTAACTTTTGTTGCAATGGTAAGTCAAAATATACTGCTTGAAAGGAAACATACTTAGTATGTGAGTGATGAAAAGAGAAATCCAGGTAACGATTGAAATCATTTTGATTTGATCAGGTTTTAATGGGAAGTTAATGGATGTATATTTATAGATAATCTTAAGTAAAATGAAGTTATTAAAAATTAAGTGTATTGACCCACATTAATGGTAAAAAAACAATATTTTACTGCTCTTTATTTGTGTGTCTGTAATTCTTTTGTGTGCGTCAGTAATATATTTGTTAACTTCTGTAACAATTGAGATTCCGATAAATCAAAAGAAATCTCAAGTCTGTGGTTGGCATAATAAATTAATATTTTATTATGCATAATTACATGTTCACGCTATGGTTTAAAGTAACTACCTTCTCACTTCTAGCCTATTTATGTGATATATGGATCATCTCTACAAGGCAAAATCCCTTCATTATGTCAAAATAATTGTTTTTATGTGAAAATGTTGGCGTTTACTTTTGAGGTAAGCAGAGAGGGAAGTTTTAATGATGTTGAAGTGTCCTATTATAGAGATCTATGACAACTGCTGACTCCTGCATAAGATAACTTATGGGTTTTCGTGACAGAAATCAACATTTGCAGGTCGCATCTCAGCAGTATGTACTTTCAAGATAATTATATGGTTGATAGAAAATGTCAGAGGTTTTCTTGTCCCTTGAGTAATGACACAATCTGCCTGATTTCATCCTAACTTTAGGAAATGAAGCTGGAGCATTTCTTTTGTGAAATCAAAACCGTGGTAACCTACGCTACTGTGGATGGTGTGTTTGGAAAAGTATTATTGTAATCAAGGATCTGGTAGCCATGGTGATGTGCACAGGGTAGCAACAATGTGCTTGAAAAATCAGGGATTTTCAAAATTGCTCATAAAGTTTTGAAATGTCCAAAAAGTGAAAGAGAAAGCCACAACGTTTAATTCTGCATTCTAAAGTGGGAGCAAAAGAACTTTTATCAAACCTCAGATAAGATCTTGCAAAGGAACAAGATCCTCAATGTATAATTATGCTATGATATATATTTTTTTTGTTATTCCCTTTGCTGAAGTTTGACTTTTCATCCTAACTATTCATTATTTATTGTCAAATCAAACACAAGGGGCAACATTTGAAACCTAAGCATTTAAACCTCTTGTAATTCTTAATTCACAATTGAAGCGAAGATCGAATAAATTAGAAATACAACCATGTAGTTTTATTTTTACTGCATATTTTATAATGTTATCATTATTACTCTTTTAAGCTGATCGAGCCTCTCATGTGGCTGTATATTTTTATGCAACAATCTTTCATGTTGATAAGAAATTTTCTTCTTTCAATAGATGGCAATATGTTTAGAGATAGAAAGAAATGATGTGGTGCCATCTTTATGTTCAGAATGAAAATGCTTGTAATTCAAATCTACATCAATTTATTCCAGGTGTGATATTTTAACTGTTGCTTAAATTTTCTATTTATATTTTTTGTATAACAAGGAAAGATGAGACAAGAAATTAAATCAAAACATTTCTAATAATCAATAATTCATGTAATTAATAAACCTTTTATAAACCTTTTGTTAAAAAAAGTTCCAATTGATTATCACATGAACAAAACTAAAATCTATGATCCTGTAAAACATAGAGAATATAAAAATAAAAGAATGCATAATAGTTTATATTGTTTGAGGTGCCATCTATTAGGCATTTGTTTTTCATCTAAACTATTCTTTTCCTTTACTTTTTCTTTCCTTCTGAACATCTTCAATTCAACAGAGAGAGATGCTATGAGTGTCAGAATGTTCCCAATATATATATGCTATATTTTAACTTAAGTCTAACTAGTTTAACTTTCCTTGATAATTTAGCATACAATTGATTATACAACCCGTATGCATCTATTTCGATATATTTGATTATGTAAACATGTGACAAATATGTAGCTGTTTCTGACTTAAATAAATATATATTAAAAAAAAAAAATTTTTTAACTAGTCTTGGAAGGTTATAGTACTCCCGAGTGAGTAACAGAAAGTTAATCAAAGGTATTCATTGATGCTTAACTGTATAGAATTACTGTAGTAGTTCTCTATTTTGTGATTTCCATGTTATTTTTAGCAGTAAGGGTATATGCTATCAGGGTATAAACTCATCAATGTTGCACTATCTCTCGCTAAAAGGCCTTCTAAAAGCCTCTTGTATTTTGCAGCTCCTTTGATTTCATTTTTTAGAGTTATTTTACTGTAAACCTCTCTAAGTCAGCAACTCACAGCCCTTCATTTAATATCCTTTGTTCTGTCAAATAATTGTGATATCATTTTTGGGAGAATTGATATTTAATTATAGGCACATCTCATAATTTCAGTTCCATTTATTTGGCAAAATTTAGGACATAATCGGCCAGGAACATAAGTTGTTTTACAGTAACAGAGATACTTGGATATTTCTTGAATGTTTTATTATCTTCTTTGGTCAGTGTACCAGATTAAGCTATTAATAGACACAACTTTTCACTATGACTGTAGTAAACTAAGACTTTTTGAGAGTTCTCATCATTTGTTTTGGGAATTCAAATAGGCGAATGTAAGAATTAAGTAGATGCAAGAATCCTGAATACTCTAAATGTGGCTCATAACACTTTGAGAAGATAGTTTTATCTCAGGAAGGAAACATTACCCCATTACCATAGAGTAGCTATGTGCCTAGTTTTGCAATTTGCAGAATCTGGTAGACAATATAGACTTGTACAGTGTACAATATAGACTTGTACAATGTACAATATAGACTTGTACAATGTACATGTATATTGTTATATAACTAAAACTAACATATAACTACTAACAGAACTTGTTACATGTACAAGTGCTAAGGATTATGGATGGGGATTTTGAGCAGCATTATGTCTCCTAGCTGTCAATAAAACAGTATTCTAAATGTGAAGACAATGTCTGCAGTTCCATATAAGCATCTTATTGAAGAGGTAAGAAATATACCATATTTGGTAACCTCTGGACTAAAAGAAATTTTAATTAAATTATTCATATACAATACATGAAAGGAATATTCAAGGATTGAGTAGTCATCTCTGATTAAGAAGAGAGTCTGAATGGTTGTGTCACACTATTTATCTGGTTATCCAAGTTACAGGTTACACAATTTACACAGGTTACAAGTTACACCAACTGAAGTTAAAGTCAAGTTATACAATCAAGTTAAAGTCAAGTTTTACTTGTACAATCAAGTTACAGTCAAGTTAAAGGTCAAACAGGCATCAAGTTACGCAGGTCAGTCACAGGTTACCAGGTTACAAGTTACACAAGTATCCACTAAAAAATGAGGGGGTGTAAATCCTTTACAGTATAGTAAAGTGCATTGAGGGGTTAATTCTAAAATATTTCTGCTTGGAAGTATATTATGAATAAAATGTTTTTCTGTATCTCAAGAATTTTATTAAAAGAAAGGTAAATGAGTCACCACATGTGCTGTCAAAGCTGAACTTGAAAGATAACAATTATCAAAATAGCAAAAATTAAATTACATTTTAAATGTTAGCCTGACATTATTATTGTAAATGATAAGCTAGGTTTTGATTGCAAAAACATCAGAGGTCTCTCAGTTAAAATAAAACATTTCTTATTTTGTATATTTATCTATAATTAATAACTCTTTAGCTAGGCATTAGAGGGTATTCTGTACTCCAATAGATAGATCAGGCTGTGGACCCCATAATGCCCATTTAAAAAAATTGTAAAATCTTTTTTTAATTATTTGTTGCAAAAATTATATCTTTTACAAATCTTTCTTTTGTACCATTATGCTAATTGACCCAAGGGGCTAAGGTTGGTTTAATGAGTGATCTCTTTTCAAAATCAAAGTGCGAAAAATGATCTTCAACCTTTGGCAATGTTAAACTGTCATTATGCTAATAAAATAACGGTCTAATAGTTGTGATATGTTCGTACAGTACATGATAGCAAAGTGAACTGTACAAACTACCAAGTTTTACTCTATATGAATGGAATGAATTTATCTAAATAAGGAAGTAACTTTTAAGCATCATGAAGTCATAGGGGTGTTGGCACGGAATACAGAATTTAATCTTAAGGACCCCAAGACAAGGGACATTAAATATTCTCTGACGGGATATACTTATAGCTCTATTTGATGACATTGAACACGTGAAAGGAGTATATTATGATGATGACATACTGAGAGTTGAATAAAAATATTTGGATAGAAACCCCAGCTATTGTGTAGTCTTTATCTGAGATTAATATTGATTGTCTTGTACTTGATAAGGAGGACTTTTACAATGTACAAGTCAAGTATAAGTCTAGCTCTAATCAAATAAACAATGATATGTCATCATTAAGGTTCCACCTGCTGTATAGGTGATATACTTACCAGAAGGAACAACTGTTCATCATTCTATCAGAGATGCATGTATAATATAAACAATTCCTAAAATGGATGGAAATAATTTCTTGCGCAAGGTTGTAAAACAATATGAGACTTTAAAAAGATGGACTCAAATAAGAACTTCAGTAAGTTATATTTTTAGAGGGAGTGCATTATATACCATTTGTGATACTTGTAGTGATTTCTATTAATCATTTAGTGTTCAGGTTTTGATGGGTCATGTCTGATCTTCTATGGTAGCTTTTCTGACTTGTGTTATCATATAAAATAATCAGGCGTTGCATTCAAACAGTATTTCAGGGTCAGGAATCTTGTAGTTGATCACTAACCTTGAATTCTTTTGATATTGTTCATGAAATGAACTTTTTATATTAAAGGAACTAGAAGAGAAAGGTTGAGAGTTAGTTTTAAAAAAATGGTCACAATTTTACAGCATGCTTCCTGATTCCATGTCACGCTTATTTTCTGACAGTCTAACAGTTTTGACTTTTTTCAGGAACTTGTCTCTTAGAACTCTAATATACTCTTGTATACCCTACCTTTTACCTGAATCGAATGTATTATATGTTTATTATATATAATTGTAAAACTTGCAAATCTTATAATTCTTTTCCTCTACTATATTTTTAGGAGGTGGTTGAAAGTAGCGATGAAGAGGCATCAAGTGAGAATGAGAGTGAGGCTGCGGACATAAAGATGGAGGGATACCTATTCAAACGCACCAGTGGCAAGTTCAAGTCATGGGTCAGGTAAGTGTCATGTACAGTAACACCAACGCATTACCAAATATGATAGAATTAAGAGTTGCAGTATAAAGAGTTTAAATACAGTATTGACTATCATACTGTATTATGATACTGTAAAACATTACTTATGGGCATTGTTAGGTGAATGCTCACCAGAAAATGTACATCAAATACCTTGACCAGTCAGATTTGACCATAGGCCAAAGTTTTATCATTAGAATAATTTTCAACTAGGCTATTAACTCTATTGTTAACCATTGTCCTATGTATTTTCAAAGCGCACTCATACTAAATTATTAACTACCTTCTAACCTATCAAAAATCAAGTATTTTCTCTTATACCCATAATGCATCTGTACATTGCAGAAGGTACTTCATGATCCATGAGGATCAGCTGGTGTATCGTAAGAGATCCAAGGATAACCTGACCATTATGGAGGAAGATCTCCGATTGTGCCTTGTAAAGCCACATGTAGAGCTTGACAGGAGGTTCTGTTTTGAAGTTGTCTCTCCAACCAGGTAAACATTCCATTCTTGAACCAGCTGTAGGAAATTATTTCTTTGCTTTAAGATAATTGTTTCAAATGAGAGGACTCTGAGAGGACTTGTATGAAGAAAATATGAGAATATATCAAGCTTAGTCTCTAAATGCCAGATTTTAAGTCATTTATAGAAGTTTTGGATCGATTTGAAAAGAAAGGCTGAAGATTTTTAGGAGAGAATCAGGCATATATTTTTTTTGCAACCGAATCACAAAATTAGGATATCCTATAACTATATAAATCTATTATTGCATTTTTACCCCTTTTGCCCTGGGTGATATGATTGCATTTTAATATTTGAGATTGTTCTAGGAGTCACATGCTACAAGCAGACTCTGCCGAGGAGTGTTCTGCCTGGATCACTGCCATACAGACTGGGGTTAGTCAAGCATTCAGAGATAGAAGCAGGAGTTTACCAACTAAAGAACTTGAGCGGGTAGGTGCACTGGGCTCATGGTGCTTTCATATTCATTGAATCTCTAAAACATGTGCATTTTCAGACCAATGAAGATTTCCCTCTGTGAGAAATTACGTAGATGAAATCATGAAATAGTTTCTACTGATGAATTTATTAAAGAAACTTGATATAATAACAGTATGCTCAAAATTGTCTCACATGGCACATAAAAGCAAAATTTCTTGGCTCTTTTAGATGTTTATACATGTACTTTCTTGGTACAGTGCAGACCAACAAGGAATATGATTTAAAGTGAAACCTGTATAAGTGGAACACCTTTGGTATTACTTCCTGCGAAAGTTATTTGGATTTTGATATAATAGCTTTCCCACGGAGCATTTGGACAGCTCAATGATTGTGACCTTTGAAATTGAATTAAGTCGATCAGCGGCTTACTTTTGGTCTCTAACTGTGTCTTACATCAGTATCATCAATCCGTGTAAGTATTAGAGCGCTGAAATACTTCTTTTTCGATCAAGACTTGAAAATTGTTCATCGAGTGAATGTTTTTTAGACCTATTTCCAATATGGCGGTTTGCTAGGAGCGAGATACGCAACGAACGAAATTAATTTTGAGAATTAGTTAGGTTCGGACAACCTCCGGAAATGTACGAAAATGTCCGAGCAGAAAACGCCATATTGGAATTCGGCAGTAAAAACATTCACTCGACTAACAATTACAAGTCTTGATCGAAAAGGAAATACCTCAGCACTCCAATACTTGCACAGAAGGATGATAATGATGTATAGCATAGTTAGAGAACAAAAGTAGGCCGCTGATCGACTTAATTCGATTTCAAAGGTCACAATCGATGAGCTGTCCACTTCTCCCTTTGAGAGCCATAAGTTTCAAAATCTAACATGGCTCTCGAAGTGAGTAACTTTGGTACATCTTAAAATGTTCAACTAGGGAGATATTCCTCTTACAGAGATTTATTTAACATTAAGTCAATGTATCTTGGGACTCCATTTCAAAGGTGTTTCACTTGACAGTTTATATGCATACTGTATTTATTTTTAGGTGAATACAAATGGGCCAAGCAACACTGAAGCTACTACTGTCTCAAGCAAATCTCCTACACAGAGCACCAGTACATCATCCTCAGGGGAGAACAACCCAAGTACAACAGCACCTCACCCTGTTACAGCTAAACAAACCAGGTTGGTAGAAATAGTACACTATGCCTTGCATAATAAAGTTCAATCCTGCTGCATGATCACCTCTGTGCATAGTTTTGAGATCTCTTCAAAGTGTTGTTTCATAATTTATACTCAGTATTTCATATAATATCACAAATATTGTTTCAGTTTTTATTCTTGAATCAAATAATTCAAAATGGTCACAAAATATTTTGTTTGTTGGGATTTGTTACTCTGTCGAATTGCTGTTTTCTTAATAGAAAGAGTATTTTGTGAATTTGACTTTTGAAAAGCCATTACTTTTCAAATTCAGAAACAGATTATTTGTCTTGAAACACTTCTCAGATTTCTTACATACTGTAACTTAAGAATGCATAGTCACATTGACTTGAAATGTTACCATGGTAACAATTAAGTGGACTTGTAACATTTTGTAACCATTTGTAATACAAGGTTGTGACATTTTGTCATGTTAATGCCTTGTTAAAATTTATAGCAAAGCGTATGCTAACATCCTGAACATTAAATATGTCTATTGTTTTCTAGAATGAAACAGTAACGTCTATTCCTGGCAACAACTAGTGCTGTGATTGTGTACGCTAACATCATGTACAATATATATTTCTTTGTTGTTTTCTAGAATGAAACAGCTACTGTCTATACCTGGGAACAACCAATGCTGTGATTGTGGCTCTACAGAACCTAGATGGGCCAGTATTAACTTAGGGATCACATTATGTATAGAATGCTCTGGAATTCATAGGTAAAGTATTGAAATATATTGGAGGCTTAACTGGATTGCTTTCTTAATTGAACACTGTGGCAGTTAAATTATACATTTTTTAGTCTACCCTCGTCAGAATTATACCTTTATACCTTTATATACCTTAAAGATAATCTCATCAAACAATTAAATAGAGCGTGTGAAGGATGGGCCAAATAATATCTACACACATTCTATTTTGTTAAATATTACAGTGGGTGCCTGAGCTTTTTCACAAAATAGACATTTTAAAAATTAAAAAAGAATACTGTAGTCTACTAAAACAAATTGATTTGTGACCTTTTCCATTTAATGGCCTAATGAATATGAGCGTTACATATAGTTTATTTCAAAATATTTAAGATTGTGTATACGCCATATGCATATTAATACATGTTTGTGATATTTTCAGGAGCTTTGGTGTTCATATGTCAAAGGTGCGCTCTGTGACATTAGACTCATGGGAACCAGAATTACTGAAGGTGATGGCAGAATTGGGGAACACTATTATTAACAGAATATACGAGGCAGATGTTCCCGAGTCATCTACTATCACCAGGGCAACATCACATTGTAACAGGTAACCAACTATATGTATCGTTTTATGTTACCAGGGCAACCACACTGTAGCTGTTTGATATAGCTACATGGTATACATTATCCAGATGATGTTTGAGATTTGTCATTGATTTTTTAAGTACAGATTTGGTATGTATCTAATATCTAAATGTCTATCTTAGTATAAAACATACAATGGCATGTTCTGGAGAGTCATGTAGGTGTTGTCATGGTGCTGTTTGTAAAGCAGATCTGCCGGGTTGTCATGGAGATGTAGCATTGTCATCAGGGTTGTTGGTGATTTATCTCCCATTGCTGGCTACCATTTAGATTCATTGAGTTACATGTTTGATGGTGTAGTTGACATCAGATTTAAAGATGTAAATGACATCGCAATTGATACTGTATTTGACATCACGTTTGATGATGTCACTAAAGGTGTATTGTCTTTGTGTCTATCAGTACTGTCATCATTGACACCATTGTTAAGGTTTATCTGTGAATATGATGGTGGGTCAAGTTTATATGGTGGTGGGGCAAGTATAACCTCACCATGTTCATTGTATGACACTCTGGTTGCCTCGCAATATGCTGACACCGTAGGTAGACTTGTGTGCTGAGAGGAATCTGGTTGGCTTATAGGCTGGATTTGTCTCACCATATTGCGATTATGTCTCTACAATAACAAAATCATATCTGATTTTTTTATTAGCTGATTTTCAAGATGTATCTTTGGAATAAAAGTAAAAATGTCTATTTGGTAGGATGATGAAGTTTTTGCTGTCGTTTTGACTTTTAAATCTTTTTTCAATGAATTCTGCCAACTGGAAGCAAACATTCAATGTATTTAGCAGTATATGTATTCCGTGAACCTACCTTACGTTTCTGATGGTAAAGAAAAGTGCCCCTTCCAGCCTTCAGTTCACAGTATTGGCTCCAGACACACATGATACAGTATGCCTAAAATCATGAAAGGAAATATAGAATTAATTTCATATCAGGTGTGCAGTATTATGGAAATGTCAGATGTGCAGTATTATGGAAATGTCGGATGTGCAGTATTATGGAAATGTCAGATGTGCAGTATTATGGAAATGTCAGATGTGCAGTATTATGGAAATGTCGGATGTGCAGTATTATGGAAATGTCAGATGTGCAGTATTATGGAAATGTCAGATGTGCAGTATTATGGAAATGTCGGATGTGCAGTATTATGAAAATGTCAGATGTGCAGTATTATGGAAATGTCGGATGTGCAGTATTATGAAAATGTCAGATGTGCAGTATTATGGAAATGTCGGATGTGCAGTATTATGGAAATGTCAGATGTGCAGTATTATGGAAATGTCAGATATGCAGTATTATAGAAATGTCAGATGTGCAGTATTATGGAAATGTCGGATGTGCAGTATTATGGAAATGTCAGATGTGCAGTATTATGGAAATGTCAGATGTGCAGTATTATGGAAATGTCGGATGTGCAGTATTATGGAAATGTCAGATGTGCAGTATTATGGAAATGTCAGATGTGCAGTATTATGGAAATGTCGGATGTGCAGTATTATGAAAATGTCAGATGTGCAGTATTATGGAAATGTCGGATGTGCAGTATTATGAAAATGTCAGATGTGCAGTATTATGGAAATGTCGGATGTGCAGTATTATGGAAATGTCAGATGTGCAGTATTATGGAAATGTCAGATATGCAGTATTATAGAAATGTCAGATGTGCAGTATTATGGAAATGTCAGATGTGCAGTATTATGGAAATGTACGAACTGCATCAAAACATGTGAGGATGAGCAATTGAAGATTACACTATCTCAATAAATACATGTATAGACCAATAAACGAGTAGACCAGTTCTCAGTTGTACAATACTTAAAATATCAAAATTACCTTCCTTTCAATTTCCATCAAGTATCTCAAAATATTCATACACTTACTTATCACTAATAAAATAAGTTTACTTACATTTAAAGGTGTCCGCATGATGTAAAACATTATTAGAAATATTGCCCAACCATCTGGCGTCTGTAATCAATAAATATTTGCTTGATTAAACTTCCAAAATCTAAATGATAATTCTGAACCAAGGGAGGAAACAAGTATTGTGAGGGACTTAAATACACCAAATGTTTCGGGTGTCTACAAAACAAAGACCTAAGACCTAAGACCTACAAAACTAAGACCCCCCACGTTATAAAACTAAGACCCTGTTATAAAACTAAGACCCCCCATGTAATAAAACTAAGACCCTGTTATAAAACTAAGACCCCCCACGTTATAAAACTAAGACCCTGTTATAAAACTAAGACCCCCCACGTTATAAAACTAAGACCCTGTTATAAAACTAAGACCCCCCACGTTATAAAACTAAGACCCTGTTATAAAACTAAGACCCCCCACGTTATAAAACTAAGACCCTGTTATAAAACTAAGACCCCCCACGTTATAAAACTAAGACCCTGTTATAAAACTAAGACCCCCCACGTAATAAAACTAAGACCCTGTTATAAAACTAAGACCCCCCACGTTATAAAACTAAGACCCTGTTATAAAACTAAGACCCCCCACGTTATAAAACTAAGACCCTGTTATAAAACTAAGACCCCCCACGTTATAAAACTAAGACCCTGTTATAAAACTAAGACCCCCCACGTTTTAAAACTAAGACCCCCCACGTTATAAAACTAAGACCCTGTTATAAAACTAAGACCACCCATGTTATAAAACTAAGACCCTGTTATAAAACTAAGACCCCCCACGTTATAAAACTAAGACCCTGTTATAAAACTAAGACCTCCCACATTATAAAACTAAGACCTTGCTATAAGAATCAGTCACCGTGCCTTGCTCTGCTCGCCACAAGGTAGTCTTGCCTCTGGGCCTTGTGTTCCCCAGTAACATACAACAGCGGATTATATAAAAATGGACTGTAACAAATACCCGGATTTGTTGATTTTTAAAAAAAGTAATTTTTTTTTGATATCACTTTTAATGCCCGGCATAAAAAGTGATGTCCCATTTTATGCTGGCATAAAAAGTGATATCCCATTTTATGCTGGCATAAAAAGTGATGTCCCATTTTATGCTGAGCATAAAAAGAGATACTCCATTTTATGCTGGTATTGTTTTGGAAGTGATGTTTAATGGTAGTTCAAGATTTAAGACCCATCATTCTGGCACAGATTGCTGAACCTTTGTTAGTTAAGAATTCCTAATAGAATTAAGAATTATTAGCTGAAACTGAGTTGTTTTGCCCTAGCAAACAATTTTCCAACTTGTAGTTCAACTTCTCAACTTCTTCTGTCTATTTGTTGACAGTCTGTGATGTCATCATCAATCATCACAATAGAAATGAGGTAATTCACGATGACATCACAAAGTACTCTGATGACATCATCAATCATCACAATGGAAACGAGATAATTCATGATGACATCACAAAGCATCTCTGTCATAGATAGAACTCTGCCACATTTCTTAGAAATCAAACTACTATGTGACATCATAGATAATCTCACTGTCACAGATAGAATTCACCTAATTCCCATTGTGATGATTGATGATGACATCACAGACTGTCAACACATATAGACAAAAATGAATTTCAAATGCATATTGGGATATTGTTTGCTAGGACAAACAGAACAGTTTCAGCTATTAATTCTTAATTCTATTAGGAATTCTTAACTAAAATAAGTTCAGCAATCTATGTGAGAAAGATGGGTCTGAAATCTTGAACCACCATGTTACTAGGGAAAACAAGGGTCAATGGCAAGACTACCATATGTGTATGTTACTAGGGTAAACAAGGGCCAGAGACAAGACTACCATGTGTAGAATCTTTATGTTAGTGGGGAGAATCTGTATATTAGAAGGGAACACAAGGACCAGAAGCAAGACTACCTTTTGTAGAATATTTATGTTAGTGGGGAGAATCTGTATATTAGAAGGGAACACAAGGACCAGAAGCAAGACTACCTTTTGTAGAATCTTTATGTTAGTGGGGAGAATCTGTATATTAGAAGGGAACACAAGGACCAGAAGCAAGACTATCTTTTGTAGAATCTGTATGTTACTAGGGAACACAAGGCCCAGAGGCAAGACTACCTTGTGGCGAGCAGAGCAAGGCACGGTGACTGATTCTTATAACAGGGTCTTAGTTTTATAACGTGGGGGGTCTTAGTTTTATAACAGGGTCTTAGTTTTATAACGTGGGGGGTCTTAGTTTTATAACAGGGTCTTAGTTTTATAATGTGGGGGGTCTTAGTTTTATAACAGGGTCTTAGTTTTATAACGTGGGGGGGTCTTAGTTTTATAACAGGGTCTTAGTTTTATAACGTGGGGGGTCTTAGTTTTATAACAGGGTCTTAGTTTTATAACGTGGGGGGTCTTAGTTTTATAACAGGGTCTTAGTTTTATTACGTGGGGGGTCTTAGTTTTATAACAGGGTCTTAGTTTTATAACGTGGGGGGTCTTAGTTTTATAACAGGGTCTTAGTTTTATATCGTGGGGGGTCTTAGTTTTATAACAGGGTCTTAGTTTTATAACGTGGGGGGTCTTAGTTTTATAACAGGGTCTTAGTTTTATAACGTGGGGGGTCTTAGTTTTATAACAGGGTCTTAGTTTTGTAACATGGGGGGTCTTAGTTTTATAACAGGGTCTTAGTTTTATTACATGGGGGGGGTCTTAGTTTTATAACAGGGTCTTAGTTTTATAACGTGGGGGGTCTTAGTTTTATAACAGGGTCTTAGTTTTATAACGTGGGGGGTCTTAGTTTTATAACAGGGTCTTAGTTTTATTACATGGGGGGTCTTAGTTTTATAACAGGGTCTTAGTTTTATAACGTGGGGGGTCTTAGTTTTATAAAAGGGTCTTAGTTTTATTACGTGGGGGGTCTTAGTTTTATAACAGGGTCTTAGTTTTATAACGTGGGGGGTCTTAGTTTTATAAAAGGGTCTTAGTTTTATTACGTTGGGGGTCTTAGTTTTATAACAGGGTCTTAGTTTTATAACGTGGGGGGTCTTAGTTTTATAACAGGGTCTTAGTTTTATAACGTGGGGGGTCTTAGTTTTATAACAGGGTCTTAGTTTTATAATGTGGGGGGTCTTAGTTTTATAACAGGGTCTTAGTTTTATAACGTGGGGGGTCTTAGTTTTATAACAGGGTCTTAGTTTTATAACGTGGGGGGTCTTAGTTTTATAACAGGGTCTTAGTTTTATTACGTGGGGGGGTCTTAGTTTTATAACAGGGTCTTAGTTTTATAACGTGGGGGGTCTTAGTTTTATAACAGGGTCTTAGTTTTATAACGTGGGGGGTCTTAGTTTTATAACGTGGGTGGTCTTAGTTTTATAACAGGGTCTTAGTTTTATAACGTGGGGGGTCTTAGTTTTATAACAGGGTCTTAGTTTTATAATGTGGGGGGTCTTAGTTTTATAACAGGGTCTTAGTTTTATAACGTGGGGGGTCTTAGTTTTATAACAGGGTCTTAGTTTTATTACGTGGGGGGGGGTCTTAGTTTTATAACAGGGTCTTAGTTTTATAACGTGGGGGGTCTTAGTTTTATAACAGGGTCTTAGTTTTATAACGTGGGGGGTCTTAGTTTTATAACAGGGTCTTAGTTTTATAACGTGGGGGGTCTTAGTTTTATAACAGGGTCTTAGTTTTATTATGTGGGGGGTCTTAGTTTTATAACAGGGTCTTAGTTTTATAACGTGGGGGGTCTTAGTTTTATAACAGGGTCTTAGTTTTATAACGTGGGGTGTCTTAGTTTTATAACAGGGTCTTAGTTTTATTACGTGGGGGGTCTTAGTTTTATAACAGGGTCTTAGTTTTATAACGTGGGGGGTCTTAGTTTTGTAGGTCTTAGGTCTTTGTTTTGTAGACACCCCAAATGTTTCTTCCAAAAAGCAATGGGTTTAATCATATTATGAACTTACCCAATTGACAGACTGCATGTGTCTTAGTGCTGTTAGTATTGTGGAGCCAATGTCAAACACTTCAAGGATCAGCATGAATACAAGCCAAGGCAGAAGGCAGACCTTTTTATCCTGTGGTCAAATACAGTAACATCCAATGAAAAAATACTGAACTAAGTGTACTCTTTACTAACAAGTCAGTATATTGTTACATGATAGAATATGCCAATTTCCTTGAACAAAACATGTCAATTGACAAAAACAAAACATGGACCAAGAAAATGAAGACATGCAATGAAAATGTTGGAAACTTGCTAAGAAGGCCCCAGGGCCCAGACATATGTGTCATCCATATAGTACATAAATAAGAATACTTACAAGGAACACCCCAGAGAGAAGGACCAGGGAGACACCCATTAGAATTGAGTACATGATGAGAGAACTGTATGTCACAATCATGTGCTCTGAAAACAGAATATAAAAAAAACATTCAGTATCATTTGCATTTTTATGTCACCCACGAGTAGGGATATATTGTAATAGTCTACAACTTTTTGTGGATGGTGTTCAGCGTTTAGTGTATATGGTGGTCAGCAGTGGATGTTTGGTGGTCAATGTTCAGTGCTTGTAACAAATGGCAGGTGGTGATATTTTGCATGTTATGCCTTGTTTGCTATTTTATTGAGACTATGATGAATAAGAAATAACTTTAGTTGGAAGTTTCAAAATATATTAGTGCCAGGTATATTACTGTGATGGCTTGGTGTTTCAATTACGACTAAATTATTCTCACCTTTGGTCTGAAGTCCAAAATCTTTTCCAACATATTTTATGAGTATTAGTATTATAAATCCACCCCCAAGGACCTACAAAATAGAATTACAAACCAAGACCTAAGAGATTAAAAATAAACTCATTATTGATAATAGGTCACATATTTAACATCCCATTAATTTTGCAATCCGGATCGGGAAGGTATAAATTGCTTAAGATATTGTCAAATAAGCTCAGCGTATTTTATTTGCTCAAAGATGTAGGTGAATTGGGGTCAGTCCAGGTTCGCCATTCAGAAGCGTGTATAGTTAAGCGTTCATTTGCATGCTATTATACTGGATGACCTGAAATGTTTATATGCAGGTCACTTTTTAAAAAGTCATTTAATAAATTTGTTTAGGTCATTCAATTAACTCTTTTTCTTATTTTCAACTTTGTTTTGAATTATTTTTGTCATATTTAAATTATATAACTGATCAATTCAGGAATGGTAAAAATTATTAATTTTTAATTTAATTAATTTTTTGAGCACTTTCTTGATTTTATTTTAGATGGGATCAATCATTCACCTGTAAAGATGCTATGACCTCAACTTTCATAAAAACTTAATTTTACTTCTATTGAATTAAAAAGTAGAAAATAAACAAACAGTAATGAAAGTATGAAAAGTGAATAGCTAACTAATTGCTGACTTCATGAATAAAGCAGGAACATTGACTGAAATTATTATCTGCATTTAAACTACATCAACTTTGAAACAAATTCAAATATAATGTAAATTATTCTAATTCAGAAGTGTTGTATACCAGTGACAATGAACTTTATGTAATGAATTGTTTGGGAAAGAAATAAAGAAAACACCACCTCAGCTTGCATGATGTATGATGAAGATATAACTTACCATTGTGTAGTAGCCAGAAAAAAGTGTCCCTGCCCTCGGTGTGTAACATCCACAGAATCTTTTCATACATGAAACCGTCATTTTTAGTCAAATACCTGTTTCCCAATGTCTTCTTCGGTTGTCTGTTGTCTTATATTCTAAGCAAAATATTTATTACATCACACATTTATCTTTTAAGATATATATTGTGTTGTGTTTATTACTCCAACTACTGCTGCGGGTTAATAGTGTGATGATTTGATGTTGACTATTTTCATTTTTGTTCTGTCCCCATCATCCCTTGACCTGAATGAGGACATACTGTCTTTTGATTATTTTATTGACCTGGCCCATAAAAAACAATATGACTCAAGGCTGCCAATTGACTTGCTATATACCTAGTGTTGAGTTTATTGTTGGAGAAAAGAATTGAAAGAATAACCTTAAGTGGCTTGAAATCATTGTATGCTTATAGAGGTGAAAATAATATGAGTAGTTAGAGCTTGGTTTGAATTTCTGTGGTTAATATTTTTTCTAGATCTGTGTTAATCTCTTTGTTGACCAACTACTATCATTTCATATGTGGACTGTGTTTGGTGGTTAAGTGTTTGGCAGTTGGTTTTCTGTGTTCGGCGTCTGTAACAAATGACAGATGGCGACATTTTGTATATTAATGCCTAATGGGTAATCTTACATTGACTCCCATGTTGTAAAATGATCAAGAAATGTGGACACCTATAAATCTGAACATTTGATTGGTCCCAGTAGCGTTCAGATTAGACAGGTATTACCATTGTTAAACCAGTGTATTCCTTCAGTCATATGTAAAACGTTGATGGATCAAGATCGGTTTTACTGTAGTTTAATATTTGCAGGTTTATTTGTAATAAATTGAATAGTGAGTAGTTTCTTTAGATGTATGTTTCTATTGCAGGAATGTCCGAGAAGCATGGATTAGGGCTAAATATGTTGATAAATCATTCATGAGGAAACTACCCAAAATAAACATACAAAACAATGGCGAGGATCAGATAAAGAAATGGAGTGTGGTGAAACGAAAACGGCGGTCGCCCAGTAGACAGTTATCACCAGAGGATGCAGTAGCTGAAGGAACAAAGAATAATACTCAAATGGTACAGGTATGATCTGTAGATAGAAGTACTCAAATGGTACTTACTCAAAGGGTATTACCTCTAGTAATGCATTGTAGGAAAATGTGATCATTCGACATACTTTTGAAAATTACCTTTTATTTATAGTAGTTTGTCATGCTAGTTTTGAGTAGAGTACTTTCAGCTAAGTTATTAATTATATAGACTCTTAAGCTTTTCTTCCATCGAGTCTTTTGCCTCCCCGTATCTATTTCTAATATATGTGTTGAGTTATAGGGAGACTGATGTGTTGGAGACTGAATATTTTTTAATTAACAGTGTTTTGTCTACATCAATATCATGAAAGAAAATCTGCTTGATTCAAATTTCTTTTTAAATTCTAGGGTGAGAGTCAAGACAGTGGTTTAGGTGGCAGCACGAGTGATGTCATACTATTCGGGGCAGGACTCGATACATCAGCAGAGATGGCAGATAATGGTAAATTTTGAAGTCTCTTCCCCATAGCATCCATTGAGATCATAATATACAGTGTTGCTCACTTCCATTTGCCTGTCTGTCCATTTAAAAAACATCAGCCAAGTTTCAATTTCATTAAAATGTGAGACAAATAATTCGACTCACCATCCAAAGATTTGGTATTTTTAGAAAATCTTACTAGGGTGACACCAACAATGAGTATGAACTCATTGTACAGCACACACATTTACTTGTAATTGGTGTTAATCAACGAATAATGTTTCTATTTTTTTTATTTTATTATTTCAATTTGCAGTTCTAGTGGACTCGGATGAGTCTTCCACCAGCGAGACAGAAGATGCTGACACTAAGTCCACAACATCTCTGGAGGACTTCACAAAACTACACCCAGATATGTTACTTTATAAGGTACAACAGATTCATTTTTATTATCATGATTAGAAGATTTGACATTTGAATTAGTTATTAGAAGACATTAGTTGTTAGCATAATATTACTTTCAAAATTCATTTATATTTTATGCATGCAGTTATTTGCCATTTGCAACATAATAGTGGAGAATGGAGATTCAGTTCAACTCAAAAATCAACTCAAAAATACATGTACTGTACATGTATTTCAATTTTTGAAGCTGTACAGAAATATTTTATCACAATGTAAATATCATAACACAATACAACACAACCCAATCTGTATTTGCCTATTTCTTCTGACAAAATTGTAATTGAAGTGATGTTTTTACAGGCTGCACAAGCTAGGAACCTTCCTGTGATGCGTGAGGCTTTGGCACAAGGTGCTGACCCTAACTGGTCAAACGAGGATGATGACAAGAAGAACCCTTTGATGGAAGCCACTCTGACTGGCTCAATTGCTGCTTGTGAGTTCTTGTTGCTTAATGGTGCTAAAGTGGACAAGACGGATAAGAAAGGAAGAACAGCATTACACCATGCAACCATTATGGGACATACGGGGTAAGTCAGAACAAACTCAACTAAGGTGCGCTTATTTGATTAAAAAACATATAATAAATATGATATACAAATACGAGGCTAATTGGATTAGGTATAGGCATTCATACATGTAGTAACTCATTTATTTTCTCAAAGATCAGTTAAAATGTGATAGATCAGTGCAGGTTGTTGCAGACTCAATACATACAATGTTTGTTTCTTACATGTTGTCTCCTGTATGTGTACGTGTTTTTGAACGTGACCTATATTTGGCATTTGGTGTATTTTTGATTGCAGGCAAGTTTGTCAGTTCCTAAAGAGAGGTGCCAACCAGCATGCAGTAGATGAGGAGGGAAAGGTTAGTGGTGATATAGCTGTGATTGAATCTTGTTAAAATATAATTATCTTTGCCTAAACTGTATAGTATTCATTCTCTTTCTTTTTTTTCTTTCTATTTTGCCTTGCTTCAAGTGGAAGTAGATAATTGGGGAGAGGGGGGGGGGGCAGAGACAAGGCTAATAATGGATCTATGATTTTAAATTGTACTTAAATGCAATGAACTTTGAAAAATGGTTTTCAAAACTGAGTAATAGAAAAGAAAAACTTATAAAGATTATCCATAACTACACTATGTTAACAATATACGATGCTTATTGTAGGACCCCCTCACTATAGCAGTTGAATCTGCCAATGCTGACATTGTGACTTTACTGAGACTTGCCAAGCTGAATGAAGAGATGAGAGAAACAGAGGGAGTCTTTGGGAACCCTGGTCAGTTCATTTCATGATTTGAAACATGTAACAATCAATTGGCCATTGCGTATAGAAAAGGAATATTCACAACCTAAAGCTGAACACACAAAAAGAACTTGCAAAAGTAGAAATGATATTCTTTTTAGAGCATACCTCTTTAATAACATGTGATGTATATTTCTTTGATTTTCTAGTTATCACACCGGAATAGCCTGACAACGGTAAAGTCAGATACCGTTGTCACAAATGGCGGACATAACTGTCGCTTCAATTAGATTTTCATGAACTGTATGTTTAATAGAGCACCTAGACTAAATTCATTTGGAACAACAATCAATCAAAATGTCTTAATACTCATTGTACAGTTAATAATGTTCTACCATCGAAATAAAGTCTTTAATTTAACGATCAAACTGAGATATGGGACAACGGACACTGTAATTACCATATACCATATGTCTTTCTAAATTACTCAAATTCAGATTCCGTTGTCATTGACGATATGGAAGACGTTATATTGTGGCGATTCACGACCCAATTTGATCGAAATTGGGATTTTGCATGAAACATCATCACAAGAGCATGCATAGAATTAGCGACGATAAAATCCCATGAAATGAGGACAAATTGATTAAACAGTTGAAGCGAACAGTTTGTGACAACGGTATCTGACTTTAGCATTATCAGGCTATTCCGGTGTGAGTTATGTTATATTAATGATATTGACACCATTTGTTTTTCATTTGTTTTAGGTGATGAAACATTTAACGATGTGTTTAGAGACTTTGCTACTATGGCTTCAGAAAACCCAGAAAAACTGAACAGAAACAAATGATGCAACATGCAGATTTAGCCAATATGTCACCGAGTGTACATGTACTTGTATGTAGGTCATCTAGACTACACTTATGTAGATCAAGACTACATGATCATACTCATGTCACAGGTCATCTAGACTACATGTATGTAGGTCATCTAGACAACATGGTCATAGATTATCCATGTCATCTAGACTACATGTATGACGGTCATCTAGATCATCTAGACTTCGTGTACCTTGGTCATCTGGACTACAAGTATGTAGGAGATCTAGACTACACATACACAGAAATATCAGAAACTAATCATGGAGTGGCCCAGTACGCGTACCAGCGACTATATTGGTCAATTATTGACTGAAGCCCAGGTTCCTGACGATACAATGATGTATTTCCAATTAATGATTGCCAGATATGTGATCTATCACCAATATTATCAAGTAAATGAACACAGTTCGTGAACTTCATCTAGCAATACAAGTATGTCTCTTTGAAATTAAGCCTATGATCGGGCCTATGATGTAATTACTATTCCGCCATAGGCAAGAAGGCTTTGAAATATGAAAATGTAAAGTTATTCTAAAATGTAAAAAAACTCAGTCTTGGCATGGAAATCAAAATTATACGGTTGATTTATGTTATGTTTTTAGGGCATCAGAAACTTAATCCCCCCTATCAAATTAGTATTAACATGTTATGATCTCTATTATTTTATAATTTCTGACATCAATGTCTATGTACAGTGGATTGTTCAAGAATAGAAAGATGTATATATTACTCAGATATAGAGAAGTCAAATAATATTTTTTGAAATTATATTAAATTTGTTTTAGCATTTTAGAAGCTCTTTTGAAATGTGTAATTTTTATTTCCCATCAGTCAATCATTTAAAGTACATATGTACCTTACAAGGTCGCTTTAAAATTTTATGTGGCATTTATATTGTTAGATTCGTGCATTATTTATTTCACTACAGCATTTAAAATTGTGCCCATTTCTTGCTTCTCATCAGCAATGATGATAGTTTGTTTGATTGCAGTTATGTTAAATTGTCTTCCTGTCATTCGAAATATTGTTTTCTATATTATCGCCAATAAAAACTCATGCCAAGCATGATCATGTTAACTTCAGGAATATGAATAGTCTATTTGTCTGATTTTTTGGTGCCATCTCATTTGTTTCGGACTATACTTTGACATTTAATGGTTGATAATAAATTGTATATTTGGTGAAAATAAGATTTTAACTTGGGTCAGAGGAGGCCTTCCTTTTATTATACAGATTTGCACTTCAAAATATTTTGTACTGTTACCAAGGTTGGGTGGCAGATTATGTGCTGAAATCATTGAAAAACAATGAGATGGTACCATGTTTGTTTGTGTGCTAGGTTGTCTTTGAGTAAACTTCAAGTGCAATTATCCAGTCATCTTGAAAGATGGCATCAAATAATATCTATTCATTTAGGCTGGTCCTATGATAATTTTAATGTTCAATTGATCAAGGCAGCTTTTTCTCAAAAGTTGTCATGATTCAAGATAAATTCAGAATTTTTGTGATTTTAGATATATTTGAGAAAGATAGGCCCCAAACAAATAAGATTTTTCAAACTTGTTATTTGTGGCAAAGTTTCACAGTCATTTCTGTTCAACAAAATCTGAAAATTATTAAATATGGAATGCTACGACAGATTTGATAATTAGATAACATTCATAAGGTAAACTCAGTTTCTTATTAAAAATATGTAATTGTGTGTTCTTTACTACTGTTGATGTGTATTAAAACTAAAAAATGTTGAACTTTTTTGTATAATCACCAAATCATATTCTGTACATATAATGTTTTATTGTAAATGTTTCATAGTTCATACATGTATTTATTCTGACTGAAAGTCTCATAGATTTAGGTATAGTTATATACAGTTTTATCCAACAGTGTACAAGATGTTTATAGTATTTTCAAGTGGAGAGTAACAATAGTACAATACATGTACGTATATGGATATTGTGCTGGGTTTTCTTGTTATGACATCCTGGATGGTTAGATGAAATGAGGGCTTATTTCCAGTCTGTTTTTCTTCATAATAATGCCCATGGGCATTATTTTGGAGGTATTTCAAAATAAGGAAAAGGTATCATTACGAGAAAATCTGGTATATGTATATTAATGATGTTTGTATTGTGGGATATTTCTGTTAAAAGAGTGCTGAGTGTTTTATTGGTTTCTAATATGACTATTAGTACATGTAAAATTGACCTTATAGAAAGTCTCTGAAATTATAACTTTGAGCTCACTGTTAGCTCCATTGTAAAAGTCTTTTGTCACACATTTAGTTTTCACATTATTCTGAATATTACTTAACATGTTGAGTTCACTCGGCTATTTTGGAAGTAAAAAGTGCAATAAATCAACATGTATCTTGCAATATTTGGCATTTAAAAGCAGAACAGCTGGACAGAGTAATCTATATTTTAATTTGGTGCCAGTCTTTATTGAAATGGAAAAATAATATGTTTTAAGAATTTTTGGGTCATAGTGTTCTGTAAATTCAATTTTTTGAAAGACAATTACTTCATAAATAACCTTAAAACAAAACCATTACAGTAGAACCTGTATATCTGAACACCTGGCTAATCCGAACACCTCCCAATCTGAAGACTTTTTTTCTCACCTGTCTAATCTGAACACTTTTCATAAAATTTCTGATGTTTCATACAAAATTGCTCAAATTTTGTCATGATATCAAAACTTTGGCAAATAATCTTGAATTGTCTCATTCATAATGGGGCTTTCCAGCATGACTAGATTCATTTGAATCAAATTTCAAATTTCTGGAATGCCAGAAAGCTATGTGGTCAAACGAACTAAAAATATTCACCGAGAATGTGTTCACATTTCTTAAGAATTCGGAATATTGCGAATGCAAAAACCTTGAAATGTGAACACCTCCTAATCTAAATGCTTTTATCCGGTCCCAATGGCGTTCGGATTAGACAGGTTTTACTATACTCTGATAAGTTTATGTATACTAACTATAGAATGGGATCACAATAAATTTTCTCTCTTGTGTGCACCTAATACTGAATTATCTGTATACCCAGATGAAATATTTGTATCTCACTTGTTAAACGTCCAATATTTTCAAACACAACTATTTGTTTTCAATTTAATGTAAAAATTATGATATATTCTAAATATATATATTCGATAAACAATAAACATGATGAATTTGTCAAAGTACAAAAATAACAATGGTAAAATCCTAACAGTAATACACATGTATGTATATGAGATCAATATAACATTGACTAGACAATTGATTTGTAACAAACTTAATGTCAAAAAGAGAAGTCCAGCATATGGTTCAATCTTCAATCAGAAACTTACAGTAAAATCCCTCTTAGGTGAGTGCATCAATAGAAGTGTCTTATTTGAGTGCTGTGACTAAGGAGCAGCATTGAGACTATTATGAACTTGGAAAACTTGGAATTGAAGCATTGCTGGATTTTGGCACGTATATATAGGGACAGGCCCTGATAATTCATTTGTCTGGATAGGTGACCAATTTCTAGGCTGTTCTTTCATCGCAAACATTATCATGTATAATAATGTAAAATTGATTCCAGATTTTGTCCAACCTGTCAAATTCGTGAATTACTAGACGATGTGTTAAACCTGATCAGATGATCACTAATTTAATGCAAGACCATACATTGTCAATTATAGGTGGAAACCTCCTAATGGAACAATCTAGATATTTTTCAATTGTTTGAAAATGTATAGTCCTGCTCAATGTGAATGTTGATCTGCAATTCTACATGTAAAAATGACATCCCTTTGCCATCCAATGCAAAGGTTCTCACAAAGATCACAGGGACAAAAATAAATCACTAGAGTCCTTGTATAGAATTAGTCATCGCAAATCAAAAAAGTTTAAATCCTGAACTGTTTTCCTTCACCTCAGGGCTATCAGTGATTTGCCCCCCAAAACTGAAACTAAATCCCTCTCCAGGTGTCTGAGGGGACTGGGCTGTCATATCACCAGAGCCAAAGATTGAAAACCCAGCTGAATGTTTACTTGTCGTTGGAGCTCCACCAAATATAGAAGCCATGGACTGTGAAGAAGTAGATGTCTCTGAAGGTGAAGAAACACCAAAGTTGAAGCCTTGGCTGTTATTGTTAGAAGCTTCCCCACCAAAGTTGAACCCTGTCTGGGTGCTGGATGCATCTGAATCAAAGAAAGAAAACATATAAGAAGCATATTGACTCTCATCATGAATCAGTCTCTCGCCAATTAAGATAACAAGCCATCAACATGAAAAATGTCACCACCTGCGATTTGTTACAGAATCCAACCACCAAACACCAACTGCTAAACACCATCCACAAAAAAATTTGAGACTATAACGAAAATTGACAACATGTCACCACTTGTGATGGTGACATAAAAATGGCCATGCATGGTGATTCCTTATATTTTGCCAACAAAAAAGCTGATTTCTCCAAATTGTAGCAAAAGTAGGAGCTGGGACCAATAGGGAAAATTACCAATAAAATGATGAATACTGAATAATGAATTAAGTTCAAAAGACTGGCAGCTGGGTGATTCCATATGAATATGTGATTCCATAGGCTCACAAGGCCAAAATCTTTATCAAAATCTACTTAGCAAAACATGTTTATAATCAATATTCTATGGTTTCTTTCTTCATTCATTGGTCTGTCTTGGCACTGGTACCCCACACTACAAGGTAACTCACCTCCTCCAGCCATAAAGTTGAACCCAGATGAATCTGCTGGCATTGATGTCTGAGGGTGGCTGGGAGACTCTTGCCCAGAGTTCTGAAATGTAGTCAAGTGAATTTTATGAAGCAATGTATACAGGGAAATGTTGTGTTTCATTAAAATCTACCCCAACAAGAGTAATATTTTGAATACCAATATTGAAATTTTGACAAAAGAGAGAGGCTCATATCAATACTAATATCTTACCATATTGAAGAAGCTCTGAATTCCAAATGAAGTTGGCATAGCCTGATCACTCTCTCCACCATGTGAACTCTGTAGATCAACAGAAAATAGTAAAATTGATTTTATCACAAAATCAAAATAGTAAGTCAAACATTACTTCAAGCTACAAGCCCTTTAAGCCCCCCCCCTCCCTCACTACACATCTCCCCTTTGTGAGAAGGTGTGTAGTTAAGAAGTGGAAGGAAGGGGTCATTGACTCCTTGAGGCTTGTAGCTAGACTATTTACACAATATTCAGTGCTTTAACACAAGTTCAGGTCTTTTGTCGTTCTTTATGGTTTATAGGTCTTTCATGCATTACTTACCATGTCATGGTCGCCTTCAAACATTGGTCTGCTTGAGAATGAGAATCCAGGAGAACCTGCAGCAAGCATCCTGACCTTCTCCAGCTCTCTGTCAAGGTCAAACTCACTAGATGGGCTAGCTCCTGGGGTCACTGCAGCCTCACCTGGTAAGCAATCATGCATAATTATCAACTGTTTAACAATTTTTTATACAGTAAAAGTATGTTTAAGTGGTACCTCTGAAAGTGTTCCACTTGGAGGTGTTCTACTTATAGAGGTTCATTTAACATTAAGTCATTTGGTCTAGGGACTCCACTTGAAGAGGTGTTTCACTGTATTACCCGCTTGTTTGACCTGTTTGGAAGTTACAATTACATTTTTAAACGTGCATTTTAATTTTTTGGCTGTCTTTTTAACTGACTGTAATGCTGTTATTTGCAGATAAACACTGGAACATTACATCTGGTCACGTATGCATGAAGCATAGAACTATTTCTACTTACACCCTGGAGTGGTTGGAATAGGTCTTCCAGGTGTCACTGGTTCCTCTGTATCACATGTCTCTACAACAAACAAAGGAGAGACAGATGACTTATCAGAAAATACATCATTGGGTTGGTAGAGCGCAGACTACTTAGGTATAATCTATCTTCACATTTTCATTGGAGCATTATTGTAATTTTCACATATTTTCAGCAGGAATATTGTTTAGCAGGAACCAATTTTAAAATGTAGATGTAAAGATTAAAGCAATTTTAAGACATCTACCCATTGGTTGAATGGCTTCATTCTGTGATGTAGGTTCTACAGGTGGCTGTTGTTGCAGTTGGTTCTCATAATGCTGTTGCATTTGTTGAGCTTGTTGAATTTGCTTAGCCTGTTGCATTTGTTGTGGTTGCATTTGTTGAGGCTGCTCCATTTTCTGCTGCTGTGTTTGATGATGCTGACTTTGTGAGTAAGGTACATACATCTGTGTTGATGGACTAGGGGCTGGAGACCTTGTTTGAATCATGGGCGATCTAGCTTGAATCATGGGAGACCTAGCTTGAATCATGGGAGACCTAGCTTGAATCATGGGAGACCTAGCTTGAATCATGGGAGACCTTGATGGTATGGACACATTAGATGCACTACTTTGATCAGCTTGAGGTTCACTTATTCGGGCTGGGTTGATCAGTATGGAGTGTGCCCCAAGAGAAGGGGGGTTATATGGTGGTCTGGAAAAAGGAATTGATTGGGGCCTTGGTGGTACATGAGGGACATGTTGTACTGGAGCCACTGGAGCTATACAGGGACTTGCTCTTGGTCTGAATGGCTGTGTAGAGAGAGTTGCTATTCCAACACTTTTTGCCTTCAAAGTAAACAAAGATATTTTTCAGACACCCTAAAACATTGTCAATTAATTTGATCAAGTTAAACAATTTTTTGCATATGTAATCTTTTTGACATGTGCCTTTTGGGGCATAATTTGGCCTTTATTTTTAAAAATTTGGGCCCAATTTTGGGTTTTAGGGGCCCAAAGTTTTTTTCACGCAAGTGCGGATTTTTTTTCCAAACTCAATATTTCTCCCCCCCTTGTTAGTTTCTGGATCAGCCACTGTAGGAAGACAATTTATATTAATAATAATTTCTAAATTTTAAACATCTTAAAACCAATGTAGAATATACATTACTGGTATTAATGTTCATGTCTAACATACTGTAATTGTCACTGGCAGACTTTTATTTGTACCAAAAGTTGGCATTTTGGGACTTGTTTTGAAAGTGGGCCCAAATCTCAAATGAATATATTTCATACATTGTATTTCGAGGATCCCAGCTTATATTTACAAAGGGATAGGTTAAATGAATTACCTGTCTTGGGACTTGATTAGCAGTAACACCGTGTGACTTGTTTGTTTGACTCTGTGACATCCTGGTGTGTCTAAGTTGTGGAACATGCAGTCCAATCATTGGCTGGGGGGAATTTGGGACCTAAACATATATGTAAATGAAGAAAAGAATAATTTGAAAAAAGTATGTTAATAATAAATAATAAATGTTCAGTGGGATCAAGTGTATGTTTCTCTACCAATCAATTTCTGCAACAATCAAACGGATCCTTCAAGGTATATAATACGATAATGACAAAATGTCATTTTAATACAGAGCACAGACACAAAACTGACCAACAATGCCTCACGCCAGTCGCAATAAAGCTGTAGAATATATGTTTACGAGGTCAGTTGTTGGTGGTGACATTAATTATGTATGTAGTGTATTATAAGATATAGACTACATGTTTAAAAGAACAGGATGAAAATTGAGTTATTGTAAATAAAGTGCGTAGGGTTTATGTTCATTATGTTTGACCACCCTGTACCATAACTGGCCAGAATAATCCATCCTATTTCCTATAGATATTTCCTATAGATATCAAGAGTCAAAAGAAATTATGGCAGTTCTGTCTATAATGTAAACATACAGACATACAGCTACTGCCATCTTTCTGTCAAACTAGTGCCTATGGTTAATATTTGAATTTAGAGAGACATGAGCAAAAGTCAAGTTTAAAAAGTAATGCCTACTTATCAGGATATCATTAACATAAAATACACTACTATATTAAAGTACAAAGTACATGCTACCTTATTATAACAACTACAACTGTTTGGAAGTTTTGAATGGAATTTACATTATGCATTATGATACCGAGGATTCAAAATTCCAAATTTGTGACAGTGATCAAGGGATCAAGGACAAGTATTAGCTCCTTTCTCATGCTAGTCATTACAGATGAATTGGAATGCTATCTGAAAAGAATACAACCTGGACTTTATAATTGTGAATCAGAATCAATCTAAGGTCATTATAACATTCTGGCTATTGATCCAAAATTCCAGTTCCAGTTTCAATACATCATAAGATAATAATAGTCTAAAGCAGAGATTACTGATGAATAGAATTGAATTGATAGGGTAAATTGCTATTGATACAATAGAGCAAACATATACACATACATAGAGAAAGCAGCAAAAACAGAAACCATACAGAAACTGGTATCATACCAGAAACAGAAACCATTGGAAATCCTTTCTGAAACCATGTATATCCATTGTACATTGGGAAAAACATGCATATATTTGATATTAGAGAGATCTGCAATTTAATGGCTTGTATGTTATTTGTTCATTTATTTTTTGTTTATTGTTACATGTAGGTGAGGCTGAATGAGATGACACAATGAAGCAGCAACAGACACATAATTTCATCCCATTATCTCCTAAAGGAGAAAGCCATCCAGAGAGGTGAGTCACCAATCCCAACCCTTCAAAATCCCAGATCAAGGACTCTCATATGAAACAGTTCACATCTACAAGTATATTGATTTCCTTATACAGGGTGGACAAAGATTTCATAATAGAAACTAGATGTGGTGTATATTTCTCATAAAAAGATTTGAGAAAGGCATTGCAACATTTTATAACATTTTCATCACCTCTTTTAAAAGAATACTGTACTTTTTGGATCACCCTGTTACTTTCATAAGAAACTATAACTTCCCCATAGTTTCCTTACCATGGAACTTAATTGAAGTTAATTTTATTCAGGAAGCGACAAAGGAAGATGGTGAGTCAATATCTCGTGAAAATAAAGGAAACAATTTGTCAAAATAATCGCAATTCTGATAAAAATACAATTCCAATAATACAAGGAAATATTTAGTGCATTTCTCATTATGAATCATGTACTTTGAAGTATTTTGAAACTGTTTTGTGATAGGCTAATTCTTTCATTTATATTTCAGAATTTCCCGATATATGCTTTGGGATTGGCGGCTCTAGCAATTGCTGCTCCTGATCCATGTGCTAAGTTTGACATACCGGTAGTCCGTACCATAAATGGAATAGAATATTCGAATTACTGCTCTGAGCTTTGCGTGCCAAGTGGAGAGAGAGATGTGAAAAAAATCCAGAAACTATGCAGTGACACTGAAATTGGCAATGTGAAAACTCTATGTTCATGTAAGGTTATCCAATGTATCATTATAATTTTATATGAATTAAAATTGAATACAATAGACGTTATAAAATATTGATAAACATCTTTTTTAGATTGAGATACTATAAGTTATTGAATGATTTGAAGTGCAATACAGGATATATTCTGTTCGAGAATTCCGTATTGAAGTCGAGTGCCAATACAGAATATCGAGACAGAATATATCCTGTATTGCACTTCAAATCATTCAATAACGTTTTTATTGTGTGATCCTCTGTATTGCTACTGAGATTGTCCCCTCCATGCCAATATTTTCTGTATTGCTACGGAGCTGATCAACGGGGACAATCTCAGTAGCAATACAGATCTGTACAGCACAAGAACTGACCAATCAGAGGGCTTCATTTTACAGATCATACGATAAAAATAATTCTAGTATTAGATAGGAATATCAATTGTTGAGATGAAGGTTCTCAATCTGATAAAGAAATTCACTTATCATTTTCATTTTAAATACTTTTCTCTGCACCAGCTATTTTATTAAAATATCATTATCATATGCATTTTGTGAAATATGTTTACTCATAAAATCTTTTTCAGCCTTCACTCAGTGTCGCTTCCCAAAGCTGACAACTCCCGCACCCAAGGATATCAAAGCGCTGGATCAGGGAACTGGTCATACCTACGTCATTGTAATCGCAATCGAAGCTACAATCATAGTGATAACACTCATAGCTCTCAGTGTAGTTACATACAAATACTACATTAACAAGGACTTGACATATGAAATAAAACATACACTTGTTAATGGTGAACAAACGGAAAACCCTGCTTATACGTCAGTTGAGACACTCGTCCAAACTGATACCGTTGAAAGCATTGATGAGGGGACCCAAACTGAACCAAATATCGCACAACCACAGGATAATGAGTCAGGTAAGCAAGCTGCATATGTGTTGCAAGAGCACAACTTTGCCTTCAAAATTAATTTGGACATTTTCCTTTAATCTAGTTTACGTTCATGTGAGGTCATTAAGATCAGTATTAGAACTATGATTTTAATGTAGAAAATCAATAGCAGAAATATAACTTAATGTACAGTTCATAAAATCATTACAATCGTCAAGTCACCAATAAATGAGTTTAGTGACTGGTTTCTGATCCATCTTAGTAAATGTCTCTCTTTATATTTCAGATAAAATTCATGCAAATGGAAAGAATGTGGATTTGGAGGAAGTGTGATTGTGACGCAGACACTGCAGCTATAGGGACTTAAATTAAATAACACTAGTCTAAAAACATTTAATGGGAAAAAAATTTGTTAATCCACCTACTACATGTCTTCATTATAATTCTACTGCAGTTTTAAGAAATGTTTATGTAAATTATTTGTCAACTTATTCAGTCTAGTACATCATTTAAGTCATAAAACAAAGTGTTCAGGTCTACTATATGCATAATATGTTGTATATAGTGTATATATGATAAACTGTTGTGTATATATTGTATATTTCTAGACTCATTAAATATAATATTCAAATACAGATAATCAAATAACTAAGATATTTCTAAGAATAGTACTAATCAAATTCACATTCACTTAAGAAAATGACTTCATTGCCTTTAAAGAAGTAATTACACCATAGCTATACTTCTTAATTTCTCGATCATTAAATAAATGAACAGACAATTATTATAGATACTGAATAGACTTACTGTTTCACGCTCAATCCTCGTGGTTCCAATAGTTGGTGAGGGCGGGATGAAGATCTGGGGAGGAACTGACCTTCTTACTATAGTCTCCATTGGTCCAATGGTCTCAACAACACACGACTTTGGGACTGTTGTAGCCTCTCTGGTTGACTGTGCTACTGGAACTGCAGCTCCAGTGACTTGGATTTTGTCAGTTATAAACATAGAGGTAGACTTGTGGGATTCTTTTGTTGGAGCTTCATCATCCTCAGCTTGATTATTGTGTTTAGTTCCTTCTGTTTGTTGTGGATTTGTGGGTTTTATTTGCTTGGGGATTTGTTGTGTGTTTTCTTGTTGCTGTTGATGTGCCTGTTCCTGTTGCTCTTTGGCTAATTCTGCCTGCCTCTCTATTGCTGCAGCCTCTATGGCTCGCTGTTCAAGTTCCTAGAATCATAGCAATAGATCTTTTTAATAAATTCTACCCTCAATGCCACACCAAAGAGATCAAAATATATTGGTTCTAGATTCATGATGTTTCTTATCCTAATTTATTACTCAATTTGAAAACTTCAAATATTTTCTATTTGTTTGTAAACATTGCAACTGGACATTACCTATATCATAAATCTGGTCCTAGCTTTCTCTTCACTGAGAGTCATGAAATATGGCAGTACAGTTTAAGTCATACATACAATAGTATAATACTATAATATGTATCAGTAAAAGACGGAAGGGTTTACTGGACAACAATGTACATATATGTATGTGTATACTGCAATTACTACATTTGGACAAAAACAAAAATTAGGTCATTCTAAATTCTGACAGCACATGGGCTTGGAACTTATTTTACGAATATTACATTAGGATTTTTCAGTGTCATTTTAATACAGTATTGATTCGTCAAGGTTTTTCTTGACTATAATTTAACAGAATTGCATTTATGAATGTAATATAAAAAAAAACTAAATACCTCCAACACTCTCTTCTGTTTGTTCCTCAGTTCAGCTATTGTCTCCTCATTTTCAGCTAGATTTTGTTCGTACTTTGCCTCTTCCTGAGCTAGTCTAGTTATGTCAACCTTCAGTTCAGCACTGTAGTCAGTTATAGAAAACCATCAAAGAGTTAGGCTTGAATACATGTATGTAGTACCTGCTTAGTGGATGCAATTCCACACATTATGAACATCGAGGAATATTATTACCTTGTTGAACAGCCAAAGATTCATTTGGCTTACAGATGGAAATTTTGGGGATTGAGGACAAGATAAATTCTTTTTTACAATGTGCTACATTGGTTTTACTTTCAAAGAATGTATTTCAATCACTGTCTCTTATACCTTCATGTATTTTAATGTAATATTTGTAATTTTGAAATATATCATTTGGGATGGTACATGGCACATTGGATAGTTCATTTTAAAATGTACTACCTTTAACATGATATATACTGTATGATACCAAAGGAAATGTACTACCTTTAACATGATATATGCTGTATGATACCAAAGGAAATGTACTACCTTTAACATGATATATACTGTATGATACCAAAGGAAATGTACTACCTTTAACATGATATATACTGTATGATACCAAAGGAAATGTACTACCTTTAAGGTGCCATGGAAGTTAACAGGAAATGACAAAACAGGAAGTGACAAAGCCATGCTGGATTTTGAAATTTTTTTGAAGCAAGATATCAGAGTTCTGTTTGGACCTCTAGTCAGTTTTACTAGTTCCACATATCATTTACATGACTGGGAACACAATGGAAATGGTCAGAATGACCATAAAAATAATAAAATAACCTTTTCAGCCCTCTGAAAATGTGACTGAAAAATAGCTAAAAGTAGGTGCTCAGGAAAGGTCACTGAACAGAATCTTTCGATTTTTTCAGAAAACGTGTCCAATATATTGCTCTAAATGATACAATCTTTAAAATTTTAAAAAATTGTCTGAAACAATAATGGCTGTAGTAAAAAGGTAAATTGATCAATTTTCGATTCAGTTTTTTTAATTTTTTTCTTTTTCTAAGAATGATATCAAATTTTTTTAAATTGTATCATTTTAAGCAATATATTGGGCAGATTTTCTGAAAAAGTCAAAAGATTCTGTTCAGTGACCTTTCCTGAGCACCTACTCTTAGCTGTTTTTCAGGCACATTTTCAGAGGGCTGAAAAGGTTATTTCATCATGTTTATGGTCATTCTTACCATTTCCGTTGTGTTCCTGGTCATGTAAATGATATGTGGAACTAGTTAAACTGACTGGAGGTCCAAACAGAACTCTGTTATCTTGGTTCAAAAAATTTTCAAAATCCAGCATGGCTTTTCACTTCCTGTTTTGTCATTTCCTGTTAACTTCCATAGCACCTTAACATGATATATACTGTATGATACCAAAGGATACACTTTGACAACAAAATCATTTGTATTTTCATACAATGGGTCATCTGATTCACTCTCTGTTTGCAGTTGATTCATCTGCTCAGTTAAATCAGTGATTCTTTCATCTGCCTCTTCAATCGTTCTCTCCACTCTCCTTAGTTCAGCTTTCTTCTCTGCAAGTTCCTTACAGTGATCAAAGCTCTCATATTTCTCCTGGTACTTCCCCCAAAGTTGTTCATAATGTGACAAGACCGCTTCATGCCCCTCTCTGTAATGGAATGAGACCTGGTAAGTAATAATACTTCGTTCTCCTCTCTGTAATTTAATGAGACCTACACTGTAGTAAGTAATAATACTTCATTCTCCTCTCTGTAATGTAATGAGACCTAGTAAGTAATAATACTTCATTCTCCTCTCTGTAATGTAATGAGACCTAGTAAGTAATAATACTTCATTCTCCTCTCTGTAATGTAATGAGACCTAGTAAGTAATAATACTTCATTCTCCTCTCTGTAATGTAATGAGACCTAGTAAGTAATAATACTTCATTCTCCTCTCTGTAATGTAATGAGACCTAGTAAGTAATAATACTTCATTCTCCTCTCTGTAATGTAATGAGACCTAGTAAGTAATAATACCTCATTCTCCTCTCTGTAATGTAATGAGACCTAGTAAGTAATAATACTTCATTCTCCTCTCTGTAATGTAATGAGACCTAGTAAGTAATAATACTTCATTCTCCTCTCTGTAATGTAATGAGACCTAGTAAGTAATAATACTTCATTCTCCTCTCTGTAATGTAATGAGACCTAGTAAGTAATAATACTTCATTCTCCTCTCTGTAATGTAATGAGACCTGGTAAGTAATAATACTTCATTCTCCTCTCTGTAATGTAATGAGACCTGGTAAGTGATAATAATTCATTCTGATAGGTAAATCGGGGTGTAAAGTTTACTTTGCCTACCACACAAGGGGTCTGCATTTTGACTACATTATGCCTGATACTTTACATTATCTCAAATTGAGATTTTAAAACAATGCAGAACTGTATGAAAAACAGCTACACATTTATATAAAATTATACCCTATAAAATATTATTTGTTATTAATGTAATATAATATCTACCTTTCCTGCTCATGTTTAGCAACGAGTTCTCCAAGTTTTTTGTTCAATGCATCTTCATGTTCTGAGAGAACTGCTGTTGTTTTCTTGAGGCTATAAAAAAGTATCATTATAAAAATGTAAAGTTAGCTATTAATGGCTCATGACTCATGAGACCAATATATGCCATGTTTTAAAAAGGTGAAAATAAATAAAACGCTAGGAAATTACATTTATTCAATCAAATTGCTATTTCATTTAATCATTCATTCCACTTCAAAATGTATATTCATGTATATATTCAGCAATGTTAACATACCTTTCACAGTTTTCTCTGTTCCACACAAACTGTTTATGCAGTCGCTTAGTTTCTTCATTTATTTCAGCTGTAGATTTTTCAAATGAGTCTATTTCTCTATGTTTAACTTCAACATCTTTCTGTAAGACTGAAAAGAGTATGTGGATTTTTAATTGGTTCCTTATGATGTTGATATTTTAGAAGTTCTGTACAAATATATCAAACTTCACTAATTATAGTGGAAATAATGGGTCAGCCTTTACACTGGTTTTAGGCACAAGTGGCAAAACCTCCCACAACAGGAGGTGGATAACTTGTCTTCCCCTTGAAAGACTAGAAATTGTCAAGCACCATGATGGCCCAGTGATGGACTACCAAATCCCAATGTATATTTATGACTCGAGATCTTAACATAAATATAATCTGTTAAACTCTCATTTGGCACATTTGATGGCGAAATCTCAAAATCTGGGCAATTCGATTTTTTGGTGTAAAAATGTAATTTGCACCAAAGTTGATCTTTAAGCCAGTCACACCCTTCAAATTAAAGGGGCCACGATTTTTACGAAACATATTCCCCCTTTACACAACTCACCATCTATGTGCTGTTGCTCCTTCTCAATAAGCTGCATGTATTGTTGAACTTCAAACTCTGGAATAGTAAATGACAAGTGTACGCAGTTGGGCAGATACGGGCAAATTTATTACGATAATTGATATTTCAAATATATTCAAATTACTTGTATGTTATTCTACCTGTGCCATGTGTGTTAATATCAACAACATTTAATGTGTGCTATTTTAATGTCAACACAACTGGTTATCATGACCATGCGATATACAGACAAACAATATTGCATGAGTTCACTGGGATAATTAAGTTACCAATTAAGACTCACCAAGGTTGTTTATTATTTGTTCTAAGTTTCCCTCTTCATCTGTCAAGAACTCGTGGACAGAACTGCTAGCCATTTTTGCCCTTGTCTCACTCTGCTTCTCTGATTTCTCCCTGCTACTCCCTTAGCCTATATGTACATGTATATGCTCTGATTGTTGAAAAATGCTGAAGAAAAAGGTAGCATATTTGTAAACAAGAAAATGCAGTAAACTTATTGTAGAGATCCCTAACCTTTACAAAAATTGATCAAAAATTATTTTGCAATTTTCTTATTTTGCAGTTCAGGCGAGGGGTATATATAAACAACAAAATAATCATTCAAAATGTCTTATCTAGTTTCAATAAATGACTTACATGTACATGTTCTAACGGCAAGTTACATATTTTCAAAATTCTGACAAAATTAGTTTGGTCCCCAATCTGCCAATTGATTGCCCTGCTGAGGAGTTTTTTTTACTATTTCTAAAATATATAAAGGAAGGCGGAAAACCGAACAACGAAAAACGAACGCAGTTCATTCATGTGGACCAAGGTGTCCAGATTTGGACCATGGTGTTCACAATTTGAAGGTAGGTGTTCAACATTTGTAAGTCACTAATTTTACATGTAGGTGTTCCCAGGTTGACACACAGTCCATCTACAAATGTATCTACATGTAGGCTACAGTAAGCTTTATCATGGGCTTTCAGAAAGTCCATGTAATATCTAATATAATAGATTGGTTTTGTGGGGATCAAAGCAACATTGACGGTAGGCAAAATAGCCTAGCCTAGATTAGATCTAGCCTAGCCTAGGGCTCAGGTTAGTCCTAAGAAGATGAGGCCTAGGCACATGCTATCTATTGCAAGACTAACGCCTGGTGTAACCGTCACCATGTTATTCAGTGTTTTTTAAGTAGCGCAAGGATCCTGCCATGACCGTGGCAGTGTTATTTTGTATGCCTGGTATAACCGTGACAACGCTGTATTATATTGCAAGGCCTGTCATGACCGTGAGTGTTATCGTGGAAGCCTGGCGCGGCCGTAGCATTTAAGTTTAATTTAAGAATTTTTTATTGTTGTTTGTTAAGTGATTTGTTTACTATCCACTTTTAAATAAATTGTTTATTAGCGTGACACAAATAACTTGTCTTATTCTGTGTAAATGATTAATTATTTTAGAATATGCGGAAATAATGTGAATATAATGTCTAGTAGTAATTTTGATATTAACATAATTAAGGTAGTTAAACACCTACATCACCACTCGCATACCTGAACTTGCAATACTACATTACACTGCCACGGCGGTCATACCAAGCCTTGCAATACTATATTATATTGTCACGGTCATGCCAGGCCTTGCAGTACTATATTACCTTGTCACGGTCATGCCAGGCTTTGCAATACACATTGTCACGGTTATAGCAGTAGTCCTAATCATAAATTTCTACATCACCACTTTCATACCTGAACTTGCAATACTACATTACACTGCCACGGCGGTCATACCAAGCCTTGCAATACTATATTATATTGTCACGGTCATGCCAGGCCTTGCAGTACTATATTACCTTGTCACGGTCATGCCAGGCTTTGCAATACACATTGTCACGGTTATAGCAGTAGTCCTAATCATAAATTTCTACATCACCACTTTCATACCTGAACTTGCAATACTACATTACACTGCCACGGCGGTCATACCAAGCCTTGCAATACTATATTACATTGTCACGGTCATGCCAGGCCTTGCAGTACTGTATTACATGGTCACGACCATGCCAGGCCTTGCAATACTATATTACATTGTCACGGTCATGCCAGGCCTTGCAGTACTGTATTACATGGTCACGACCATGCCAGGCCTTGCAGTACTATATGACATTGTCACGGTCATGCCCGGCTTTTCTATAAACATTGTCACGGTTATAGCAGTCCTAATCATAAATTATTGCAAGGCCTGTCATGACCGTGGTAATGTTAAAGCCTAATATGACCGTGACAATGCTTATAAGGCCTGTCATGACCGTGGTAATGTTAAAGCCCCGTATGACCGTGACAATAGTTGCAAGGCCTCTCATGACCGTGGTTGTATTTAAAGTAGCATGAGAACCCTGTAATGACAATTTTTCTTCGTGTTTAACTACCTTAAATATGTAAATAAAGACTACTAAAAATGTGTATTAATTTCACAACGAAAACCTAATTTTTACTCATAAATAATTTGCGAACAAACTATATCTCTACTCTCATTCAAAGAGCTTCGATTCGAAAGCATATACTTTCTATAATGATCAATTAATAAGATTTATTCATAAAAAATACCAACAGCAACGGGTCATTAATGTCATATAAAGGTTGCGGTCGCGCCAGGCTTACACGATTACACTACCACGGTCATGGCAGGCATTTTAATATAATACAGCATTGTCGCGGTTATACCAGGCTTTCACGATAACATAACCACGGTCATGGCAGGATCCTTGCGCTACTTAAAAAACACCAAATAACATGGTGACGGTTACGCCAGGCGTTAGTCTTGCAACAGATAGGGTCTCGGCCTAGGCTAAATAGTAAATAGGCTAAGATCAAATTCAAAATCATTTTTAGCCTAGGCCTAAATGAGACCATTGAGAAAATTAGATAGTGACTTCCCCGTGAATATACAAGGGCCAATTCGTTAGTAGTGTTGCTTTCAATCACACTGTTGTTATTTGATTCTTATTGAAATAAATAGTTCATAACTAGGCCTACAAGTACCTTCCAACTTGGAACAAATTCGTCTGCAATATTTTTCAAAATTGAGATTGAAGTGACGTGAAAGTGCACGCAATAGTTATTTATATTCTTTTGATTTATAACATTACAAAAAAGATATTTCTTATATGTAAAATAAAAACATAACAAATTAATGACAAAGGCTTTTAGTTCATTTAACAACCGCTCCGATCAATACATTTTAGTTCAAAATATTAATTGAAGGTCATTCTTGTCTTGATTGTTTAAAGATGGCGGACGAAGGTTTCACGTTACTTTTCCGTCACTAAATCTGTCTGAAAGACCCTCAGAAGACAATGGCAACGAACAGAATCAATGTATATCTGAGGAGAAAGAGCCTGTTGTCATTTTGCTTGGTTGGGTTGGTTGTAAAGATAAATATTTAGCGAAATATAGTGCCTTTTATGAAAAGCGAGGGTAAGTTTCGAAATTAAAATTTATCCAACTTGTTGCTTTTTAAATTATAATTTTTCACTAGTATCCCATATTTTCATTTGAATAGCTATGACTTACTCTAGACATCAAGGCTGACTATTTGTGTACCGCCTTGTTTCAAAGCCATTTCCCTCCCAGAGATTTTTCTGGATTCCGATATCAAGGCTGACCTTTTGTGTCCAGCTTTGTTTCCTGGCCATTGCTCTCCCAGATATTTCTTAGGGCTAAAACTAAAAAAACTTAAAATACTATTACTTTATATCCCCAAATCTATTTCCCTCATTATGAAAAGTATCAGGGCTGTCTATGTTCGCAAGGAGTTTATTATGTCATTTTTAAACTTGAGATTTGGAGCATCTTAGTTGTTCCTTTGTGAGAAGAATAATTGGGAACACTGATTACACTGTTTCTTCATGTACTTATTATTTATTTTTTCAATTTGTGATTTCAGGTCAATCACTATTCGCTACACTGCACCAACTGAAAAGGTTTTTTTTGGAAGCGGTAAAATGCAACCCATAGCTGAAAAACTATTGGAGCTCTTGTATGATCTGAGCCTTGATAAAAACCCGATATTCTTTCATGTGTTTAGTAACGGTGGGGGAATCTTATATCAGAGCATGATAGACATTCTATTGAAGGAGCACAAGAGTCTAAACATTTGCGGAACAATCTTCGATAGTTGTCCTGCCCCAAAGAAAATCAGCACAGCCTTTAAGGCATTTAAAGGTTCTATGATTGGCATGAACCCTGTCATAAGCTGGTTATTTGGAATGATTGTTTATAGCTGGCTTGTTATGACGGTACTACTACGTTTTGTGATCAGTAAGACTGGACTAAAAAGTGATGTAGATGCTCATAGCTTTCACGCTCGATTCCGCAACTGTCAATCAAGATGGCCGTCGCTGTTCTTGTATTCCACTGCTGATGATATCACAGAGTCCAGTTATGTTGACGAGGTTATAGCACATAGAAAATCCCTACGAGTTCAGGTCTCCAGTATCTGTTGGGAGGACTCTGGGCATGTTTCACACATGAGAACCCACCCAGAGGTTTATGTGAAGCAGTGCTATGATTTTATAGACAGATGTCTGAAACATTGATTTATTATTAAGGAGTTGTAAATGAAATATTTAGAATGCATATAGTTTAATATTTTAATAGAAAACAAGTACAGTTTTGAAAATGATTTTGCACTTTTTATATACAATTGAATTGCCTTTTGGCAACCACCCGCAAACAAATCAGAATATCTGTAGAATTTATTGCAGTTTATGAGATTGTACATCAATACGGATATATGTCAACAATGTTACCTCATAATATGCAAGAGCAATGTATTGGGTCTAGATTATACAGTTTAGTTCCTGATGAATATAACTGTTTCAATATATGCACAACCAGTATTATTAACATTGAAATAATATAGATGGCATGGTAGCCATTGCAGTATTCATATGTCATTCCAATGGATTATTTCTACATTAGTTCTCAGTGTAGCCTTAGGCTGCATTTTTGTACATGCTTTTTGATCGCGGGCAAGATCTTAATCCTAAAAGTTAGCTAGATCGTGGTTATACCACAATAGTATGTGCGAAATACTGTTGTGTCAAACTATTGAATAATATACAATGGTATCAATTTCACTTGCACCGCTGTCAAAAATGCATGTAAATACAGCCTAAATAAATACCTTTTAATTGGTAGATTTTTGAGCTCTAGATATCACATGGTTATATGTACAGAATGTGTGAGAAACTTAACAAAGTGACCAATAGTATTATATGACACTAGTCACAGTTGTCTCCATGACAATTACGCACAATAAAATTATTTTGTATTAATAAATGTGACAATATTAATCAACCTGGTTTTATTTTATATTTGGAAATGTTTTATCTTCGAATATGGAATATATTTTATATACTGTAATCCCACTAATAATTGACGCTATTATATTTCGCGTATTTGGCATTTTGAAATTTCGCGACTATTAATTTTGGATGATTTGTCTTGCAGGCTCACTCTTTCAACTTGTCTTTTTTAAGGGTAGAGATTAAAAGGTGGATTGGATCGAGTGGATTGGATTCATGTAAAAGGTGGACTGGATCGGGAATCTTCAAAATGTGGAATTTCTTATAAAAAAATTTCTGTTGATCTCCCTCTTAACAATTTCCCTCTACAGTATTACAGGTCCCTTTTGAGAAATCAGAACAAAGCAATGACAAATACATACTCCAATTAGTTCAGGGACACTTTTAAGTATTTAACCGCTTTCCCTTATAAATCAACTTTTGTAAGACATAGATCTTTAGAAAAAGAAAACCTGTCATTCAAATTAATGTGTGAATGTTCACAAATCATTTCTGGTATGTTCAGTTTGGATTGAAAACAGATGATATGGATCTTCAAACCAGTCTGCCTTATGATTTATGAAATGTCTCAAATTACACTTGGAATGAATAAGATCGTGTATCAGAAAGCGGGTACCAGGTCATCCTTCTAGCCCACCCAAGCAAAATAATATTACATCTATTAATTGACATTGTGCAAGTGAAGAGAGCACCAATCTTCCTAAAGGGAGATCAATAGAATTTTTTAAAGGAAAATCCATATTTTAAAGATAGCCAATCCAATCCACCTTTTACATGAATCCAATCCACTCGATCCAATCCACCTTTTAATCTTTACCTTTTTAAGCCATTTCGTTAGAATGCTCATTTTGATACAGTAATAACGTCCTTTCTTCTAATTTCTCTTTTTCAAAACTAGAAATGTCATGTTTTTTACGTACCTTTTATCGCTGAAAATATTGTCAATATTAAAATACCCGGGAATTTCCTGGGAATTTCGCTACTATCAAATTTCGTGAATTAGAACTGTAGGAATTTCGTGGCCATTGTATTTCGCGAATTTTCCAAAACTCACGAAAAACAAGAAATATACTAGCGTGCAAAAATTACTGGGAGTTCAGTATATTTTCTCTTGCTAGAAACTCAAAAATAAAGTTGCAGCAACCTGTAATTTAAAGGGATAGCAAGGGAAAGTGTATTAAATTTTGGAAGGTCTTTAAAATGTCAATTAGCCAAAGCATGTTTTGGTAAAAAATCTTTGAGGAGCTTTTTCAGTCCTGGACTATACTGATAAACAAGCACTAAAAATAAATGATACCATTCTGTCAATACACAATTCTAAATAATTTCTTTGAAGCTTCTGTAAAGTAAATCTCTAGTTTCTGGATTATCAATTGCCCAAACTGCACTTTTGCTGTTAAGACTGGAAAGTTTGCAATGTACAGGATCATACCAAGTTCCTTTTTTTGTACATTTTTGTACTTCTTTAGATACATGTGTATACAAAAGAGGATGAGGCCCTTTAAGCCCATATAGTTTTCTGTAATAGATAGTTTTCTGTACTGGATATACATGTACATGAAAGAAATTATCATGTGTGCATGCTAACCATTGTCTTCATGAATACTACTTTAAGTTGGATTAATTCGGCTTCAACTTGAATATTCACAATTTTGACAAGGATTACCAATTTAAATGTTTGCAAAATACAGCAATATTCCAAGTAATTTTGATAATTGTCAGTATCAGAAAATATATATTCAATCAGGGCTTGAGCTAAGGGCTGGTCTACTGGTCATTGAAAATAACATGTCAACTGGTCCGTAGTGCTATTTTGGCCAGCTGCTCTCAGAACCTCAGCTCAACCCCTGGTGTCAATACTTCCCAGGGCCATGAGGCAGGGGAGGCTCAACTGCCTCACTAAAATTTACTGAAAATTATTTATTTAGGCCATTTTTGAACTGAAACTATTAAAAATGAAATCTACTGGCAAAGTATCATATCTCCTATTTAGCTTTATTTTGTCTCCTGTTTTTAGAACCTGCCTTTTCTCTTGGAACATGCTCTATCAACTTCAGTCTCTTACTTTGATCATAAAATACATCAAAATTAAAAAAAGATAAGAATAATCTATAACTTGAACAGTCAGAGTTAGAGACTGGGTTCCTTTCTTAAACAACTTGTATAAATCATACTGTATTTTTTATACAGGGTGGTCAAATAAAACGGCAACCCTGCCACTCTTTTCCTCATATCTTTGTCATTTTAGTAAAGTCCTACCTGATATTTGGTACATGTGTACATCATTCAATCTCTCACCAGCCTACAATATTTCATGACCATCAGATTGATAGTTACAATGTTACAGCACTTTAAACAACATGCTCCAGAGGCCAATATAGCGCTTTGGGCAAACCTGCACCTGTCGTCCAAAATGTTCTTAGCTGTCTTCTTCCTTTGGGATATGCCAAAGATAAAGTGTACAAAATAACCCCAGGACAATTACAGACCTCCAAAAGGAGGTCATAATTGTCATTCAGGCCATACCTACTGAGGATTGCAGTTGGGTCAAAGACAACTTGTGCAGGTTTGCCTTAGCGCGATGATGGCCAGACCCAGTGCATGTTGTTTAAAGTGCTGTAACAGTGTGACTTTCAGTCTGATGGTCATAAAATATGGTAGGCTGATAGGAAATTAAATGATGTACAAGTGTGTAAAATATCAGGGAGTAATTCTCTAAAATGACAAAGATATGAGGAAACCACAGGGTTGCCATTTTTTGACCACCCTGTAGAATAGGTTCAACCAATGATATGCTTGCAGATATAAGCACTCAACCAGTGCTGTAAAGATTATGTACACTCACTCAACCAATGATATCATGTACATACAATGAGCGATTGATATGGTCTGCACACCATGTACAGACATCCATGTGTAAATGAAGACTCTAATGATATACAGATCATTGAACATGCGACCAATGATAGACTCTATTGAACAGTAGTTTCCCAACCAATGATATGATGTACATACAAGGAACCATGTACAGAAGTACAGATGTACAAATGTACAGAAGTACCGATGTACAGAAGTACAGATGTGCAGAAGTAAATGAAGACGCTAAGAAGTAGTTCAACCAATGATATGACTTTGTACCAATGCTGTATCAGCCAGCCATAACATCACAGAAAGGTAAGACAATTTTATATTAATCAGAGATTTATAATGTCACCACCACTGTTATGGTCTGTTTTTTGTAGATGGTGTTTCCACATTTGTTTGTTGCTGCTCTTTGGTTGGTTTGGCACTCTGCATTTATAATGGATGGTAGGTGTTTGGCACTCTGCATTTATAATGGATGGTAGGTGTTTGGCACTGCATTTATAATGGATAGTAGGTGTTTGACACTCTCCATTTATAATGGATAGTAGGTGTTTGACACTCTGCATTTATAATGGATGGTAGGTGTTTGACACTCTCCAATTATAATGGATGGTAGGTGTTTGGCACTACATTTATAATGGATAGTAGGTGTTTGACACTCTCCATTAGTGTTGTAACTCGCGGGAATTTTTGGAATCGAGTAATTCGCGTGATTTTGAGTCTGAGATCGAATAAGAATCGCGATTTTTCATCAAAAAATGTCATATGGTCGTTTTTTAGTCCTTTTTTCAATGTTGTTCACTTGCACAATACCCTAGGTACGCTAGGTATATCAAGAGTTGTCCATATCTACCGATTTAAATAACATACTTACGATTAATTACGACAAAAATTGAAATATTGTTTATTTTATGTTTCCCGCCACACATTGTTGCAGCACTTTCATTTCCGGTTCTACGGACTGAATTAATCATGGAATTAAAAAATAGACTCAAAAATATTTCATTTAAATTAGATTTATTACTCATATTCATTCAAATAAAAACAAATGATACACGGAACAATCATTTGTACATAGTTTCACCCTGTTTGTAAGAAAAAACAATGCATTTGACGTCAGGATTCGCTGTGAAATCGCGAATACGAATACAAATTCGCGAGTCTCAGACTCGTGTAATAATTCGCGAAATCTGAACTCCTAATCGAGCCGAATTCTATAACACCTTGGCGAGACGATTCGATGACTACGTGAGTACTTATCTACACCACTACTCTCCATTTATAATGGATGGTAGGTGTTTGACACTCTCCAATTATAATGGATGGTAGGTGTTTGGCACTGCATTTATAATGGATACTAGGTGTTTGATACTCTCCATTTATAATGGATGGTAGGTGTTAGACACTCTGCATTTATAATGGATGGTAGGTGTTTGACACTCTCCATTTATAATGGATGGTAGGTGTTTGGCACTCTGCATTTATAATGGATACTAGGTGTTTGACACTCTCCATTTATAATGGATGGTAGGTGTTTGACACTCTCCATTTATAATGGATGGTAGGTGTTTGACACTCTCCATTTATAATGGATGGTAGGTGTTTGGCACTGCATTTATAATGGATACTAGGTGTTTGACACTCTCCATTTATAATGGATGGTAGGTGTTTGACACTCTCCATTTATAATGGATGGTAGGTGTTTGGCACTCTGCATTTATAATAGATGGTAGGTGTTTGGCACTGCATTTATAATGGATGGTAGGTGTTTGGCACTCTGCATTTATAATGGATGGTAGGTGTTAAACACTCTGCATTTATAATGGATGGTAGGTGTTTGACACTCTGCATTTATAATGGATGGTAGGTGTTTGACACTCCATTTATAATGGATAGTAGGTGTTTGACACTCTCCATTTATAATGGATGGTAGGTGTTTGACACTCTGCATATATAATGGATGGTAGGTGGTGTCATTTAGCATGTTAAATTAACAGTTATGTCCTTGTTTCATTTTAGTTGCGAGTGCTCTAATTTGGGTTAACAGTCCTCCACATCAAATAGTTCACTCTTGAGAGACATCGAATGCTTTCAAAGTATCTTTATTATTATTAGTTAAAAGGGTAATTTATCATTGAACTTTTTGCTTCACAAAAGCATGCCAGATCTGCTCAATGATTCCACATAATCTGATCGGATAAAGGGAGAAATCAGAACTTAATTTTGATATAATAGCTAATTTTCTGTTCATCAATTGGTTTTATACAGTGTATTGATTTCACATTAAGTCCTGGATGAGCGTTCTAGATTATGTTTGGTGTGATTTACTCCATGCAGGTGATGATAGAGATAGTGCTCTGTTTTATAGAGGTCAAGTTAATCTTACTTATTTATTTAATCTTCTTTAAGTCTAACACCTCTGTAAGTTATTTTTGTTAGTCAAACACCTATGTAATTAAAGCATCTATACAAAAGTTAAACACCTCTGTAGGTTAAAACTTGCATAAGTCAAACACCTCTAAAGTTGAACACTTCGTAAGTTGAACACTTCATTTGATGAATACTTTTATAAAACAAGGCCTTGTGTCCTAGTCAAACACTCTTGGTGAAATTGTGAAGGTTAACAAGCACCTCTACACCCTCTGTTAGTCAAACACCTTAATTTGTAAATCAACTCTAAATAATTTATTTCGTATTACCTACAGACGTATTATTAATTAATACTCAGGTGTTGACTTCTTGTGTTTCAAGATTCTCGCATCAAAGAACAATGCCCTTAAATAACCTGCGTTACTAATGTGGAATAAAAATCTATATTTCTAATTAACCTCCTCATAGAGCAACGTTTATAATCAATGGAATTAATAAGTCGCTGACCTCTTACATTCAGATGGGTTTTTGAGTAAGCATCAAATGATTGATTAAATGAACTGAAGTATGTTCATAGAATAAGCAATTAAAATCATTACAAACTGAAAGATTTTACTTTTTCATTTAACTTTGTAAAAGATAGCGTTCGTTTAAACAACATACGAAGACTGACTGGAACTCAGAAATACTTAGATTGTGCTATACTGTATCTTTAAAATGCATGCCATCTAGATCTTCAAGTAGCAGGGCTCTCGCTAGGCTTTTAGACTGTGGTGCAGCACCACATTCAAAATACAGGGCCTGAATAGATTTAGTGATGATTAAGTTAAATAGCCTTTTAAACAGAACCTATTGAACATCCTGTGTAGAACTGAAATATACGTTAATATATTATTTTACAAGCATCGGCTATTACTCCCTTGTTGCTTGCAGGTTTCCTGGAATTTTGTCACCTGTCATGCTATATAAGGCTTTGTTATCAAGATGAAACTAGACCTGTGGTCCCAGGTGTAATCTCAGGTGAAAATACTAACTAATTGTTGATTGGATCTCTATGGTGATGATGTCATTGAACCTCTCTATAATGTTCCTTAATTATAAGTTACACTACAAAACAATTGCAAACGTTTCATTACATAACAAACAGATTGAAAAACAAAAATATATCACTCTATCCCACAATTGATAAGATTGGTATATTAAATGCCAGTGCCTGATTGGTCAATGACAGTCACATGATCTGTAGAGGGAAAAATTGAGTGGTTCATGAGTAGGCTGAAAGCTGTATCGTATTGATTCTATATGCCATGATGGAATTTTACCCTACGTGAAGCTAAGAGAGGGAGATCAATAGGAAATGTAAAATTGATGAAATCTGCCAATGGGCATTGTTATCAAAGGATATACACTGTTTACACCTATTTTACATAGCAGAGAAGATACAAGATTCACGGCAGAGTAATATACGGCTTATTGGTTCAGCTATACTAGGTATTAATTTATCATCAGCTTGAACAATTCTACGAGCCAGTACCAGCTCTTGGTTAAAGTAATTCATATCTAAATCATATGAGTTAAGATGTGGTTAGGATGGCAGCTGTCTGAAGTGTGCCTAGGGAATAAGAACAAGTACTAATAAATTCAAGTAATATTCTATAAGAACAAACAGCCCATATAACGTGTTCTATACCCATCACGGATTTGTAATAATAATCGAGGATAGTGGCTATTACATACATAGCAAGGTAAGTGGACGAATGATGTATTTGTCGATACTTTGACAAGCGTGTGTTCAACCTGGATTTACCCTCACGTTAATGATATTAAATGGTGATTTGCTCCAGGAGTCCTTAGCAACTAAATCAGATTGTTTTATGGTCTGCTGAACAAGGTCTGAATATAGTACCAGTGTGAATTTTATGTGTGTATATCATTGCAGCTTATTTCAGGGACATTTGAATCTATTGTCTTTCATTCATTGATAGAAATTGTTGTCCTTTGCTGGCGTAAATCTATTGTCTTTTGCTAACATCATTCAATTGTCTTTTGGTGACATAAATCTAATCTGTCATTTGCTGACATAAATCTGTTCAATTGTCTTTTACTGACATCATTCAATTGTCTTTTGGTGACATAAATCTAATATGTCATTTGCCGACATAAATCTTTCCAATCGTCTTTTACTGACATTACTGCACAAGTGGTGATTTTGCCTAATCATTTAATTTGCCTATTGCCTAATTTTTCCCAGGTTAGGAAAATTAAACCACCCGGATCAAATACCACTTATACAGTATTCAATTGAATTTTTAACAGCACACCCGTATGTCTAAGGTTGTTCAGCACACCTGCATGTGACTGTCTTAGGTTGAACAGCACACCTACACATCTTAGGTTGAACAGCACACCTGCATGTCTTAGGTTGGAGAGCACACCTACATGTGACTGTCTTAGGTTGGACAGCACACCTACACATCTTAGGTTGAACAGCACACCTGCATGTCTTAGGTTGGAGAGCACACCTACGTACATGTCCTAGGTGAAACAGCACACCTGCATGTGACTGTCTTAGGTTGGACAGCACACCTACACATCTTAGGTTGAACAGCACACCTGCATGTCTTAGGTTGGAGAGCACACCTACGTACATGTCCTAGGTGAAACAGCACACCTGCATGTGACTGTCTTAGGTTGAACAGCACACCTACACATCTTTGGTTGAACAGCACACCTGCATGTTTTAGGTTAGAGAGGTTAGAGAGCACACCTGCATGTAACTGTCTTAGGTTGAACAGCACACCTACACATCTTAAATTGAACAGCACACCTGCATGTCTTAGGTTAGAGAACATACCTGCATGTCTTAGGTTGGACAGAACACCTGCATGTCTTAGTTTGGACAGCACACCTGGATGTATTTAGTTGGTCAGCAGACGTGCATGTCTTAGTTTGGACAGCACACCTGGATGTCCTTGGTTGAACAGCACACCTGTATGTCTTAGGTTAGAGAGCACACCTGTATGTAACTGTCTTAGGTTGGACAGAACACCTGCATGTCTTAGTTTAGACTGCACACCTGGATGACTTTGGTTGGTCAGCACACCTGCATGTCTTAGGTAGGCCAGCACACCTGCTGTGTCTTAGTAGACCAGTACACCTGGATGTCTTTGGTTGGTCACAGTATGTGCATTGTCTTAGGTTGGACTTAGGTTGGCCAGCACACCTGCTGTGTCTTAATTGGCCAGCACACCTGGATGTCTTTGGTTGGTCAGCGTATGTGCATTGTCTTAGGTTGGACAGCACACCTGCTGTGTCTTAATTGGCCAGTACACCTGGATGTCTTTGGTTGGTCACAGTATGTGCATTGTCTTAGGTTGGACTTAGGTTGGCCAGCACACCTGCTGTGTCTTAATTGGCCAGCACACCTGGATGTCTTTGGTTGGTCAGCGTATGTGCATTGTCTTAGGTTGGACAGCACACCTGCTGTGTCTTAATTGGCCAGTACACCTGGATGTCTTTGGTTGGTCACAGTATGTGCATTGTCTTAGGTTGGACTTAGGTTGGCCAGCACACCTGCTGTGTCTTAATTGGCCAGCACACCTGGATGTCTTTGGTTGGTCAGCGTATGTGCATTGTCTTAATTGGCCAGCACACCTGGATGTCTTTGGTTGGTCACAGTATGTGCATTGTCTTAGGTTGGACTTAGGTTGGCCAGCACACCTGCTGTGTCTTAATTGGCCAGCACACCTGGATGTCTTTGGTTGGTCAGCGTATGTGCATTGTCTTAGGTTGGACAGCACACCTGCTGTGTCTTAATTGGCCAGTACACCTGGATGTCTTTGGTTGGTCAGCGTATGTGCATTGTCTTAGGTTGGATAGCACACCTGGATGTCTTTGGTTGGTCAGCGTACGTGCATGTCTTAGGTTAGACAGCACACCTGCATGTTTTAGGTAGGCCAGCACACCTGCTGTGTCTTAATTGGCCAGCATACCTGCATGCATTCAGGTTGGTCAGAATACCTGAATGTCTTCTCACCCACATATAAGCCTATATATCAAGAATAACCTGTGTGATAACATGTTTTTATTTATTGATAGGGGAGTTAACATCACTGTAGGTCTCTTAGGTTAGAAACACACTAAGTGCTGTCTGGAAAATATTCAATGTATGCAATATATGCATAGCTCTAAGATGAAAAACCATCAACAGTCCAGTCATTACTCATCTAAGACTAATATAAGCAAGCACCTCAAGGAATATATCCAATATTCAAGGTGCCACTGAGAATTGGTATAACGGCATGCAAATATACAAATGTCAGTTTTTGGAATAATTTGAATGTCAAGGTTTAGTCATTGTTAACTCAGTCATTGTTCATTTAATCATTGTTAATTTAGTCATGTTCAATGAAAGATCAAGTGTTATGTGGTAAAACTTTTTATAAAAGGCCTAATTTTTTCTTATTTGTTGGGTCAACTCAAAATGTTCAAAATTCAATTTTCTGAAGAATTCACATTTTTTTGCTCTAAAATTCCATCAGCGATCTTATGAGTCAAATTATTCGATGGGAGCATATCATTGGTGATTCTGCTTTTTATTGCACTTTTTCAAAGTTCTATATCATCATCGTGTAGTCAGAGAAACTCTCTCATAAATCAGCCAAATTAAATATATTGTAGAAATGACACCAAATATCAAATACTGAGTTTGATCTGATGAAAGGTAGCAAGATGCATTAAGTGCTAAATTTAAGACTGTCTGTTAGATCTACACACTTGTTTACTTTCAGAGAATTTTCAATGTCAGGTGTTTTAATCTTTCAAAGTTGATTGATAAAACGTTGCATTCATAGCTCATTAATCTTGTTCAGGTAAACAATCCCTCTCATCGATACCTGTTTTAACAGCCTTATGTTAGGTCTCGATGAGGCTGGCTTTCATCACAAGGCAGTCAGGGGTAAGATGCCCCGTTATCAAGGTTGCTAATCTCACATTTGCAGAACTTGATATAGCATATCCTCTGGTTTTTAATGAATTTAATATGATTTTTGTCTATAATTAGCTTCAATTCTAGCTTTTTGTTGATTTAGCATTTTCTGGAGTAAGTAGAAAAATATTGATTCAGGTCATGGTTTTCTGAGTTATTGAACTCAATTCTCTCTTCAATATATAATAAGAAAATTGTTCTTGAAAAATTAACTACTTGAATGTAACCTATATATATGTTAACTCTGACTTTGAAAATTTATATTAACAGTTTTCATGTAAAGATTTTAATTATCTTAAATGAAACATTCATTGATTTTTATTGTTGTTTGATTATGAAATGATCTTCACTTCCTTTAGGCAGAAAATATACACGATCACGATTTTCTAACTTCATAATCTGCCCATGCAGTTTAAGAGTGCAATCAGGGTTAGGATCTTGGAAAGGGTGGAGGCTACAGGTACCTGGCATCCTTGACCAACTTTTGTCCCTTTGTTCCTGTTCAGATTTTAATATTGCTTTCAGTCTTACATTTAATGTGTTGTATATTCTTTATGGGTGTTATGCTTCTGAGTCACTCCCTTATGGCCTAGTCACATAGCCCGGCCGATGAGGTTCCGATGAGCCAGCGATGCAATTTTCACCGAACTCGGCCGAACACCGGCCGGACACCGGCCGGACATCCGTGGCGTTTGTTGCTTAAAACCGCATCGGTGGCAGCTCGGTGAAATTTTAACTTCGGAGTTAAATTTCACCGGGCTCTCACCGAGCTCCCTCATCGCAGCCCCATCGTAACCACATCAGAACACACGTCGGCCGGTGCACGGCCGAGTATCGGTCGGTGTCCCGCGCATCTGAGACAACCAGAGGACGAGGTTTTTTTAACGGACACCGGCCGAGCTCCGACCGAGCTCCGGCCGATGTGGGACAGAGCCTTGGAAAGTATAGTACCTGAAGATGTCCGGACGGAGTCCGTTCACGTCACCGAGCTCTGCTTCCGATGAGGAGAGCTCGGTGGCACCAAAAAAATCCACCGAGCTCTACCGATGCCGGACATCGGCCGGGCTATGTGACTAGGCCATTAATTGGAACTATAGAGCATTGAAATTCTAGACTGTTGAAATCATCAAAGTTTACAAGCGTAAACTGAAATCAAATGTGAAATCTCAATTACTTGTTGCATCACTAAAGATTGCCTTACTATTTATGGAGCATTTATAACCTTTCTTGTTTTACTGCAGTCTTGTAGAAGATATACTCATACTTGTAACCCTTTATAAGACCACACATTCATCTTCACTCTGAGATAATTCTTGGATTTAGCCCATGACACAACATTTTCTATTTAATAAGTATAGAACATCAATTTCCTATTCACTGTCCCATAAAGACCATGAAAGCTACAGATTATAAGCATCAAAACTATACAGTGATCTCCCCAGCATTAAAGCAAGTGAGCCGTCCCCACCTGAGATTTTGAAAATAGGCTTATACCCACCTTAGAATCCATTTGCAGCACCCACTTGAAAATGAGAAAAATCATGAAAAGTGGGCATAATTTGACCAATTTTGGTCTGAATTGTGAAAATGAAAATTTTGCACCCAGCATAGAAAAAGTCCTGGGGAGATCACTGCTATAGCATAACATTTCAATATAATGCACAGATACCCTCTTATGGGTATCTAGTGCTGACCCTATTAATTAATGTTTGACAGTTAATAAATAAAGAATAAATAGTTTGACAGTAAATAAATAAAAAATAAAAAAAATACTTCAGTCAGAGGATAATATGGTTTTGGAAGGGTAGTAAATGAAAGAAAATCTACTTCCACAGATCAGTGACAAGTTCTAATCACGAATCACCAGAAGTAACATTTAAAGATCTCTCTGCAGGTTTTATGAAGTTATTTTGCCCTATTCTGCTATTGCTTCAAGCAAACGAGCCCCTGTAGAAATTCACCCTCTCTCACTCTTATACTAAAACCATCGAATCTTACAAAGAATACTCCTAGAAAGGACCTGATAGAAGGCTGTAATAACTCACAATGCAACCCCCCCCCCCTCTACTGTACAGTTATGGAAATACATATTGAGGGAGGGGTAGGACCTGGGGGGGGGCAGGAACTTTTATATGCAATAAGTAAAAATTTGTGGGCCAGAGACAGGTATACTTACAGGTATAGGTCAGCATTTTTTCTGATTTTGATTTTCTTGTTTATACTCATACATATTTTTACCTGTAGGGAATGTTTATTTTTCTGGTATTCCAGGTATATGGTAGATGTGCCAGAATTAATTGAGTCTTGTTTTTCTATATGGTAAGAAATCTCATTTTTCGAGCTAAACTCTATTGACATTTACTATTGATCTTATAAGTTAATCCCAACATCGGGTTTTATATCACAACTAACATTTAGATTTAGGGATTTGTTGTTTCAGTGAAATCTTAAACACCAGGTATTTATTTATATCCTATACTGTACTATAACAGATCAAGCCCGTGGCTCTGCAAGACAATTTATAGAATGATGATGGCTTTTAGAAAATTGAGAAAATGACTTGTACCTGGTTGTATACTTACATTGCAATAAGTCTTGTAATATAACATGAAATTGTCATGATTTTGTGATCAGAACACAATTTGAGAACTATCAAGAAATATTGGTTGTTCTGTGTTTTTTTGATATTGTTATTTGTGGTTGTGGGGCTTTTTTGTTTATTTGTTGCCATATGTACTTTTTGATGTGACAAAATAAACAACAAAAAACTATATAGTACATATATTGTTAGGGAGTGGTTATGAATTGCCCAAATACCAAGGTTCTCTTTTCACATATACATAGTCGATATTATGCTTCCTACAAGTTAACAATTTAATCTCAAATGAATATTTGTTGAATATCTTTCTTTGACAAAGAACCAAAGAGCAATAATTCGTTATGAGATAAATCATTATGATCATTGGTAAAATAATCAGTCAGTAGGATGAATGAAAAATAAATGATTTCAGACTTGATTTTCCTTGTGTTGTTAAACTTCATTGTTCCTCTTTAATATGTACATACGTTATGACAAGGTTGGGTTATATGGGAAAATGAAGGTAGATGTTTCCATGGTAACCAATAGCATCACATTCAATGCTGTCACGATTTTATGGCAGTGTGTTATTTTTTCTTGTAGTAATTTCCAGCACAATAGAATCTCGCACAGTTTGCTAATTGTTATATATCAGATTCATTATGTATCTGAGTACCTGTATAGGTTGTTTACGTCCTCAGACCAATATGAATTATGTATAAATGTCCTCGCTTTGTTACTCTATATAGTATCATTATTTCTTCAGTTCTATTGGAGAATATATAGATTGTAATATAGCAAGAATATGTCAAACCCGAGCTTTGGTAATAAATAAATGATTGACAACGGGGAATAATCAGTTTTATTTTCGATTCAACTTATTCTCATTAATTCTGAAGGATGTTAACTTATTATTTGTTCAACTGTCATCATATGGATACCAAATCCAGCAATCCTCTTTAAAACAATGGTTTTGCGAGGTTCGCAAAATGGCTAGAACAAAGCATCACATGTTTGTACCTAGCTCAGCTTTACAATGTTGAAGAAAATTGATTCTGTATATATGCCTTTAATGCCTCTGGGAGGGTAATTGTTCAGCATAAAATGTGGTATTTGCTGTTGTTGAGAAATCAATTTTTGGTTGAAGCAGTGTTTCATGTTGGACATGCAAGTCACCGAAAGACCTAGGTGCTCTCTGAAGTGTTTACATTTATGAGGGAATTATTAATTTTCACCTGGCATTCACATTCTCTCAGGCTCGAGTTGTTCTTCTGATTGGTTCTCTTTGTCGAGTGTGTTTCTGTTATCGGGTGGTCATGATCTACTGATATATTATAGACATTGATTTTTTGAAACCCTTTGTGCTTTTGCTTCGTATTAACAATAACCTGTAAACCCTGTTTTTGTAAATTCTCAGCGGGGTATAAAATGATAAAATATGGCTGCCTTCAATAATTGCTGATATGACGGTAAGGTTGAAATGTAATGATTCACTGATTTATCTGATGTTTTTAGGGAAATGACACATTCATCGGGAATACAAACATGCAACGATTCTTCAATTATTTATTGAAAATATTGACACTTGGTCCTTAGTGACTCAAACATGTTTCACTTGTTGAGAGGTGATGTCACCTTACTCTTTGTAAGATCAAGAGTGGTTGATCTCAACTCTTATTTAAGGGATAACCTTTGAACTCAGGTAGCCAATCAGGGCATGTCTCGTACAAAGATGGTTGGATGAGCAAATTAAACAACAACCTATAAAATGTTTGGTTGTTGCATGGGTTTTCAATCTATCAAATGCCCATGGTTGTACTCAGAATGTAGTTTTCTAACTGATGGATTCAGGGTATATATCCCTTTTCATCCTAAATGGCTTATTGATTTTTGCAGAACTGCAGAGCACCTGGAATGTTACGTCTGTCATAAACACTCTTTGTAGCTCTGCTTTGTAGATTTGATTTATCACATAGTAATCTTTTCAATGAAAGGCATTTATTATAAATTAATGCAAGATAGAATTCAGGGTGAAGGATTATCCTAACATTATATTATTCTGATCAATAAAATCAGCCATTGAATGTAGAACATGATCTAGCATCAAATCAAAATAATTGTATTGAATTTTGAATTATAGTGAAATTTTAGACAAAATTATCTGGCATTATAGTTTGATTTAAGAGTTTAAGTAAATAATAGCAGTGATCTTTTTCTCAAGTGATTTTTTCTCAAGTGGGTGCAAAATTCTCATTTTCACAATTCAGACCAAAATTGGTCTAAATATGCCAATTTTTCCTTTTTTCTAGTAGGTACCTTTATCCCACTGCCATTCCTGTCGCCCTCCAATCCATAGGAGCTGTCATATACATCTTGTATCAATTGTCATCTACATGTATTACTACTCTATTTCTAGGTAAGGAAGGAAACACCACCTGATCCTCTAGCTAGCCAGATATATTTTCCAAGATAGCGCCAGATGACTCTTCAAATAGGGGACGGAACATGAGCACATTGATACAGTACAGGTAGGTCAACTTACAACTTACAACTCACTATAGCATTACTGGACTAACTATTTATTAGGACTCTTTAGGATCCTCTGATGTTTTAAATGTCACAGAGAGAAAATATTCTTACTTTCATGAATGGTAATGATGTATAATTTAGAGAGCACTTATTAGCTAGAGATCAGAAATTGTAATCCATTGTGATCCTTTGTAATTATTCAGTACATGTATAGCACCAACTTTCTGCTAAGGGCTCAATGTATCTTGCATTGTTGATTATTGTTTATTGTATATTGTACTGACATTGTATATTGTACCTACATGTACTGTTAGTGCTCCTTGTAGAAATACATTTATGCACTAACCTTTGATGTTATGGCCACTGGGGATGTACTGGTTACAAAGAAAAACTGTTACAAGAATAAGTCCTTGTAACCTGTTCATCTATGGTGGATTTTGTGTTGTGTCATTTGTAGGTATTGTTTCAATGGTGCCTAACCTGTGTACCCTGACTATGAAAAACATGATCATAATAGTTCAGTTTCTAAAACTCTTTCTACGATATCAACAACATCCTGATACGTTGTTTTTTTCAGAACCTGCAAATAAAAGTTAGCTGATGGATGTCTATATACATTTAATTATTGCATGTATTAATATTTCTGTTGATGGTTTCAAATTGTGCTTAGGACGTGATGTATTATTAAAGAATGTGATAGCCAGACGTCCAATTATAATAGATGATAGTTGAAGAAGATCCGCAGATGCCACTAATTTAGATGCCCAGTTCTCCAGGGACGTCGATGATATTGGCCAGTACATGCTCATGGTCATTCTCTTATTTAATATTGTAGTCCTGGTGATCATTACTTGCTTTGTCTCTCTGGAAGCTAAATGAAAACTCTAATATTTCCTTGCGCTAGGAATGTTACATTTTAGCTCTACTCCTATTATTATTGCTTTAATTTTTTGGAGAAATCACTTATTCTGCTATTTTGGTCGGAACTGAAATCGATAAATTCTGACCTACTTTAGAAAAACTAAACTCCTTGGGAGAACACTGGTTGAGGTTGATGATTGTATTTTTAGGGCATTGCCAATTGCAATGTGTTTAACTTAATGGATTGTTTAATGTATTTTATGTAGGGGCTTCAGATTCACACCGGAATAGCCTGACAATGGTAAAGTCAGATACCGTTGTCACAAATGGCAGACATAACCGTTACTTCAACTCTTTAATCTCTTGGTCCTCGTTTCATGGGACTTTGTCGTCGCTAATTCTGTGCATGTGTTAAGCTCGTGTGATGATGTATTATATGAAATCCCAATTTCTATCAAATGGGGTCGTGAATCGCCACAATATAGCGTCTTCGATATCGTCAATGACAACGGAATCTGAATTTGAAATAATTTACAAAGACAACGGCATATGGTAAGATGTGACAACGGACTATGGTGGATGTATTGCATTGGAACATAGGAAAATGACAACGGTAAATAGACACTTTACCGTTGTCTTTACATATACCATTGTCAAATATTACTGTTGTCACCTCAAATTTACATCTCATTTGACCCACACCTACTGTTGTCATTTATACATTATCCATTGTCCTGTGTCATATTCCGATTGGTAAAATTAAAGCCTTTATTTTGAAGGTAGAACATATTTAAGTAATTTAACTATATGATCAGTAGAAAAACACTTTGAGTGATTGCTGTACCAAAGGAATTTAATCTAGTCGCTCTATTAAACATACAGTTCATGAAAATCCAATTGAAGCGATGGTTATGTCCGCCATTTGTGACAACGGTATCTGACTTTAGGGTATCTGACTTTACCGTTGTCAGGCTATTCCGGTGTGAGATTGAGTTATTCATTGTCTCACGTCTAGTATCACATTAAATAATTATTTGTATGCAGCTAATGATTTTAGATGATGATACATGAGCAATGGGGTTCTATACTTTCCAGTATCCCAACATGGGGGAATTTAGCTGGAGTTCAGTGGCCGCTTTGCCGTAATTGTCCAATAGGAATTTATAACCATACATACAGATGATGCCATATAGCAATATACAGATCATACAGCCTGGTTTTATAAAAGAGTCTTAATCTAGAGAAAAAGTTTAAAAAAAGGTGATACTATGCCATAGGCTCTATTAAAAAATCTAGGCTACCATGGCAAATATCTGTTAGTCCAAGTCAATACATGTAACTTTTCTTTTTGGAAAATGACTACTTACATGTATTTGGTTAAGTCATAGTCAGTCATGCGTCATCTTATGTTGTTCCAGTAAAGCTATTATGTCACCACCAAAAGTGGTGACATATTGTTATGGTCTCCGTTTTTTTGCGACGACGGTTGGAGGTTGGCGTCCGGCGTCCGGCGTCCGGCGTCTGTAACAATTTCTTACAACTTCCTATAACTTAACAAATACTGTTTAGACTGACTTCAATTTTTTTCTAAATCATCTACATGTTCTCAGAAGTTCAAATCTGACTTTAGATTTGACATTTGACCTTCAATGACCTTCTCAAGGTCAAAAAGGTCTTTTTTCAACTTGCTTCACATTGACTAAATTTTTTTTCAAAATCATCTACATGTTCTCAGAAATTCAAATCTGACTTTAGATTTGACTTTAGATTTGACATTTGACCTTCTAATCTGACTTTAGATTTGACATTTGACCTTCAATGACCTTCTCAAGGTCAAAAAAGGTCAAAAAGGTCTGTTTTCAACTTGCTTCAAATTGACTAAATTTTTTTTTCAAAATCATCTACGTGTTCTCAGAAATTCAAATCTGACTTTAGATTTGACCTTTTATGACCTTCTCAAGGTCGAAAAAGGTCAAAAAGGTCTGTTTTCAACTTGCTTCAAATTGACCAAATTTTTTTTTCAAAATCATCTACATCTTTTCAGAAGTTCAAATTTGACTTTACAAGTTCTCAGAAGTTCAAATCTGACTTTAGATTTGACCTTTGACCTTCAATGACCTTTTCAAGGTCAAAAAGGTCTTTTTTCAACTTGCTTCTAATTGACTAATTTTTTTTTCAAAATCATCTACATGTTCTCAGAAGTTCAAATCTGACTTTAGATTTGACATTTGACCTTCAATGACCTTTTCAAGGTCAAAAAGGTCTTTTTTCAACTTGCTTCAAATTTACTTAATTTCTTTTTCAAAATCATCTACATGTTCTCAGAAGTTCAAATCTGACTTTCATTTGACATTTGACCTTCAATGACCTTCTCAATGTCAAAAAAAGTCAAAGAGGTATTTTTTCAACTTGCTTCAGATTGAACAATTTCTTTTTTCAAAATCATCTACAAGATCCCAGAAGCTCAAATCTTCAAAAACCTTCTTAAGGTCAAAAGGTATTTTCCAGCTTGCTTTAAATTGACCAAATTGTTTTAGGTGGTGACATTTTGTCATGTTAATGCCTTGTTGAAATAAATGTTTTTAGTATTATGTTGAGAAGTATTTCATTATATTTTGTAGCGCTGGCAGTGGGTCAAAACTTCAACGAAAATCTTCACAAACTTCCATTAGGTAGGTCATGATCACAAACATTCATTTGGTGGGTCATGATCCTGAACAAAGTGCTTGCATTATCAGTATGATCCCAGTGCTCTTTAAATTGAGGAATTCTTCCCTAGAGGTCCCTATTAATGTAATAGAATCCTACAGTTGACAAGCCAATATACAGGGTGAGTCCCAAATAATGCAACACTCTTGTGATGAGAGTGTTGCAGTTTTGGGTCACTCTAGGGACAAAGAAAGCCCATATTATTCATCTCATAAAAATGAGAAATCTTTGGCTTGTACATACCTTGCTAAATCATATAATCAATTACCATATTTGGACTCCATTTCTCCTTTTATTAATTATTAATTTTTAAACTAACTTTGAACTCTACTTATTATAAAAACACAAAAAAAGAAATAAAATTTTTGTTTTATAATTTGATCAGATGAGTTAGGGGTTTTAATGTTAATGCAAAGCTTCTTCAAGGCGCTGCGTGTCTAAAATAGAATTTTAATTCTTTCTCTTTAGCTCTGGTAATTTGCCAAGGAACCCCTCTTTCACAGGTGGCAGGTGGGTGGATTGTCGAGTCTAGTGAGCAGATATATTCCATTAGCTAGAACTAACAATGCATTGTACACTACCCTGGGCATTTATTAATACGAGTCTTGCATCAAACCTCCATGTTGCCCCCCCCCTCATTCTCTCACAACATAGAAATAGATCTAGGGGAGTAAGTGGCCATAGCATTGATACAAGACTATGCATTTATGCTATTTATTTGGTTGATGTCTAGCTGTACCTTTAGCTTAGTATTTCACCCCCAAATGTTCATCAAGCTTACTCCTTGTAGTCTTGCCTCAAGACCACACCCCCCCCCCACTCCATTTCAACAACAACAGAAGGGGTGTCCATGGTCTTGAAGCAAGACTATAGCACTTTGTACTAGGAGGAGCTCATGATGCAAACCTTTCCTTTTTTATTATCTTAAATGGAAAAAAAGTTTACTTATTTACATGTGTATTTAGGTTTCTGGGAATTTACCAAAAGCATAAATACATATTGACTAAGTAAAAAAATTTCTAACGTTTTATGAGTTTTGAAAAATTCTGAGCCATCCACTCTTGTTGAAAGCTGGCTATAAGGGGTCAGCTGGGAACAGAATATAGCTAAAGGTATAGAATATCAACCTCTTATTTTATTGTTAATTTTTGTCAGGTATGCATCCTCATAGCTGTGTGATTTCTTTTATTTATTAAGAAAAATAATAAATTGCTTGTGACCTGTCACCATGTAGGTGTATAATAGCCATACTCTAGAATTGTGAAAGGAAAATTGCAAGAATTAGTATTTGTATGCTTCAGTTCATTGATTACCAATTTTTCCCCATCTAACATGTTGTACATGCATAATAGGCCTATCATCCATGGCGCATACCCCATGCTGCTTGCAAATAAGGACATATCGCAGCGTATCTTCTCGCAAATTGCCTCTAAGCTGGACGATCAAATGGCCTCATATATATGTAGCTTGCAGTATATTCTGCGTAGTTTTCATTTTTATGTCACCGCCAGACATGGAGACATATTCATGAACTCTCCAGTCTTCAACTTTTTTGTGGACAGTGTTCAGCGGTTGGCGTTTGGCATTTGTAACAAATGGCAGGTGATGACATTTTTGGGGACCATGTTCAGCGGTTGGTGTTTGGTATCTGTAACAAATGGCAGGTAATGACATTTTTGGGGACCATGTTCAGCGGTTGGTGTTTGGCATTTGTAACAAATGGCAGGTAATGACATTTTTGGGGACCATGTTCAGCGGTTGGTGTTTGGTATCTGTAACAAATGGCAGGTAATGACATTTTTGGGGACCATGTTCAGCGGTTGGTGTTTGGTATCTGTAACAAATGGCAGGTGATGACTTTTTGGGACCATGTTCAGCGGTTGGTGTTTGGCATCTGTAACAAATGGCAGGTGATGACATTTGCATGTTAATGCCTAGTTATAGATGAGTAGAGAGTTGATGCTTTATCCCTGAGTCGTGCTGACAAATAACCTGCTTGTGTAAATTATTAATCAATCGTACTAGCCCTCATGAAATATTTACGAGTATTTGGTGTAATATGCAACTAAATTAGTTTAACCTGAATTAAAACAGGATTTGGACTGGTAGTTACCATGGGCACAGAGTTTTAAGTTCTAATATCTGAATAGATATGACAATTTAACATGACCCTTATTCCACATATGAAGACATTAGTATCAAAAGAATTGTTACTTAGAGAGGTAGTTTAGGAACTAATTTTGCCATATGGTTCGACTATATATTCGTATATTTATCATTCGGTCTACTAGTATAGAATGGGCAAGCATAGAATGGGCAAGCATAGAATGGGCAAGCATAGAATGGACAAGCATAGAATGGACAAGCATAGAATGGGCAAGCGTAAAATTAGCAAGCATACAATGGGGGAAATATAGAATGGACAAGTGTATAGTAGTCATTATACGAGATGTATCACTTTTGTAAAAGATTCACAATCCTTCAATGAAATATACTACAACTAAACATAGTAAAGCTAAAATATTGGTGGGACATTGCACTTTAATGTCATTGATTAGTTCTTTGCGAGATTAACACAATATATCTTGTATGCAAGTTATTATCACATATGGGTGCCAGTAAATGCTTTGTTTTCATGCAATATTCTCATCTGACAGTCCGAGAGATTAACGTGTCCCATCGTTGGCAAGGTTCATGGCCGTGCAAGTCGATTTATAGAATGTAGATGGCTTATAGTAAATAGAGGGAAAATGGCAAAGATATGTTCCTGTTGTGTAGCTTAATAAGTCTTGTTCATGTCAGAATCAATGAGAAATGAAGCTTTTGGAATTTAATTCTTCCTTTAATAATTGATCAGAGCATTAAAATGATTGAAGGTTAATTAATCATGGGCTTTCAATAGATTTGAGGTCAAATCTGTATGATAGCATGTCAGTTTATTTATGATACTTTTCAAATGCATGGAAAAAGTGATATCGACTCATGGATAAAAATGATATCACTCAAAATCATAGGATATCCTTAACATATATACATATGCACTTATACTGCCGTGAGATACGACAGCCTAATTGTATCAGTTCCTCTTTAGAATATTACGAGAAAGATGTTATTAATGGGTATCATAATGCATGCACTTACTACTATTTTTCATGGTAAGTGAATCTGCTAACTTAGGGATCTATATTAGGGCTAAACGACAGTGACGTGCATTCATACTTTTTAGAAGAGATAACCTCAACTCTTTATTTTTTGCAATGTGTTAACATAAAGAATCATTTAGTACTTTAATTACTTTGATAAAGTACATCCATCATCCATTATATCTTACTAGATGACCCCATCAGCCCAACATAAAAGCTGATAATTTGTGATATTTTGCAATAGTTCAAATGTTAGATGACTATTTCTCAGTGATTGACACCTCATATCACAGTGACTCTGAGAACTGATTGCATAGCAGAGATTTGTGTCAATTCTTATCCCCTAAACTATTTATCAGTTTGCTCTGTCACTCTTAAAACAAACTTGAAATGTAAGGAATATTTGAAGCTACAATTTTTTGAAATAACAAAGTAAAACCATTGTAATGAAACTATCAAACCATTGAAATTTAACTATCAAACCATTGAAATTAAACTATCAAACAATTGGAATTAAACCATCTAACCATTGAAATTTAACTATCAAACCATTGGAATTAAACCATTGAAATTAAACTATCAAACCATTGAAATGAAAATGAAACCATTGAAATTAAACTATCAAAAAACCATTGAAATTAAACTATCAAGCCATTGAAATTAAACTCTCAAACCATTGGAATTAAACCATCTAACAATTGCTTCAATTTGACCAATTTTGTCATAATAATGTCTTGTCTTTTGTTGTTATATCTTTAATTAAAGTTACATCTGATGAAATTATAATAAAGAGTTAAATACCAAACAAAACCAAAACAAGCAAATTGAAATTACAATGTTGTATTCTATAACACTACAAGTGTCGTGAGACACCTTGGATTAATAATTAATGGTTGAGATTAATATGTGTGGTATCAATGAGAATTGAATAGAAAGTTATGTTGAACAAGTAACCTGGAGATAGATTGACCTTAGATTGGTCTTATAACGCTACAAACAATGAATAATATATATATCATTGGAAAGGTTTATGGTAATTAAAGTACCATAGAGATTCAAACTTGTATATGGGAACAAACCATGATACATTGAAACATTCTAGTTATTACCGCAGATCAATCAGTGTAGCATATCTCAAAAGCCAAACCATGTAGATGTTAATATTTAATGTGTTATTTTGATTGATACAAATGATCTATACATAGAGTACATGCAATTGTTCAAGCATTTTCCTGAAGCATATGCACTGAATGTTACTCTCTCTGTTGTAGGGTTATCGTAGCTCAACATTAAATTAATTAGTGAAGTAAATATTACATGCAAGTGCCACAAAGGGAACAATAAAAGAGTTAATAACAAGACATGACAAGGAAAAGAAACATCTAAGTGCACAAGCAAAAATCCTTTAAAAAGGTTTGTCAAAACATGACCCTGATAGCAAGTCGTTGCTGTAGCCTAGCTGTAATGGCTAGCCCCTTTGGCTTAAGCGGTAGAGTGTCAGGCTTTGGAGTGGAGGGTCTTTGGTTCAATTCCCGCATGGGTTATTGAATTCATCACACTCCCTTTCGTGTCTAGTATCTGGCTCGTTACACTACACCTCTCCGGACGAGCGTCCCTAGGGTAATTACAGATTGTTCTTCTTGGGTATTTTCAGTAAGTAAGTCATAATATACAATACAATATATATACTCTCTGTCCGGTGATCCATTCAGCTCAATATAGATACAAAAAGAGAATTATTGATACTTCTGAGAATAAAAACAGCTGCTGGCCTGAATTAGTGGCTGCTGTTTGATAAAAGATCGTCTCTCTTAACCATTCCAGGTCCTTATTAGACCCAAAGGAATCAAACATAGTGAGGTATTTATACCCATTGATTACAGTAAAAAATGAAAGAAATTACTTATTAACTGGATCATCTGGGGTAAGTTCTATTTTATCAACTTGCTGATTGAATTGGATAAGCTTTATTTTATTTAATAAAAAAAGTAATTATAAAATGAGATGTTTGGAGATGTTTGTCTCAACTGCCTACAGAGCCTCACTTTAAGTCTCGACTGCATAGAGAACCTCACTTTAAGTCTCGACTGCATAGAGAGCCTCACTTTGAGTCTCGACTTTATCACATTTAATTTTACAATAACCATTAATTAAAAAATTATTTTTTATCTGGAACCGAATGATTAAAAATTATTTAATGTATCTTTAACCCTAAAGTAATTTGGAATTCAATTAAGAAAGCATAATTAAAATCATACTAATTTAAGTCAATAATAACAAGGCCTCATTAACATGCAAAATGTCACCACTCACCATTTGTTACAGATTTGTTACTGAACACCAAACTCCAGACACCAACCGATGAACATCAACCACCATAAAAATTTGAAGACTGTAACAATATGTCACCACTTATTGTGGTGACATAAAAATTGGATATCAAATCAGCTAGTATAGGTCTGCTTGATAATAGTGACAAGAATAATGAACAATACTTATTCTCATTTGTGCCAAGGAGATTTACCAATGAGTCTGGAGAAGTTCAGTTGATAAATGTCCCATTACCCATTGGACATAACTCAAATGTATCTCAAATGCAATTTGTTGTGACATAGGTCATTGTGAGGATATAATGAATCATAGATTTGGGAAGTTCATGTATGTGTCTTATAAAAATGTTTTAGAAAAAATTTTAAGTTTATATATACCTGTGATAGAGTATACAGATTACGTGCTAATTCCATTAAAATAGATTACAACTGCTTTCAGCCTTTTTCCCAATGTTTATTCCGCTATATTGCATGATCCATGACTACCAAACAATAGTGAAATATCTAATTTAGAAGTTTCATTGAATACAAATGTTTTGAGGAGTAATTACAGACAATACTGACAGGATGGCAAATAACCGCTGGCAATCCTCTAATCTCTACAAAAAGCAATCACATACAAAACCAAATCTATTCGATTGAATTTGTCTAAATGCGATTAAGGAAAACGGGCCGAAGTAATGTCCATTAATTTTGCCCATTATTTTGACTTCAATCATTGATTCGCAGCGCTGCAAATCTGTGATTTTTGATAGACAAATCTAATGGAAAACAATCCTCAATATTTTAAATGGATTTCTTATTTTTTCTTGTATAGCCATTTTGGTGACTCAGATTTCTTACCTGTACAACCCTATTGTTAGAAAAGGTTTTTACTTGTATAGCCCTTTTAATGATTTGAGTTTCTTCCATATGATAATAAGAATGTTGTTCTTATTTTGATTTTGTCTGCAATGTGCATTATAGTGTAGAAAGTCTAGTGTGTATGATAATATGTTAGAACATGAGATGAATGTACATGTATCTGGCACAATCATGTTTTTTCTTTTTTGTATGTCACCACCATAAGTGGTGACATAGTCTCCAACTTTTTTGTGGATGTTTTTTTTGTCAGTTTGTTTTGGTGTCAAGCATTTTATGTTTGATGTTTGGCAATTCTTGTTCAGTGGTTGGCATCTGTAAAAAATGGCAGGTGGTGACATTTTATATGTTAATGTCTTGTATTCCTTCCTTTCACATGGAGAGTAGCGCATTTAGTCTTATATGTGAAGTGTGTTCAATTAAAATATAACATTTATTATTTTTAGATACCATCATGCAGATAGATCCTTTTCTAACTTTAGTTTTGAAATAATAGCATTCTACTCTTTTATTCAAATTAGTGTGTGTTAACTTATCTTGTTTGTACCATTTCAATTGTATTATTTCCATTGCTACTTTAGGTTTAATGTTATCCTACAAACTAACAAATGCTAGAGTTAACAAAATTGACCAATCAAATTTCAGTAAAACCTGTGTATATGGAACACCCTTAGTACTTTTATTCCTTATAGACAAGGGTTCCTCACAAAGAGGGTTCATTACATGTAAGTCAATGGGACTTGGCTCTTTTAAAACCTGTTTCACGTAGAGAGGTGTTCCTTACAGAGAGCTCATAAACATGTTAGTTAATAGGAATTATTTCCAGTGAAAAATCCATATTTCAAAGGTGTTCCTTACAAAGAGGTGTTCTTTACAAAGAGGTGTTCCATTATACAGGTTTTAGTGTACCATATCCTTCCCTCAGTCCATAACAGTTACTAAATCATTCATAACATCAATACGTATGATCTGATTTCCAAACCCCATCCCTGTGCTCCCTCCTTGCATCCAGTTGTTATATATTGTGCTTAAGGATATGAAATGTTTTATTTTGGAACATGCAGCTAGATTGTGTTGTTCTAAGCTAACCAAGAGGTGTATGTGTTAGGATGCACTCAATTGTGTCACAGTGAGTCTGATGCCTATTAGCATGGCTTTGTTTTGCTGCATGTTTTGTTGCACTGTTGTGTATGGTTTGTTTTGGGTTTGCGTAATTTGCTGCGCCCCAACATACTACACCATTTACGGGGAGGGAGAGAGTCAAATTGTAGAAAACTAACTTCGATCTTCTAATAATTATTCACTTTCATTCTCTCTTGCATGCTCTTTTATATAAATATGATAATCAATATTTATTATAGTCTTCTACAAGAGATATTTTTGTAAAACATTGTAAAACATCTTATTGGGTGGGGGTGTTTTTGAATATGTGATTTCTATACATGTAATTTACAGTCATTATATAATACAAGTACATGTTCATTCTTGTATAACTCAGTATATGTATATATTGTGAAGATGCCCCTTATCCTTAACCTTATTGATAACTATAGTACATTAAAATCATTATATGCAATTTATCACTTGGGAATATAGAAGGCTTGTGGTCTATAGATGTTCAGTTACTAAGCTAATCGAATCATCTACTTTGCCGTATTAGTTCTGCAATGTTCAAATGGACATGAACGTTACGAGTAGTAACCTAATTTTATTGAGTAATTCGATCTTTATATGTTTATCACCACAATGGAAGTCCTAATGGACTATTTTTACATCAAACAAAAAGTGTTCTTTAAGGCTAAATAAGGTGTAAAATATTTGATGCCATGCATGCCATGCACTTTGGTGCTTATGCCATGCAGAAACAAAGTTTGAAGGACATATTGATGAATCCCCAATATCTACATTCATTTTATTTTTTATCTGAATAAATGATTTTGAGCAATCGGTTCTGAAATAACTAAAATTATTTTCTGCCAAAATGAGCTCAAGCAAACAAGCAAATCAATATACAATTTCCTTTTTGTAATAGGAACATTTGGGAACCGTGATACCATCAAGTACAATCACATTGCTTTTTTCGGGAGAAAAATTTCAATCTTATATTGTGATCCCAATCTTAAAATCAAGTCAATTGTTGGCAATGGTTGATCTGCTTAAGTGGCAAATGGACAAGCAGAAAGAAATGAATCATTCTAATAAAGACCTTGGGGAAGTTATTTGAGATAAACATAATAGTATAGTATATTTTCCATTATATAAGAACAATGATCTTTCCAAAAGTGAAGCAAGGGGGCCCTATCAAGATTTTGAATGATAGGCAAGCACCCAAGTAAAAACCCATTTGCACCCACTTTGACACAAAGATGAGAAAACTCATTGTAATTTGGTAAGAATAGTAGAATGAGCAGTTTTGCACCAATTTGAGAGAAAATCTTGTGCAGAACACTAATTTAAGAGTATTTGTAATGTCTAGAAATGGTTGAGGGATAAATCTGAATGGTCAATATCAAAAGGGTTAAAAAATATTTTGCTACACTAATTTACAGAAAATGTGGTTGAACTAGAGCCCAAAATTATATCAATTAACGAAATTACTGAATAATTTATTTTAAGGCAATTCGATACTTATTGAATTTCATATGCTAAACTTAAGATAATATAGTTTATATTAAGGATTCATCGATTTATGAGGGCCTAATCTGGCAGATATTCAGGACAGATGATTGTATGAACTAAATAAATTAGCTTATATTCTGAGTTATTATTATGCCATACCGTATTATAATCTACTTGTTTCAGTTTGTTTATTCACTGCATCTGGGGAGTGTATATGGAATTTATTCACTAAGGTTTTGTGTGGGGATTGCATGGATGGAAGTTTGGTCACTGAAAATGTTTTTCTAATTTTTTTAATATTTGATTTTAATCTATTTAATTTTTTTTTTATTGAAGCAATGATTTTATGTGTATTTTGAAAATCATTGCTCTACATAAAATAAACAACACTTGCTTAAAATAAACACTACTGGTATATGGTATGGAATTATCAAAAAGAAGGTTTTAAGGGTATTTTTCACTTAAATAGTATGTATTTCTAGATGGCACTTTTCTCTTGTATGCTTCTTCACATGCAGTCTGCTTCCTATGCATTCCTTTTACTATATCTTTCCCTGTAGTTATAATTCAATGAATGAAATAGCATCAACTATTTATTTTGATAACCTAATATGAGACCTGTAACCTCTGAATACTTGTATGATGTCAGAGTCAATATTAAATTCTGTATCAAGCAATTAGCACAGTCGGTAACATCTGAAAACCCAATCGTCAAGTCTGAGAGATATACTTATTATTAAACCTGTGCAATGTAATATTAGCAATAGAATATGAATTGATTGTATTGGATTTTTTTTATAGGGGCAATGTGTCCAGTAGGGATAGACCCAGGCATTTCCGCACAGATAGCAATGATAGCCGCAGTGGTTCCTCAGGGGCCAAGCACTGGTTACTAGGTGGTGATACAAGTACACCAGATGGCGCCGCTGGTTCATCATCTTCGGAGAAAGGTTCTGGGTCAGGAAGGTTGCCAACTACCGCAGAAGTCGTTGTCAGAAAAACGACTGATAGGTAGGTCCTATCTATATATCTATATAATGTTTTTGCAGAATGTAATGTTTTTGCAAAAAAGAGAAAATGAATATTATTTTTAGCCCTTTATGATTTATATTTGTGTAAATGATGATTTCCAAGATCCTGAAATTAGCTGATAACAATTTCTCTTGTCTCTTATGAAGGTGTTTGTCTCGTCAATACAATGCTTTTGTCATGCACTAATCAAGTAAAGTCCCCATTTACACCTGATATCCAGGTATCTTAATATTTCTTTCCTGACACTCAGAATCTAGAATTACAAATCTAACCTTTTATCGTCATATATCACAACTTGGCATTTAAAATAACGTCATGTGAAATGAGGTTTTGTGTAATTTGTCATGGCTTAAACTCTAATTGGCTAATTTCAAAGAAACCCACATGCTGATACTAATTCCCATAAGTGCTTCTTTATATTGTTTTACATGTCTTAAGGTAGTTAGTGTGTTCCCAAAAAGTTGAAAAATTGACACTGAGAAATTGTATTTCAACATCAAAATGTTTTGGTTTTGAATCCTATATTTTAGTTTCATGTATGATATTCATTATATGTAAAAATATTAACCATTTTATTGATTACATGTACAGTATTGGTAAATATAATCATGGAAAATCTTACATACGTAATTACCTTAATGGAATTCATTGACACCGAAGCGTGTGAGAATTTCATTATTGGCCTCAATTCCTCTGATTTTCAAAATAGATTTTCAATTTTTTTTAAAATGAGCTTATGCTATGATTGTATTTTAATGCCATCACAGCAGTGTTACAAAGGGAAAATACAAGTAAGTTTACATCTATTTCTTATGCTTTGTTTGGTAGGCCTGTCTTCAGTTCTGTATCTTCAAGTGTTTGATTTGTATTCCTGGTGGCTTGCTCCCTTGCTTAGCTGGTTTACACTTGAAGGATAGATTACCTTATCCAAGGGGCAGACAAGGATTCCTGGCCTGAATTCAGATAGAAAAAACATTTTGGGCTTAGATTAGAATACAAAAACGTGTCTCTGGAGTTATCATATAGAAGGTCAGATACCTTGAGGATTGTCCATTAATATGGTCTGTCCTTTGGTCTTTATGTCCCTTTTAGTTATGTTTTAATGTATATTCGTTTATCAAAGTAGATACAGTAAAGTGGTAATGCTTCGATTTTCAACCTTGATATAACTTAACACTTGTCTTAAATGAAGATGAATACGATTGTTGCGGTTGTTGAGGCCCAGTTGGGCAATTTTAAACAATGCCATCTATTCATCTTTCTAATAACTATTTCTTTTAGTTTGTTCTTCTACTCCAATTGATACCTTCGCGTATTACACTAGTCTGATGTTGTTATAATATTCCAAATACCTTGTTTATTCATAGATGGTGTTAGAATGGTCATTTCTTATAATTATGTTGCCCTGTGTCAGTGTATATGCCTATTGTCTTTTTGAACATTTGTTTACATGTATTTATGTTTACATGAACTTACATTAAGATGTATTTACATTTACATGTACTTATGTTTACATGTACTTACGTTAACAACTTAACATGTACATTTACGTACCTTTATATGTACTTATGTTGATATGTACACGTACTTTCATCTGTAAGAATTTATATTTATGTGTACATGTACTTATGTTTACATGTAATAATGTTTACATGTACTTACATTTATATGTACTTATGTTTACGCGATGTACTACTGTACAGTTAACATGTACATGTACATTCATGTAAATTTAGATTTATATGTACTTATATTGACATTTACATGTACTTTCATTTGTATAAACTTACATTTATGTGTACTTAAGTTTACATGGTACTTTTGTTAACATGTACTTACATTTACATGTACTTGTGTTTACATGTACTTATTTCCTCTTTATTCTATAGGAGGCGTGGCTTCTTCAGGTGTGTATGTCAGTCATCTTATGTTTTTGAAAATTATTCATGTGCTATTTCAGTTCACTTTTTCACAAATAGCCTATTTGAGTGCATTTTGCTTTGGATTTATATTTCTAGACATTGAGTTACATTTACACTTGTTTGGATGTTAGGCATTCGCTTTATACAAATTAAAGGAATGGATGTATGATCCACTCTTCAATGGATTATCACTGGATCTAAGCAGAAAATGTTGACGTTTTTTTAGAGTATTAATTCTCATTTTCTTCTATTGCTTCATATTTTGCTGCCATATGATTGTTGCAGCATGTTTTTCAATCACTATCTCACATTCAGAATTGCAATACGAGCTAATAAGTTAGAAGTTCAATAAAATGTTGCTTGAGGCATTCTGACATTGAAAATACACATATTTATAGATGTCACTTATTGCAAAGCATGGTTTAATTCAAGTTGTACACACCATAAATGCATTTGACATATCAATTTGATTGACCTTGACATATAATTATGACATTGACCTATAATTGTGACATTGACATATGATTGTAATCTTATAACCGTAAATGCTGTAAAATACAAAACCTTTATGACTATTGTCACCCGATAAATGTCAAATGCAACAAAGTTATTTAAGAACTAAGATGCAGAAATGTCCAAATGAAATTGAATCGTTAAAGGAGACATATATTTTTCAGAAATATTACCTATTTACCTTCAAACTGGTTTTCTTATGAAATGAAGTCAAAATTCTTGGACTTCTTAGAAAATAGATATGACACGTATGCCTGTGAGAAAAAATATTCTAAAAGTGTTAACATGTTTCTCTTTACTTTGTTGCCTTTTTATATTTAATTATGTCAGTGTTGCTCATCCAAACATTTGGAGTAGATTAATCTCCAAGGAATATACAGGCGTATGGAGTAGAAACACTAGCGTCATACCTGTCCTCAGTTCATCCTAGATTTAATTACTTTGACAGCTAATAGGTTTAGATCTGATTATCTCAGACTATGTTCTGCCTTGTGATAGGTTTGTATTAAAAAATCTATTTCAGCAAAAATGTTTACAGATTATGTCACCCCCACTAGTGGTGATACTGTATATTGTTGTAGTTTCCAACTTTCTTTGTGGATGGTGTTTGGCAGTTGGTGCTCGATGATCGGTGTTGGTAACAAATGGCAGGTGCTGACATTTGCATGTAATGCCCTGTTTTTGTAAATTAGTGTAATCTTGGGTGTTCTGTTGGGTGGCTGTTGTTCTGCTGTGGCGACAATGACATTATTTTAGTTGAATGGTTTGTTATATCATATGTATATGCCATTCTCATTTTGATACTTATCCCAATGATCCCCCCAGCTTTGAAATATTGGTTCAAAAGGTTGGTTCTGCACCTCCTTGAGATTTAAAAAATATGTTTACGCCTATCTGAATACTCATATGCACCCACATGAAAATTAGAAAAATTTTGAAAAATAGGCATATTTTAATGAATGTTGGTCAGAATTGTGAAAATGTGATTTTTGCACCAAGTTGATTTGAGAAGATCACTGAGTTATGCAACACATCTGGGGGCTTCACTTTCTCAACCTGACATTGCTTGTGATTAATCTTCAAGGAAAACTCTGGAAAAAACATTTACAACTACAAATTTTTCTTTTCATATGTGTCTTATATATTTACATGTCTTCAGATTTTCCAATTTCATCTTAGTTGCATGAAATGATAAGCGTTGCATTGTTATCCACTGTTGAATTGGTTGGGTTTGAAATGGAAAGTTTTCTGTTGATTAGACTTTGTTTGATCAATGTCCAGTATTCCATATTGTGATGGATACAATTGCTTTCTGAGGTCACCCAACCTTATCTTAAATTGAATTGTCAGAGTTAAGAGAATCCTATTTATCATATCTGAGCTATAATTTCCTTTTGTCAAGAGCATCTTCCTTTAATAGGATAACCTCTGAGTCAATCATTGGTAAAAGTCAGTCAAATATGGTTGGGTGGATGAAATATTAGGAATTAAAAAATCATATTTCAGAAATTCCAAAATGGGACCAAATAATTGAAGAACTTTCAGTTGAAATAACTCATAAGGAATTGCACACCCAAATCATATCTTTATCTTTTTCCGATATCAGTATTGATATGATCTGTCCATATCAGAAGTAATCTTTGAGATAAATGAGTTAAGTGAAGATTTCCTTATAATTGTCTTCACCTCTTGAATACAAGGAAAAACCCAAAACTTTTTTTCATCAAAATACATGTAGTTAGACAGACAATAACATATGCAGGTATAGCATTTTTTCAAAAATCTTCTTGATCATGTGCCTAAATGTAAAGATGTTATACACAAATAGGTAGAAGTCAAAGTCTTCATTTCCAGGATGCTTTAATTCGTCTTCCTCTATAGACATAGCTGGCTCCTCGTCCGGCCATTATTAATCATTGGGCCTCATTCAATACTCAGTGAAAGAATGGCAATTTTCATTCAATTAGCCAAGCTAAGAATAGATCAGTGAAGTAGATTTACATGTAGTATGGAAAAGAAGGTAATTGAACGAAGTTTGAAGGGATATAGAGAAGCGTTTGGTCATCTGTCCATTTGTTTGTCCTTGTGATTTGTTACAAATGTTATAGGCTGATGTTGTATTGGCGTAAGACCTTTGCTTAGAGGAAATTTTCAATATGGCCACTCAATTCAAAATCACTGCCATATTTTGTTAAAAAATGTAATCTTTGATATCTTATGATTTTGAAGTTGTGATTAGACACTTCATTGCTCTGAGAGGGTAATTTTGTGATTTGATACATCGTTGCTCTGGGGGGGGGTAATGTTGTGATTTGATACATCATTGCTCTGAGGGTAATGTTGCGATTTGATACATCGTTGCTCTGGGGGGGTAATGTTTTGATTTGATACATCATTGCTCTGAGAGGGTAATGTTGTGATTTGATACATCGTTGCTCTGGGGGGTAATGTTTTGATTTGATACATCATTGCTCTGAGAGGGTAATGTTGTGATTTGATACATCGTTGCTTTGGGGGGTAATGTTGTGATTTGATACATCATTGCTCTGAGAGGGTAATGTTTTGATTTGATACATCATTGCTCTGAGGGGGTTATGTTGTGATTTGATACATCATTGCTCTGAGAGGGTAATGTTTTGATTTGATACATCATTGCTCTGAGGGGGTTATGTTGTGATTTGATACATCATTGCTCTGAGAGGATAATGTTGTGATTTGATACACCGTTGCTCTGAGAGGGTAATGTTTTGATTTGATAGATCGTTCCTTTGAGAGGGTAATGTTTTGATTTGATACACCATTGCTATGGGGGGGGGTAATGTTTTGATTTGATACATCATTGCTCTGAGAGGGTAATGTTGTGATTTTTTGATAAATCATTGCTCTGAGAGGGTAATGTTGTGATAAGATACATCATTGCTCTGAGAGGGTAATGTTGCAAATTGATACATCATTGCTCTAAGAGGATAATGTTGTGATTTGACACATCATTGCTCTAAGAGGATAATGTTGCGATTTGATACATCATTGCTCTTAGAGGGTAATGTTGTGATTTGATAATTCATTGATTTTGCTATTTGTACTATTATTATTGCTTTGATAATGTTTCTGGATGCAGTTGAGTCAATACAGCTTTCTCATGTATTTACAAGAAAATATTATGAAATCAGTTGATTATATCCTATAAATAGTTCACAAATTCTAGATTCTAGATTTCATTTGATGAAATAGCTCTCTGCTGCGGAATATAGGGAAGAAAGCGAGTGCATCGCCTTGTGGTAATTAAGCGTCTACTTAATACGCTGCTGCTCAATGCTTGAATATTTAACTGAATGTATGTAGCTAGATTGTTCCCATCTCTCTGTATTAGACACCACTGCACAACAGCATGGAATATATTGGCTGACTATGTACAGTATTGTACAACCATAGGCACCTTAGAGCACCATTCCTTCAGGCAATCAGCAACTATGGGTGCAGCTATCATATGGGATTTTAACATAGAAGGATGCATAAGAATATAGACTTCATATGAGGGGTATCAATATTTGCATATGAGGAAATCTCACTGGACAAACTGTGTTTGATTCATTAGGACAAATGCAACACTGTATTATAATACTCAGTTGACATGAAGGATGATACATGCCTGTCATGAGTAGTCTTGAAGCTACACTGAGTCATTCTTCTACTAGGATCCTGTAGTCAGTGCGACCTGAAGGAACATCAAAGAACAATTGAAATATCGGGAGCCTGGTGCGATTCTTCTCATGTAGAAGGAACTAATGGACTCACAATTACCTGTAGTGCCAAAGCCTGTATTTAATCTGGCGTCTATGCTTTGTGACTGTGGTGGCGATCAGTGCTGCCAGTGCATGTACATGGAGGGTCAGCCTGCAGATCAGGCTATTGTAAAGAGGGGCTCCACAGATAAATGGAGCCTTGTTGAGGAGATTCTTGTGCCAACCATCAATGTGCGTGACCATAGGGATATGACAATAAGGCGTGGGTATAGGTGAGTGTCCATAGAGATATGACAATAAGGCGTGGGTATAGGTGAGTGTCCATAGAGATATGACAATAAGGCGTGGGTATAGGTGAGCGTCCATAGAGATATGACAATAAGGCGTGGGTATAGGTGAGTTTTTACAGAGATAAAAAGGATTGGGTTAAGGTGAGTTTCAATAGAGATATGACAATAAGGCACGGGTATTGGTGAGGTTCCTTAGGGATATGACAAGGTGTGGGTATAGGTGAGTTTCTATAGAGATATGACAATAAGGCGTGGGTTTAGGTGAGTTTCAATAGAGATATGACAATAAGGCGTGGGTTTAGGTGAGTTTCAATAGAGATGTGACAATAAGGCATGGGTATTGGGGAGGTTCCTTAGGGATATGACAAGGTGTGGGTATAGGTGAATTTCCATAGGGATATGACAATTAGATGTGGGTATAGGTGAGTTTCTTAGGGTT